TCTTTTATTGGATCCATTCAATCAAAAATAATAGTTCCTGGTGTAAGGCCAGCCCCCTAGAACTAGATATACTTTCTATTCAGTCATGATCCTTGTCTTGAGCATCAGTGTTGCAACTTGCCTTGTTAACCAGAGTACTTAGAATTGTTTCAATATAGGAAACACAGATTGATTCCATAGGTGTAATCTTTTCCAGATTTTGCACAGTATTTTATGTAAAAGCTATTCTGCTACTCTACTTCCATCAATTTAGACTATCCAGTATTGTAAATAAGGTGGGTAATTAGATGCTCACATATCTGCCAAAGGGTTAAATTAAAAGTGCCACATTGGCCAGGCATAGTGGCTCATGCCTATAATCCCAACACTTTGGGAGGCCGAGGTGGGCGGATCACCTGAAGTCAGGAGTTCAAGACCACCCTAGCCAACATGGTGAAACCTCAACTCTAATAAAAATTCAAAAATTAGCCGGGCATGGTGGTACATACCTGTAGTCCCAGCTACTTGGGAGGCTGAAGCAAGAGAATTGCTCATACCCAGGAGACAGAGGTTGCAGTAAGCTGAGATTGTGTCACTATACTTCAGCCTGGGTGACAGAGTGGGACTTCATCTCTCAAATAAAAAAAATAAAAGTGCCATATTTCTGGATAGAAATTAAAATTTATCAATACGTAATCAAATCTCTAAGAGTCTACATGCCCTGGAACCCAGTAGTGCCATATCTAGGAATTTATCCTAAGGAAGTAATTGGACAGATGCACAAATGTTCATATGCAATGATATTAAAGGCAGATTTTAAAAAATAGTAAATAGAGTCTAACTGTCAAACAATATGGGATTGACTTAATAAAATTATCCACAGAAATTTAAAATATTAATATAAATAGTTGTATGGTAATGGAGAGATGTTCATTAAATTCTGTTAGTAAACAGGTTATCCACAAATATGCATTTAATGAATATATATATATTATATACATACACAAACACCCACACATATATAGCCTCTTGTGAAAAAAGTTATCTCTACATAAATATGTGTGTAAAATTTGTGTAAATGTATGTGTTTAAGGGAATGTTGTGGAGAGGCGTGTGTGCACAGCTTAGGTCTGGATAGAGAAATACGATATCCTTTAAGTGATTTTTTTCTAGCAGTATTTTAAAATATTTCTATAATGGAATACTACTACATGTAGTAGCTACATAAGAAATAAAAAGGAACAAAAACAACAGATAAAACCTATTCTGTCTAAATGTATTTCGAATGTTCAGATAAAAGGCAAGTGAAACAAACTAGAGAAGATGTAAAAAACCTTTTGGGAGCGTTGTTTCAATAAAGAAAAGCCTTTCTGTATTAATTATTGAGTAGAAATGATGGAAAAGGTAATGGGGAAAGAAGCAGAGAGGAGTGAAGAGTCACCCTGCAATTCATGATAATTTCCCAAGTTAAGCCTGAGAGTTATAAGTGAGATGTGCCCCCCCGCCACGCCCAAACCAGTGAAACATTATAGCACATTTTTCTCTCCCTTTTTTGGAGTGCCAGAGCTTTTTGGAGTTCCTGTAACAGGCCAGGTTTTATTTGCTGATCCCTACAGTAACTGTTTTAAGGTAGGTCTTCCTAAACTATGGCCCAGAAAGTGGTGTGGGGGGGTAGCGGTTCAATGCCTTGCCCAAGGTCATATAGTAGGCAGCCTGTGAGCTGAGATGCCCTTCACCAAGGGCATGCCCTGAGATGCCATTCAGGGCTCTCCATTACAAAGAGATGAAGGACCCAGAAAAGTGCAAAGAAAGGCATTGTCACTGGTACAGTGACGAAGACAACACCTTGGTAACGTCTGGGTAGAATTCTCTGAAGAATGGGGACAAGCTGAGTTGTACAGGCAGCAACTAAGAGGACATTTTTGGAACCAGAAGTAAGCGTTTGTGATTGTAAATTATTCAGGCTAGATGTTTACAATGAGCAATTTAGCTTCAGGCCAATATTAACTTCCGTTCCTATTACTATCAGATTAATTGCATTTTGTTGCTTTTTCTAAATACACTTCAAATCAGGAAACGTATAATTCAGCAGTTAGTCATTAAAGTAGCAGTAGATGTGCTACTGTCTTATCTGAAGTCCATCTAAAAAATAAAATAAAAACCCAAGGCTTCTTTTTTTGGTCTAATAAACAGAGCATTAATAATAAGCAACTAGGATATTCTCCTAGGGAAAAAAAATGTCTAAATTGAAAAAGTCTTCAGATAAAAGAAATCAAGACAAATAGACAAAAGATAATTGAAAGAAGTTGGATAAATTTACATCTTAAATAATGCATCTATAGAATCATAGAAAATACAATTGTAAAAATTCATTTCAAGATCATACAAACCATTTTATACATTATATTTATAGTAGGTACAAAAACAAGTTGGACTTAAAGGGGAGTTAGTATTATCTGACAAATTTCAAATACCAAAGTACTAAAACATCACATGTCCTATGCACTACAGAAATGATATAAAAATGTGTATGTGTGTATCTATTCTTCGTTTTTCATTGTTCTTCATGATCTCATGCCTTTATATGCAGCTGATATCAAGTGCAGTTTCACAGCAAATCAATGAAACACAGTTTACATCAAATGACCAGAGAGTTGTCAATTTTTAAAAATCCCAGTCTCTCTTGTGGATTGCTGACTTCAAAGACATGCATTAAGATTATTAAGCAAGTAATGATTGATTTATTATATAACATTAAGAAATGTTTTCTTTGAAGCACAAATTAAAAGGTCATGGATGCCCTGATTTTTCTTCGGGTTGATAGTTAAAAATGCAGAATAGATAATATTGCTGGCTGTGAAGGACACATGAAGGGGATTTGAAGTAACTCTCCTTTCTGGGCAATATTTTAATGAAATGCTTAATATTCTGCAGTAGATTAATGAGGCAGTTCTCTATTTTCAAACAATGGGAGAACAATTAGGACCCAATCCTGAGAACAAATTGGTGTCGCTGTTATTTTGTGATGGTATTTTAAATGACCATTGCTGTAGCAACGAGGCATTATTTAACAGGAATGAAAATAACCATTTACATCAAGCATTTCAGTGGAGATATTCAGGAAAAAAAAATGTGGCAGCTGCTGTTCCTAGAAATAAAACTGACATTTTAGGATGAAAGCAACCAGCTGAAACCTAAACATGCTTTGTGCCTTGTTCAGAAGTCACCCAAAATGCATGCCAAAGTGCTAAACAGTCCCCATAAAGCCAGCAAGCTGTGCAATTTCTCACCCTGATCTCAAAACACTCTGGGGAGAAGAGATGGGTGCAGATCTTTGAAGAGGTCAGATTTGAGAATGAACAGAATTAATTAGCCACACGAGAGTAAGAAAAACCATACATCGAGTGTGGGAAAAGTTATCTACATATGGAGATTAACTGGGAAAAATTGATCTTCCAATGAAACTCAAAGTCCAATCCAAGACTACCCTAAACACCTGCATGTCCTAAATAATCAGGAACCGTATTGCTCAGCAAGCTTGCATAACAATGGAAACAGAATAATAAATTGTCTCTGATTTTTCCAGTGCATTGCTACAGAAAATGAGGATGAAAATTCTACAGGTGGTCAATGAGAATAAACTATTTTTTATGCCCAAGAGTCAAATAATAATCAGGGAACTTTTCCCATACTTTTGTGAATTGAAATTGTATATTTACCTCAGTGTCTTCCCTGAGGAACTTTCTTTCTAATTCTACTTCTCACACCTCTAGTCTTTTCTCCCCAGGTTGTAAAGTTATTTTGCTTGCTGGTTGAGATAAGTCATATAATTTAGTTCCCTCACTTCTCCCCCCAAAAAAAGACTGTAGGACCAAATTGATAGGATGAAATGATAGGTTTAAAGAATAATTCATTATACCATCAAGATCTTGGCATGCCAGTTGCTGAAAAGACTATTTTGAGCTGTCAGTTCTAAAGCACATATTTTTTCATTGACTGACATGCCAATTGCTTGATAGAATAATGAATTGTTCCCATTGACTTCACCATCACTTGCAACCTTTGGGCTCCACGCAGCATTTTTCAGGGGTAATAACATCAATGTTCTTTCCACAGTATGTAAAGCTAGGAGGATGAGGGCAGGCTCAGGCATTGCTGAAGAGGAGGATGGTGGTTTAGGGATGGACGGAAGAATAGAGGGAAGGTCAGAGGTATGATTAAGGTCAGACGTGATTGCGGTGCATGTGATAACACCTCATAATTAAAAACATGATTCGGACTGGGTGCTGGTGGCTCATGCCTGTAATCCCATCACTTTGGGAGGCCAAAACAGGTGGATCACTTGAGCTCAGGAGCTCAAGGCTGGCAGGGTTGTGGTGAAATCCTGTCTGTACCAAAAATACAAAAATTAACTGAGCGGGGTGGCATGTACCTGTTGTATTCCCAGCTACTAGGGAGGGTGAGGTGGGAGAATGGCTTCAGCCCAGAAGGCAGAGGTTGCAGTGAGCCAAGATTGGCCACTGCACTCCAGCCTGGGTGGCAGAGTGAGACCCCATCTTAAAAAAAAAAAACACAATTTCACATTTTGACATAATTACAACAAAACACCATCCAAACACTCTGCCTTTTTGCTTTAGGCTTGAGGTTTGATTTTTTTCTAGCTTGAAACTTATTTGCTGCTATTGCATTCAACTCAGAAGCCCACCTCCCCGGCTCAGAGACAAGCAAGACAAAAAGAAGGTGCTCATGTCCAAACCATGGGGCCATTTCCCTTAGAATGGGTCATATACACATACCCAAGTTATACTCTGCTCCTAAATCATCATCATCCATCTCTGTATCTCCAGGGTAAGCTAAATCTGAATCATTGTAGCCAAGAGAATGCCTCCTGGAGGCTGTAAGACCCACTGAGCAAACTCGTCAGGAGCCCCTAGTAACATTAAGAGCTGGATCTACAAAATGCTTAATACTGAGAGAAATCACAATCCACAGAGCTGGGCATTAATGCATTAGGCACTTACCATTTGTGTAAAGAACATTTTTTCTTGCATTTAAAAGGCAGTCTTGGACCTTCATTAAGACTCCGGGGCCTTCTCTGGTTTCCAGGAAGGGGCCTTCTCTACCACATGCACCTGAGAAATGAGTATTATAGTCATAACACCTGCTTCAGGAGTGCCCCTCCCCCTCCACCAAACTGCAATTAATTTTGTAATTTTGTTATTTAAAAAAAAAAGGGCAGCTTTGGTTTCCCCTCTCTTGGTAGTCATTTCGCTACTATAATTGAAAACACTGGATTATGTGAGTATTTCTTTCTGTCTCAGCCCATCTCTAAATACAAGCAGATGAATAATCCCCCCCACTAGCACAAGATTAAAAGCACATGCATTTTGTATAAAGGCTTTAGGAGAAGGCCGAGAAGAACCATTTTTCCATCAGAGCCACCAAGTGGCTATTTTCTATAACATGAGTTTACATGTGTGCATATATTTTATATATCCACATTTAATTTGTCATTTCATCAGAGACTTGATAAGTAGAAGTCTAGACTACACAGCAATAGCTCAGATAACATGTCCAAACGCCTCACTCAAAGGCTGAGAATGGAATGCTGAGGCCAAGGGAGGAAGGATGGCAGACAGGGCCTTTTTAGTTAGTGAAGTTCTCAGATGATGTTGATAAAACTACTTGCAAGGTAAAGTTCCAGTCCTGCAGCCCTGGAGCATCTGCCAGTTTTCCCAGGAGTGCATCATTTGCCATCTGGTCTCACCCTTCCAACTGAGTGTCTATGTCTATCTTTCAGACTGTCAACCCACCACCAGACCAAGCATTCTGTGGTTGTAGACCTCAGTGGCCACTGGCATCATGACATCTCAGATTACAGTTTGGCACCTACCCAAAGGTTTCTCTGGGTACAGGTGCACATGGCCTTGGCTTCCTATATGTCTGCATCTTCTTCCTCCTCTTCCTCCTCCTCCTCTTCTCCCTGCCGCCTTGCTGTTTATTGAGGCCTTACCAGGTGTCAGGCATTACGTGTGTTTTCTTACATATCACTGGGAAGTAGCTCCCCCGACTGCTCTGCGCCTCAGTCTAAAGTTTCTCTTGGTCAGGAAGATTGTTGAGTTTAGCCTAGACTGGGCATGATGGCTCACACCTGTAATCCCAGCACTGTGGGAGGCCAAGGCAGGAGGACGGCTTGAGTCCAGGAGTTCAAGACCAGCCTGGGTGACATGGTGAAACCCCATCACTACTAAAAACAGAAAAAAAATTAGCCAGGCATGGTAACACATGCCTGTAGTCCCAGATACTGGGGAGGCTGAGATGGGAGATCACTTGAGCCCAGGAGGTTGAGGCTTCAGTGAGCAGTGATCGTGCCACGGTGCTCCAGCCAGGATGACACAAAGAGACCCTGTCTCAAAAACAAAATTTAGCCTAAAGCTGTCTCCTCACATATTTTAAGTTCAGTCTAAAGGTTTCTATGTACATAGGAAAGTGCATCCTAGATGGAGGTGTAAACAGATTATAGCCTACTCTTGTGCCAATCACAGGGGCAATCAAAGGGGGCCAACTGTTTAAACCATGTTAAAACAAGGCAAACACCATGCTGTAACTAATCTGGCTGTTTCTTTACCTCACTTCAGCTTTCTGTTCATCACTTTCCCTTTTCTGTCTACAAATCTTCCACCACGTGGCTGTGCTGGAGCCTCTCTGAGCCTACGCTGGCTCCAGAGACTGCCTGATTCCCGAAAGTCCTTTGCTCAATTAAACTCTGTTAAATTTAATGTGGCTAAGGTTTTCCTTTTAGCAACATGTTCCTTCCCTTCAGGGCACTTATCTCCCTTTGTCCTTACAAACCCTCACTTGTGTGATGATCGGCCCAATGTCAGTCTCCCCTGTTCCTCACCGTTGTGTTCTCAGCAGAGTGCCTCATACCCAGAATGACCAAATAGCTCCTCACAACCACCTGATGAGGTTGGGTCCCTTAACAGCGTCCATTTACAGGTGAGAAACCTGAGGATCAATGAGCTTAAGTGGTTTTCCTTAGGTACACATGTAAAAAGGGGCCAATTTGAGGTCAGAGCCTCTACTTTCGCCCATCTCCCACACTGCTGCTCCTCATGACTCTGCAAAACCCCTCTAATTTCTGCCAAGATGTCATCTGCATGCATTTGCCAAACATCACTACCTTACCGAACACTCTTGGTGGATGTCAAGATGGTTCAATGGGTGAAGCAGGTGTTATCTTCTGACTAATTTGGGTTTTCTTCCAAAGATCAGGCACATATCCCAACAGCGTAAGTCCAAAATCTGCTATGATGTCTTATCTCATGGGTCTTCACTTGGAAGAGAGGCTGTTACCTAAGAAGCACATAGTCAAGACACTTCTGCAGGATTCCTTGCTGAGAGGTGCTATGAAGTTCCAACAAGAAAGCAGACTTTTACATCACAGATTTTTAAGTGCTATTAGAATTAAAAAGGAGGAGGAAGAGAGCAAGAAGAAGAAGATAAAGGAGAGCATATTTCCCAGCTAGTGGCACCTTTCACTAGTTTAAAAGCAAAACCATCCAAGAATGGGCCCCTTTCTCTGGGTGTGACTTCTATCCCCTTGTCCTCTAGATTTACTGCTTGCACCATGTAGCATCCACCATAAAACTCTTCCTTCCAATAGACTGCTGTCTGAATTGCAAAAGCAAGACTCTCCAGGAATGCATAATCTAGTAAAAAGTAAATATGATAGAATAACCAAATGATTTCTGAAGGCGATGTATTTGCATAGCGATACCTGACAGGGCAAACCAAAATTCCATCTCAGAATCTGGTCATGATGTACTATGAGATGCTCCATCATCACATCTTTGAATTTTACAGAAAAGCACTTGTAGCAACTGGAGGAGGAAAACTTCTCAGTCTCATTTCTTCAAGGTGAGCCATAAACACTTCTAAAAGCCTCATGTGTAAATTCCTTCCCACCGTATGGCTGAATATCACTTGAATATTTGAAAAATGATACGTAGACATAGATACTTTTCTAGAGGATTTACATTTTTCTATCAATGCAGAATTGCTCTTGCTGTGAATAAGTGCTTGCTCTCTTTTCTCCCCATTTTCCACCTGCCTTAAGGATTTGAAGTATTGCTGTGGACAATGTTTACTTGTCTCCTTCGTTTTTCCATTTTCTTCCACATCCTGCCTCCTTTTAGCTGGCTTTCAAATGTTAATCCTGGCCTTTCCCTGCCTTGTATCAGGTCTGTTCAGTATGTCCCTAATACTCCTCTCATTTCACTTCTCACCTGCTTTATTTACAGGTCTTAACTTCGGGTTTTCTTCTGGGACTTGCAACAGTCACCTTTAACTTCATCTCCTACCTGCTGATTCCTCATCCAATGGCCTATATCAAACTGGCCTGCTTTTGCTGGCACCTTTACTTAACACTGCACCCCAACTTAGATTTCCACCCAAGGCAGGAGACACTTCAACTGAATTGTGCCCTTGCCATTTATTTTCCAGATTTTGCTGAAAACTACAATTACTTTTTACCTGCTCTTGTCCTGCTGAGTGAATGACCTCAGCTTCAGAGGCAACAACATAGTGATGTAACTGGCTGGCATTCAACTTGGAGTAAGACAACAGAGGTCCAGGTCCCTCAATCTCAGTTTGCTTGCATCTCCATGGCGTAGTATGGGAAGAATAATACCTGCAGTGTTGGCGTTGCTATAGCAGTGAAGTTCTTCCAGATTGCAAAAATGAGCTAATCCAATCCATAACCTAAATGTACTAGTGGCTTCATGGATAACTGGAAAGTGTCTTGTAACTGTACCCTGTACAGGAGGAGCCCAGTAGCTCAGATCTGGTGTCTTTATCCCAGGAACTTTGGCAGTCTCTTTGTATCTCACCTTCAAATGTTCCCAGCAGAATGGCTCTGGATGGGTCATTTATCTTGCAGCCTCTTGATTGGATAAACTTTGGCTCAGCTGCTGATTCCTGGTTCCATTAACAATGATTAGCTAGCACAGTTGATTTAACTCAACAAATAAGATGCAACTGACCTCAACAACTGTATGGTGAAGGAACTGCCTGGTCCCCTTTTCCCCAGAAGGGGGCTGTAGCTACCGCAAAAGTTTACAGCAGCCTGCCTGGAGTGGGATTCTTGCAACACCAATCCTCACACCTGTTGAAGAAAAGATTCCATAGTCAAATAAACTTGCATACAGTGCATATGACATCTTCCTGTTTAGAGATTCACAATACACACATATCAAAGATGCTGAGAAGTCCTGCAATAAACTTGCTTTAAATTGACTTAAGGCAGTATTTCTCAAGTCACTCTTTTTTTGTTTTGTTTTGAGATGGAGTCTCTCTCTCTCTGTCGCCAGGCTGGAGTGCAGTGGTGCAATCTCAGCTCACTGCAATTTCTGCCTACAGGTTCAAGCAATTCTCCTGCCTCAGCCTCCCAAGTGATTGGGACTATAGGCATGTGCCACCACGCCCAGCTGATCTTTGTATCTTTCTTGTATCTTTTGTAGAGATGGGGTTTCACCATGTTGGTCAGGCTGGTCTCCATCTCCTGATCTCGTGATCCGCCCACCTTGGTCTCCAAAAGTGCTGGGATTACAGGTGTGTGCCACCGCACCCAGCCATACCCATCTTTTATGGAACATCTTATGGACACTCAGTGGAAGATTTTTTGGCAAATTCTGGCTTAGACCTCATGAACTGTCTACTGCCACCAGCTTTGTCAGTGTCTCCAGAACAGCAGTTCCCAACCCCTGTACATCAGAACCACCTGGGGACATTTAACAAAATATAGTCATCCAGACTGTGCCACCAGAGGTTCTGATTTACTTGATCTGAGGAGAGGTCTGGAGACCGGAATTTAAATGCTCCCCCGGTATTAGACCTTTAAATAATAACTCTATATGTTTTAGTACAATAATAGCATTTACTGAACATGTATTGAGCCGGGCACTAAATAAGTGTGACATTATACTCTTACTTTATCCTTGTATGAACCCTACCTAATGTGTATTGCCACCAACCTACAAGTAGGAAAATACAACCTGGAAGACCAACATAAAGAAATTTGCTCTGAAGAAGAATTGAAGAGTTCATGTGTCAGCTATAGATCCTAAATAGAGCTAAAGTCCTCATCCAATTCTCTACCAAGTCAATGAGAATGTATTCCCATAAGCAGCTTCTGTCACTAGAAATCATCTTCTGGGGACCAAGTGCTCTTCCCGCAAGATAATCAGGAGGTATTATACAGGATTCAGCTATTGGCTGCAGCTAAGCAATTTCACACTTAAACTTGAAAACTGTCTGCGATCATTTTCCCACATTCCCTCAAATCAGGAATAACAAAATCCATCACACTCAGAAGCAAAGCCTTACTCCTAACACTCAGGTGCTTTGAATCTACAATGAGATTCAGTTATCGGGCTTCAGACCACCCCAGAGGCCATTTGAAAGGGCTTGACTGCCACCTTGTGGTCCCCTGTGCATTACCAGCCAAGGCGAGGGCCCGTGCAGTGAAAACAAACCGTGAGCAGGCTGCCCTAACCACTTCTGTTTTGACAAGAATGGTTATAACATCTTTTGACATGTAAGCTGAAAGAGAACAAAGGTATTACAGTATTCTGGCAACAGCCCTTGCGTGGGAGCAGGTTATTTTAAACAGTTGGCTTTTCCAGGGCAATCATACCTCAGTTGATTTGCATATATGCTCCTAGTTTAGGAAAAGCAAGTATTTTCCATATTGTCTCTCTTCTGACTAGGTTTCAAAAAAGAACTATTTTGAGCCAGGTGTGGTGGCTTACACCTGTAATCCAAGCATTCTGGGAGGCCGAGGCCAAAGGATCTCTTCAGCTCAGAATTTGAGACCAGCCTGGGCAACATAGTGAGACCCCATCTCAACAAAAAATGAAAAATTATCCAGGTCTGGTAGTGTGTGCCTGTATTCCCAGCTACGCAGGAAGCTGAGGCAGGAAGATCACTTGAGCCCAAGAGTTCGAAGCTACAGTGACCTATGATGGCACTGCCACACTCCAGCCTGGGTGACAGAGGGAGACCTGTGTGAAAACAAACTAAAAAAACGAAACAAAAAAATTGTTTTGTAAACAAAAAGAGTCCCAAATCTAGGACTGTTTTCTCCATGTTCTATACCCCTCAACTAGTATCTTCCTTCTCTTTCCCTTTCTTCTTCTCTCCCTCCCTCCCTTCTTTCCTCCCTCTGTTTTCCTCCCCAACTTCCTTCCTTCCTACATGACATGTAAACATCCCTATCTAACTCAAAATTCCGTGACAAAGAAAGCCCTATATCCAATCCATCTGGTACTGGCTGTGTGACTTTGGCAAAGTTAAACGTCTTAGCAGAATGATTTTTATGTTTTTAAGAATGCAGGAGAGGGACAACAAATAATAATATGCAACAGAGACCATATGTGGCTCACAAAGCCTAAAATATTCACTATCAGCCCTGTACAGTGTGCTGACCCGTCCCTTAGACTTCTACAATGTGAAGTACATGGTATCAACTATAAATGTTCCTTAAAAATAGACATCAAATCTGCATCTTTTTTCCTTTTTTGAGATAGTTTCACTCTTGTTGCCCAGGCTGGAGTACCATGGCGCGATCTTGGCTCACAGCAACCTCCGCCTCCCAGGTTCAAGTGATTCTCCTGCCTCAGCCTCCCGAGTAGCTGGGATTACAGGGGCACACCATCATGCCTGGCTGATTTCATATTTTTAGTAGAGATGGGGTTTCTCCATGTTGGTCAGGCTGGTCTGGAACTCCCAACCTCATGTGATCTGCCCGTCTTATCCTCCCAAAGTGCTGGGATTACAGGCATGAGCCACCATGCCCTGCCCCTCAAATCTGAATCTTAAGGAGACTTTAGATCTAACTTTCAGTTGACAGGAAGCAGGAGGGAGAGTAGGACAAGCTAAACGGCACTACCCTTACCCACTGGCTAATGTGCCGCTGAACTCCCTTCAGACTGAAGCACTCAGTCCCCATATTGCTTAGAATTTGGCTACTGATGGGTCACAGCTGAGCTCCTCACTAGGCCTTGCCCTCAGCTGAAGGGAGTGGCCTTGTTAAGGCCCCATGCCTCCCTGGGATGGCCGGTATTCGAACTTGTTATGTGTATTTCTTGCCTCATTTGGGGACCTCACTGAAGGATCACTCTCACTCTACAGTGCCCCGCTGAGGCCTCACCTGGCATTTCCCCTCAATTTCCCCCTCTGCCCAAATCTGGACCCCTCACATCCTCATAAGGGTTGAAGATGAGAACCTCCCCCCCAAAAAAAACTATCTGCATTCAAATCTTCATCCCATAGTCTGTTTTCCAGAGAACATGACCTAACACATCCCTCCACATCCTATTCTCAGCATAACAGCTAGAGTTAGCTTGTTAGAGGTAAGGCAGGTCTTTACTCCTTTACTAAGATCCCTTCAATGGCTTCCAACTCATCAGAACCTAGCTGTCTGCACTGCTGTTGCAATATCTACTCCTCTGCCCCTTGATCACACCAGACACACTGGCTTCCTTGGTGTTTCTCAAACATACCAGGCATGCTGCTGCCTCAGGGCCTTTGCACATGCTCTTCTAGCTTCCCAGAATGCTCCTTGCCCAATTACCACTGCATAACTCTGTCAGTCACCTCCTTCTAGTCTTGAGTCAATGAAGACTTCCCTGACCCCCTACTTAAGTGTGCAGGACTCCACCCCACCGGACTCCACATCCCTGTTTCTTTGGTTTTCTCCATAGCATGTATCAGGATCTGGCACACTGTACATCTTATGTTGTTTAATGTCTGTCTCCACAGAATGTAAGCTTCATGAGGGCAACAGCTTTTATTTTATTTTATTTTATTTTATTTTTTGAGACGGCGTTTCGCTCGTTACCCAGGCTGCAGTGCAATGGCGCGATCTCGGCTCACCACAACCTCCGCCTCCTGGGTTCAGGCAATTCTCCTGCCTCAGCCTCCTGAGTAGCTGGGATTACAGGCACGCGCCACCATGCCCAGCTAATTTTTGTATTTTTAGTAGAGACAGGGTTTCACCGTGTTGACCAGGATGATCTCCATCTCTTGACCTTGTGATCCACCCGCCTCGGCCTCCCAAAGTGCTGGGATTACAGGCGTGAGCCACCGCGCCCGGCCAAGCTTTTATCTATTCTTTTCATTGCTATATTCCCAAAACTTAGAATAGTAACTGATACAAAGTTGCAGCCCAATCAATATTTATTGAATAAGAAAGCAAATAAACGAACGGAAGTTTGTGAATGTGGAGTCAGAAGGCTTGTGATCTTCAGGGAAGTCCCATAACTTCCCTAAAGTGGAATGGAAGACTTCCCTAAATAAATGCAAGACTGTGAATGTGGAATCTGAAAGCTTAGGAACCATCATTCTTATGTCATTTTGGTGATTATACATAACATTTATAGAAGCATCATATAATAAATTGCTAAATAAAAGATATAATTTTTGCTCAAACTGAATTATTCATCAGAGATGTACTTAATTTTTATAACCTAAGAGCTACCAGATTGCCAAAAAAGCAAGCATAGAAATATTGCAATGCAGAAAACTTTAAAAATCGTTCTGATATTCAAATAAAATATAAAACGATTTATTTCAAAGCCACACCCAAAACATACAATGAAATGCATCCCTTTTAAAGACATAATAAAAAGAGCAATCTTTACATTTTACAATTTGAAGACCTTTTGTTCCCACAAAAAGTCTCATAAAGTTAATTCCATAATTAAAGTGTCAAATGTACTTTTGTTTATATAAAATGTATTCTCTCTTTAAATGCAAAATATTCAAATATAGCAGTTTTATTATAAAATTGTTCTCAGTTTCTGATATTTCCACTGGTCTATAGCATCCCATTTCCACATGCTTCTTAAAATGAGGTAAGAAGACCAATGTGAAACCTTTTTTTTCAGATCATTTTTCAGACGTCGGTGCCTTGCTGACACAACGTACAACATGCCTTTGTCATTCCTTTCATCTGAAATATTTTCCCAGTGGTTACTCAGTATTTTGCACAGTTGCAATTCTTGTCATTTAAAAATTCATAACATGTTGTTTTTATATTCTTTTTATACGTTTTTGAGATCTGAATCAAAGCTATTGCTACAGTGATTCACTATTTTCTTTATAGGTATTTTAATAAATAGTCCTCAATTCTAAAAGACTTTTTAAATCCTTTAAAGTGGGGGGTCAGCAAACATCTTCTATAAAGGTCCAGATATTTTGTGTGTCATTTTTCTGAGGCATTTTTTTCCAACTCTAAAATGTTTTTAAAAATTTAGCTATGCTGTAATTTTCTACCCCCCTACTTTAAAAAATAGAAGTAACCAGTCTCTAAATTGGACTGCTCAAGTGTCAAGAAAATGTAAACTTTACATTGTGCAGTAAAATAAATCCATGGCTTCTGACTACTAAATTGAAAGTTCATCATCAGTAAGAAATGCATCCCATTCAAAGAGTGGGGCTACATGTTCTTTTTAATCAATGACACTTTCTTGTGGCTTCTTTTTCGTTTTGATTGAACAAGCCACATGTCTTTTGTTTTTTCTTGGTCCTACTTTTTTATAGGGAAAAATTCTCTTCGTGAGGCTAACTTGAAGTTTTTGAAATCAAAGACTTGAATACTTTCATGCCAACAGAGGTAGATGCATATGCACTGGTATAGGCAATTACAAATACATAAAATGGAAAACATTTTCATATATAAATTAATCATTAAATGCTCTCCATGGCTAAGAAGGAATCAGTGGAAACCAGATAGAAGTTATGCAAAACAGTCCTAAAGAATGTTCTAATTTGCTTTTATCACATGTAGTTGCTACATTTTAGGAAAACGTGATTCAAATATGAAACATGTAAATATAAATAAATATAGTGGCATGATTGATTCAGGTTCTTGATGCATACCACCTGGAGCTGACTAAACTCTGATCTATGTAACATGGTCCTATAGCTTGGTACTGAGAATCACAACTCTGTGTGTGTGTGTGTGTGTGTGTGTGTGTGTGTGTGTTTTGCATGTTTTCCTTTCCTATCACAATCGGTGCTACAACCAGATTATGGAAAATAAAAGAGCAGCTGTAAATTTACCCAAATATATCATAAACAAGTTGGAATACTCTGGAATTACAATCATATACTATTCTACAAAAACATTTACAAATTCTAAAGTTGAAAACTTTGGTATCCCTAAAAAGAGAAAGTTCAAGTCCATCCATGGTGGCTCACACCTGTAATCCCAGCACTTTGGGAGGCCAAGGTGGAAGGATCTCTTGATCCCAGAGTTTGAGACCACCTTGGCCAACGTGGCACAACACTGTCTCTACCAAAAATACAAAAATTAGCTGGGCTGGATGTTGCACGCCTGTAATCCCAGCTACTTGGGAGGCTGAGGCACAAGAACTTGAACCCAGGAGGTGGAGGTTGCAGTGAGCTGAGATCCTGCCACTGCACTCCAGCCTAGGTGACAGAGTGAGACTGTCTCAAAAAAAAAAAAGAAAGAAAAGAAAGTTCAATTATACCCGGGAGTCTATGCCCAATTTTTGAACTATACAAAGTTTTCAGTGCAAAATTATTGCTATTGGTAAATAGCAATGACACAAAAACCACACGAAACACTTAATGTCTATAAAACACATAATATCCTGAAGGTATGTTTTGGCATAGAAAAGGTAACTTGGGGATAGGGAATAACAGGTTGCCTTACTGATTTAATTCTAAGTCTGGGTGTTGAAGTGTTTAAATACTCTTTTTGCAAACAGACTCAACATATTTATAGCTCATCATGTTTCTTCTTAAACGGCCACTTTGGGTGTTGCAATACGTGGTCTGCAGCCTGAAGGACAAGATACATAAATTCTTCTACATCGAAAGAGTAGTTGGTGAACTTTGGGTGCTCCCCCAGGGTTGGATGGTGGCCCTGCGAAAACAAACCAAAACACGAAGCCATTAACTCATTGAGGGCATGGTTTTCTCTACAGCAAGAAAATTATGTTACTTTGGCTAAGGCAACTAATTTATACTCTACATCAGAGACCAGCAAACTTTTTCTGTTAAGGGCCAGATGATAAATATTTTCAGCTCTGCTGACTCTAAGATCTCAGTCACAGTTACTCAACTCTGTCACTGAAGTGCAAAAACAGCTAGGGACAATACATAGACACACAGGCATGACTGTGCTTTCTTTACAAAAACATGTCATGGGCTGGATTTGCCCACAGGGCTGTAGCTTGTTGATCCCCTCCGTATATACTCTAATAGATCTTTCTAAGCTCAAATTCCATGAAGCTGCCTTTACAACATTAAAGATACAGGGTGCTTAATTCTCCTTTTTCTCCTACTTGCAAATATAAAATACAACAATTCACTATTCCAGAGAACAGTTTGTCTTTGCAGCACTGATGTTCAATGACCATTTTTCATATCAGTAATTGGATACTTCAAACCAAACAAAAATGAAGCAAGGTGAGTGTTGGGATTCAACTTTACCTTATCCTGAGGAAAGACTTTGTTCTGCCTTTGCCAAGTAATGTAGTGAACACCTCTCAGCCTGGCCAAGTCTAAGTAACAGCGTTCATCTTCACAATTGTACCTAAGGACACAAGGGTGTCACAACATGAGGCTTTTGTCCAAGGTTTTTGCCAAATCAACAACTCTCTGTGAACATAAAATACATCTCCCAAATATGTCCTTGCAAAAGGTTGTAAACAAGACTGAGGAAGACAGTAAACAAGATTGAGGAAGAGAATTTAAAAATACTCTCTGAACTAATAAACTTAACTTTTAAAAAACAATATAGGGTTACGGAATGGAGAAGACTGACCATATTCAATAGGACCTGCTGCCTATGGACTTGATACCACCTCATAACACCTCTGTCTTTAAATGTATGAAAGTGGCAAGCGGGGGTAGGTAACACTTTCAAGGTCACATAACTAGATAGTGAAGGATGAAAAAGTTGAACCCAGGTCCAAAGACTCTAAGGCTTGAGTTTTCTAAGTTACATTTCTCTCCCTTCCTTTCTCCTTTCTTCCATCCTTCCTTCTCTCTATATAGGAGAAATAATAGAGATAGAATCCATTATCTGGTTATTTCTGTACATATACCGTATGTATTTTTGAAATGTTTTGCAGGGCATTGGAAGTTCATGACTTTTTTCCTAAATAGCCTCCTGTTTACAGAGTCAAATCACTTTTAAAATGAAACCACAGAATCCAAATATTGAGACAGAATAGGGGGAAAGAGGTAACAGTAACTGCTATTAGTGTCTCAAGAACTAAAATAGAGCACAATGTCAAGAGCAGAATTATTTATTTTTTTTAATTGCATTTTAGGTTTTGGGGTACATGTGAAGAACATGCAAGATAGTTGCATAGGTACACACGTGGCAGTGTGATTTGCCGCCTTCCTCCCCTTCACCTATGTCTGGCATTTCTCCCCATGCTATCTCTCCCCAACTCCCCACCCCCCACTGTCCCTCCCCTATTCCCCCAACAGACCCCAGTGTGTAGTGCTCCCCTCCCTGTGTCCATATGTTCTCATTGTTCAACACCCGCCTATGAGTGAGAACATGCAGTATTTCATTTTCCGTTCTTGTGTCAGTTTGCTGAGAATGATGTTCTCCAAAGGACATGAACTCATCGTTTTTGATTGCTGCATAATATTCCATGGTGTATATGTGCCACATTTTCCCCATCCAGTCTATCATCGATGGGCATTTGGGTTGATTCCGGGTCTTTGTTATTGTAAACAGTGAAGAGCAGAATTATTACAAGAGGGAAGGCCATGTCTCCACAAACCAACCACTGAGTTAAAGGTGTGGCCTGGGCAAATCATTTACACCCAAGGGCCTCCGATTCCCTATGCATGGGATCAGCAAGCACTAAGTGAAGTGGTTGGCTTGTGTTTTGGAGCTATGTTATACATGAGAAATAAATGCTCTCTTTTAACATGATAACTACACTGTTTGCAAGAAGAAGCTCACGGTTTGGGAGGTATGCAGGAACAAATTCAGAATAAGGAAACCACAGATTCACATCTTCCCTATCATGCTGGGGATGGGAAGAAGAAGGCGTAGTTTGCTTACTAAGTGCAATGGCAGCCTGCAGACTTTATATTTTTAGCTTTGGGACTTCTTTCTTTCCAGATGTCTATCTGATGTGACTTCTCTTTTTGAATGATTAAATATTAAGCCTTTTGATGCTCAGAATGAAAGCCTTAGCATGCATAAAAAGCATTATCAGCTGCTTCAGTGTAAAACTGCCCCCAAACACTTACAGTTCAAATACAGCAGCCCAGTCTGGAAGGAAAAGTAAATGGGTAAGACCAGCTCCATGCATTCCAATAAATATGTCCGTGTTGTGTGTGATCCTTAGTTGATCTAAAAACCCAAGTTCTCTGTAAACATACAGAATAACACAAGAGAGATGGGGAAAAGAGAGAAGTATCAGGTTGGCTCATGATTCACAGTAAGGCTATTTATAAAAGTGTATTTCCCATTTAAAACCACATTCCATTTTTAAGAACCACTTTTGCCAATTTCAAGTGCACTCTAGCAATTAATACATCAATTTCTTAATCATTTAACATATTTTCTTTGAGACAGAGTTTTGCTCTGGTTGCCCAAGCTGGAGTGCAATGGCACAGTCTCAGCTCGCTGCGACCTCCACCTCCCAGGTTCAAGCAATTCTTCTGCCTCAGCATCCCGAGTAGCTGGGATTATAGACATGGACCACCACGCTGAGCTATTTTTTTGTATTTTTAGTAGAAATGGGATTTCACCATGTTAGCCAGGCTGGTCTTGAACTCCTGACCTCAGGTGATCTGCCTGCCTCTGTCTCCCAAAGTGCTGGGATTACAGGCGTGAGCACCTGGCCAATAATGTAACATTTTTTCTAAGTAAGGTCACCTATCCTTTTAGGCTTACATTTATTTTTAAAGAAAACTTTAAATGGAAAATCAGCGACACATGACATCAATAAAATTGTAAAAATTAATATAATCAAACTCAGTAGTATTCAAATCGAGGTATATACTATTGCAAGACAAAGCTCGGAGCCGGAAGCCTGCTTTCTGCACGAAAAAGAGAAATTAGCAAGTGTTAAAGAGATGTTGTGACACACTAGCACTAAATTAAAAACTATTTCCTTTGGATAACAAAAGGATTTAAAAAAAATTTCTCCTAGTGTGATTTAAGCTTTTTAATGCCATCTGGGTACACCCAAAACGATCTCAGATACCACCAGGGCACTATCCTGCCTTTGCAAAAGACAAATCCACAGTTTTATGCATGTTAGGATGGTACAAGTGTTCTCTAAATCCAAGACACTGACAGATGTGTAAACTTTCAACCAAAAATCAGTCCCAAAAGAGTTCACTGAGGTGAGGCTAGGGAGAAATGCTAGAGTAAGGGTGACACTCCGAATAAACAGAAAGAAATGAGATCTTTCAGCCCCACTTTACACAAAGTAAAGAAAAATAAATGATCACAATTATTTTGGATCTAAGAAAGGAAGGTGAATTCCTGTTTACACCAGCTAACAACAAAAACTCTGCATAGGAAAAGGAAGACAGCTCTGTGGGTATGTGTATCGCACCGAGAACAGGTGCCTCAGTTTCTCCAGGAATGTGAACTGATGCCATTCGCCCAGGTGAACATACCCCTGGAGCTGCCAGCTGTGGAAACGCCTGTGGTCAGTGCTCACCAATCCCCACACTAACATGTTACTAACATTTCCCACAGACTGGCAAGTTATGAATTTATTGTCATTCTGGCTTATCTGAGAAACTCCAACACATCCTTAAAACCAGTCAATAATACAGCTTCAGAGGTGCCCTTCCCAGTTCTTTCCATTCCTTCCCAACCTCATCTCAGTGAATGGTTTTGGGACTGATGTGGGAGCCCCGTCTTGGCTCACTCATTTCTTTATGCAACACTGAAGGTAGCCAGTGCAGCACAGTATAATCTGTAAAATGGGACGAGCTGTGCTAACTCAGAAAACTGTTGAAAGCATGGGATGAGATAAAGCAAGTAAGCATAAACATACATCTCAATAAATAGTTGTTTTTATGACTGCTATTTATGTTCAGTGTCTCAGATCCCCAGGATGAGAGTTATGCCATCCTCCATAATGGGATTCCTACTGCTGAGCCTGGTGACTAGCTCATGGGTCCACAGTTTAGAGATTTATTGCACAAATGAATTAACGTATGATGAATGAAGTGCAAAGCTCCCATGCTTACATTCTCTGAAATTACATTTATCTATATTAGATACCCACGTGCTGGGATATATATACTTATTTTATTATATATACTTTAAGTTCTGGGATACATGTGCAGAACATGCAGGTTTGTTACATAGGTATACACTTGCCATGGTGATTTGCTGCACCCATCAACCTGTCATCTACATTAGATATTTCTCCTACTGCTGGGAAATATATACTTCCTTTACCTGAAAAGCATTCTTAGTGTTAGATTTGGAAAACACAGCTGTGATTGTGGGTGGACATGGAGACAAAAGTTTTCACTTTTCCTTTTGATCTATTCTATACTGCTTGACTTTTGCAACCAGAAGCATGTACTACTTTTACCAGGAAGATGGAATTCTAGCAACAGAAATTACCCAGACTGTGAATAATAGACATATTCTGTCTTTCTAAGCCTTTTAGTTATATTAGAGTTTTAAAAGAAATGTAAACATGTTATGCAATTTTTTAAAAATCTCAAGTTATTCGGACACTCAAATTATCCCCACATACATAATTTGAAGTCAGATGTTGAAATCTGGCAGCTAGGAGGGAAAACTACTTGCCTTTTTTTTTTGAGACGGAGTCTCACTCTGTCACCAGTCTGGAGTGCAGTGGCACGATCTTGGCTCACTGCAACCTCTGCCTCCCGGGTTCAAGCCATTCTTCTGCCTCAGCCTGCTGAATACGTGGAACTACAAGCACACACTGCCATGCCTGGCCAATTTTTTGTATTTTTTAGTAGAGACAGGGTTTCACTGTGTTGCCCAGGCTGGTCTTGGACTCCTGAGCTCAGGCAATTCACCTACCTTGGCCTCCCAAAGTGGTAGGATTACAAGCATGAGCCACCACTTCCAGCCCGTCAATTTTTTTAAACTTCTGAAATTTTAGGCTGGGTGCAGTGGCACATTCCTGTAATTGCAGCACTTTGAGAGGCAGAGGCAGGCGGATTACTTGAGGTCAAGACTTCAAGACCAGCCTGCCCAACATGTTGAAACCTCATCTCTACTAAAAATACAAAAATTAACCCAGGAGGTGGAGGTTGCGGCGAGCCGAGATCGCGCCATTGCACTCCAGCCTGGGTAAACAAGAGCAAAACTCTGTCTCAAAGAAAAAAAAAATACAAAAATTAGCCAGACATGGTGGCATATGCCTGTAGTCCTAGCTACTTGGGAAGCAGAGGCAGAAGAACTGCTTGAACCCAGGAGGCGGAGGTTGCAGTGAGCCGAGATGGTGCCACTGTATTCCTGCCTGGATGACAGAGCAAGACTCTGTCCCCCAGCCCCTGCCAAAAAAAGCTCTGAAATTGTAAATGGAAATCTGAATTCATCACTTCTTTTGAGTAAGGAGATGGAGTCACAACAGCAGGCCCCAGAAAGCTGAAAAGTAACTGCTCCTGTTCCCCAGGCCCTCACCTGCCCATTTCATTCATTTACAGTGTCTGCTTATCCCTTCTGAGCCTACAAATACCAACAGCTCCCACTGGAAAAATGCTTTCTCACCCCCTTGACCTCATCCAAGCAAAAGCTGACAGTGTCTGCTGAGATTAGCTATTACTTACTTATACTTGTAATCAACAATCTGGACTTCAAATGTAGATACTGTTTTCAGTGCATTTACAAGCTGGGAAAAAAAGAGAAACATTTAGCATTTCTTTTCCTTCTTTCCCTTCTGTTTTACTCTCCTTTATGGGTCCTAAAATTTCTTCTTTTTTTGCATGTAATATTTCAGATATTAAATATCATTTGGTAACAACAACATAAAAAGAAAATAAATAATAAATATCATTTGGGTCAATCATTTTGAACAGTCATTAAATTCAAATCCAGGCTTCACCTGTGAACACATGACTCTACCTCCCTCAGATACCAACACACTGTGTTGTTGTGAGGCTGAAAGGAGAAAATTCATGGAAGCAAAGTGCTAAGCACAGAAATACACTAACCATGAACTGTTGTTATTACCAAGTGCTTATTATTCCCTCAACTTTCTTTATTTTTATTTTTTTAGAGATGGGGTTTTACTATGTTGGCCAGGATGGTCTCCATCTCCTGACCTTGTGATCTGCCCATACATTTTTGGGTACTAGAATACCCAAAATGTTCCAGACTTTACCTTCAGAGTTTTTGTCCCACCCATTATCTCATTTCAGACAACCCACTAGCACTTTGAACCTCATCCTCTGAAAATACTAAGGTCTTGGCAGAAAAACATTTTCAGTACTTCTACATAGTAAAACAATTATTCTGGCCATGTGTGGTGGCTCAAGCCTGTAATCCCAGCACTTTGGGAGGCCAAGGCAGGTGGATCACCTAAGGTCAGGAGTTGGAAACCAGCTTGCCAACATGGTGAAGCCCCGTCTCTACTAAATATACAAAAATTAGCCAGGCGTGGTGGTGGGTGCCTGTAATCCCAGCTACTTGGGAGGCTGAGACAGGAGACTCGCTTGAACCCAGGAGGCAGAGGGTGCAGTGGGCTGGGATCTCACCGCTGCACTCCAGACTGGGTGGCAGAGCGAGACTCTGTCTCAAAAAAAGAAAAAAAAGAGAAAGAAAAACAATTATTCTTCTAGCAAACAAAAAGTAATAAAGCATTGTTAATCTGTTATCAAAAATACAGTCACGGTTCTCTGTGTCCCTCACAATTAGGCCACTGGATATCGGCACCACTCAGAAATTTCTGCACCTGTATCATGTTGCCTTGTGGCATACACAACACTGCAACAGCAATATCAACAGTTGCAAGTATCATTGACGGGGCACGTAAATGGTGCTGGCATTTCTAAGTGTGTCATTAGGTTTACTTCATTCAATATTTGTAAGAATCCTATCAAATGGCTGAGCACAGTGGCTCATGCCTGTAATCCCAGTACTTTGGGGGGCCAAGGCAGGTGAATCACCCGAGGTCAGGAGTTCAAGACCAGACTGACCAACACGGTGAAATCCTGGCTAATTCAAAATTAGCCAGGTGTGGTGGTGCATGCCTGTAATCCCAGCTACTTGGAGGGCTGAGGCAGGAGAATCACTTGAATCTAGGAGGTGGAGGTTGCAGTGAGCCGAGACTGTGCCACTGTACTACACCCTAAGCAACAATAGCGAAACTCCGTCTCAAAAAAAAAGTCATATCAAGTAAGTATTAGTACTATGCCCACTTTACAAATTAGACAAGATAGGCTTGGAGAAGTAAAATAACTTTTCCAGGATCTTACAGCTCCCAAATGCACAGACAAAAATAAATCTAGGTCTTCTGACCCCAGAACCTGTGTTCCTAACCAGTGTACTCTATTGTCCTGCCTACAGAAAGCAACAAGCAATGACCAAGATTTAATCCCCTCCCGTGTGTGTGTGTGTGTGTCTCTCTCTCTCTCTCACACACACACACACACATACACACACACACAGAATCATGACATGGAAATTTCTCTCTCCAGATAGCTTCTGAACTCTTACAAAGATTTGAAGGGATAGGAAGATTAGAACTGTTTTACAGGAGAGAATTAGTCAGATGGTATAAGCCTTGGTCTTTTAACGAGATTGCCCACATAAAAAGGTCTCAGGGAAAGCATACCCTTTTTCACTTCTAGTTGCACAAGAAAGGTGGCCCTAACCCTTCCAGTGGCTATTCAAACCCTGAAGTTGGGCAGGATTCCACAAGCCATGATTTAATGAGGCCATTTGGGTTGTGTTAACTATTTATTAATCGAAGTATAGCCAAAGATGCTTTCTTCCCTGCCCAGGAGCTGTCTTTCTAGTGACATTCAATCCTCAGGAGAGAAGCAGCCAGCTGGGTGCTCTTTGGCTTGGAGTTGGGGGCTGAATGATAAAATTTCACCTTTGGCTGCCATCATCTGGGCAAGGTGCACGACTGGATCTGAAAGCCTCAACCCTGCACTGAAGCACCTACCAGCACTATATCTTTCTACTAGACTTCTCTGCAGCAACCTGATGCTGTTCCTTAGCCTGCCCCTTCCTGATGGACAGGGGTCAGGGGTAGATTCCACTTCCTCTGAAGTCTATTTGCTGTTTTAGCAGTAGCATACTCTGGCTAAGAAAGCAGTTTCAGTCCCTGACTACTTTCACTCATGCCCCTGTTACTCTAATCACCAGCTGGGTGACCTTAGGCATGTTTTTTTAACCACTGTGCCTGAGTGGTTGTCTGTCCTTGTCTAGAACAGAAGACAATAACACAATACCTACCTCATGGGTTTGCTGGGAGGGTTGGGAGGCATAATGTACAAAAGGAGCACATAATATATGCTTTAGGGCCAGGCGCGGTGGCTCACGCCTGTAATCCCAGCATTTTGTGGGGCTGAGGTGGGAAGATCACAAGGTCCAAGAGATCGAGACCATCCTGGCCAAGATGGTGAAACCCCGTCTTAACTAAATACAAAAATTAGCTGGGTGTGATGGCGCACACCTGTAGTCCCAGCTGCTTGGGAGGCTGAGGCAGGAGAATCACTTGACCCCAGGAGGCAGAGGTTACAGTGAGCTGAGATCGTGCCACTGCACTTCAGCCTGGTGACAGAGCGAGACTCTATCTCAAAAAAGTAAAAAAATAAAACAATAATAATATGCTTGACCCCCAATTAGCACTCAATATATGGTCTATATCAACATATACTGTTGACCTGTTGGCTACTGAGGCTTCCCATTTGTATACCCAACAGTGCACTATTTGATATGTTCTTATTTCTAGGTCTTTAAACACACACATACAAATACACACACACACCCACACACACACTGCTCATTTCTTACATCCACAGAGCTTACAATTAACACCTCATTATGCCATATGTTCATGTCCTCTGTAATCCATATGGGTCTTAGGAAGAGATGTTAATTACATAATTCTGATCAGCCTGTTAGGCAGCCAAATTAGTCTATGTAAAATATTTTACCCATCAAAACCTAACTCCCCCGCTTCCTTCCTACTATTTTCCATTTTGTTCCCACCTACCTGCTTAAGTTCAAAGCCTCGAGTCGCACTTGATCCTTGATACCTTTCCTGGCCTTCTCTAACGTGAATGTACTTTTATACTCCAAAAGTAAGTATCGATCCTATCTCCAAAATATATTTTGAATCTGCCTACCGTGTCATCTCTACTGTCATTACTTTAGCTAAACGCTCTCCCTGGGCCACAAGAACAGTTTCTGATCAATCTCATGCTCTCAGCTCTTATAGGCAGAATGACTTAAAAATAAATGTCAACTCATGTCTCTCCCTCTGTATTTGTTTTCCATTTGCTGCTGTAACAAACTGCCTCAAATTTAGCAGCTTAACACAACAAAATTTATCCCCTTACAATTCTGCAGGATTGGAGCCTGACATGGGTCTCACTGGGCTAACATCAGGATGTCAGCAGGGCTGTGTTCCTTCCACGGGCTCCAGAGAAGAAGGGAAAATTGCCTTTTCCAGCTTCTAGAAGCCCTCCACACTCCATGGCTCGAGGCATGCCCCATCCATCTTCAAAGCCAACAACATGGCATCTCTGGCCCCACTTCCCTTATATCTCCTTCTCTGACTCTCTTCCCTGCCTCCCTCTCACACTTTTAAGGAAATGATGAACTGAGATCTGATCAATGAGAAGAATCCAGTGAAGAAAAGAGTTGTCCAGGCAGAGGCAAAAGTTCTCTGGTGTATGGAGTGTAAGGCCCATTTGTGATTTTACTGGGCTCTTGGGGATAATCCAGGATAATCTCCTTACTTTAAGGTTAGTTGGTTGGGGACCTTAATTCCATCCACAACCTTACTTTCCCTTTGCCATGTAACCTAACCAGTTCACAGATTCCAAGGATTTGGATGTGGACATCTTTTGCAGGGAGGAGGAAGAGACATTCTACCGACAACAGCCTACTTACAATTTCACAGTGGCTTTCCCCTACACGGGAATAAAATCGCTCTCCCACTAAGGTCTAGGAGGCTGATATGATCTGTGCCTCCATGCACCATGCCCTACTTCTCTGAGTGCTTGGATATCACGCCACTTCTCTCACAATGCTACAGCCATATTGGGGTATTCTCTCTGTTTCTAGAATATTGACAGCTCATTTACCTCTGCCCGGGAGGCTCTTTCTCTTGATAGATTCGTCTCTGATTAGGTCTCAGTCTAAGCAGCGCCTCTTTGAATGCTCTCACCTAACTGCCAACCTCTTTCCACCCACATCCCCAGTCTCTATGATATCGCCCTGGTTCATATCCTTCGAAGCACTTATCACTGCCTAACATCACCATACTTATAGACTTCTTTACTTGCTTCTTATCTGTCTCTCACCTCTAGAGTGTAAGCTCCATGAGGGCAGGGCCTAGAACATGGCCTGGCACATAGCAGTTGCTCAATGAATTATTGTGGAATAAATTCTTACTACTGTGAGGCTATCTACAGGCCAAGATGTTGTAGGTAGTAGCCTTGGATGGTGATCTCATTGAGGTTAAATATAATTTATGAGTTGGTGCTACTGAAATGAGTGAGGATGCCTGAAATGCAGTTTCTAAGACATAGTCACGTATGAGGACAGACTCTTGCAACTTAATCTGCCACTGATACCACAGGATTGATGCCATTTTTTGCATCAACTATGCAAAAGAAAGTCTTGCATTTTTGCTACTCATTTGTCCAGATGCCCTCTACTGCAGTAAAGGCAAGATTCAGATAGCTTTTCCCATGCTGAGTTGATGCAGATTCACATTTACTATAAGGCAAAGCTACTTTGTCCATGGGTGGTTTGGTGAATTTTACTAGAAATTCAAATCCAATAAATGAACTAGACATAGGCCATCAAACTTTTCTCAAAACTAATAGTTTTAAACCGAAGCTTTTAATGTAATATGAAAAAAAAACAAAGCACAGTGGTCCTGGGAAGGCAAATTCACTATGAAGGCATTAAAGACGCATACCAAAAACTAACCTCATTTTGGTTTAGGATTTTCCGGTATTCCGTGCTCCGTGCAAGAATGGTGACTCGAATTTTTCCATCCTGTAATCAAAATGAAACAGCAAAATAACACTGTAAATGTCTGGGTAGATGAATGAACATCTGAACCTAAAATGTAATTTCACAAAGTGATGAAACTCAACCAGGATACATTAATGAACTATTCTTTTTTAGCCTGATTCCTTCACCATTCTCAGGGAATAAAAACGTATCCACTTTAGCTACTGAGGGCAAAAACCAGCTCATCACATTATCTGTTTGGCTGGGTGGGTGAATTTCTTGGCAGGGGATGTGTAGGTTAGATGAAGATTTGGGGAGGTGAGGGAGATACAGCCAATGAAGGGGGAAAGGAAGGCAGGAGGAAGCATTCTTGTAATATCCCTTATCTTTTCTTTCATAGGGTTTTGACACCTGGTTTCAGAGGACTCTAGGTCAAAAAATGTTTTTGGTTTTTTTGGGGGGACAGACTCTTGCTCTGTCACCCAGGCTGGCGTGCAAAGGCATGATTGGAGCTCACTGCAGCCTCTGCCTCCTAAGTTAAAGCGATTCTCATGCCCCAGCCTCCTGAGTAGCTGGGTCTGCAGGCACATGCCACCACATCTGGCTGATTTTTCTATTTTTTGTAGAGATAGGGTTTCACCATGTTGGCAAGGCTGGTTTTAAAATCCTGGACTCAAGTGGTCTACCTGTCTTAGCCTCCCCAGAAAATGTTAACACAAAAACATAGTCTCCTGATTATTTCTGTTTCTGAAAAGATAGTATTGATTTTTATTAGGGAAGAAAACTCAAGCCCACCTCAGAATCCAGTGTATCCATTACCTTGGGTCCTTCTTGTGTGATGTTTAGTCTGTGTAGTACATGCTGGGAAAATGCCCTGAATAGTCCAGTATTTTGACAGCCAGATATCTAAAACAAAAACACCAGTTCATATTACAGTGAATACTCTGTGTTGCAATTTAAGATACTGTCAGGTTACATATAAATGTTATCTTAAAATCTATCAAGACTAATGTCTATAAAGATAAATGCTAATTGTGCTTACCAGAGGAGTATTATAGAACAGCCCATACCTCATACGGGGGAGTAATGAAAAAACAGCTTCTTTAAAACATACCTAAGAACAAAGATACATTAAAAGATAAGAGGATGTAATCTGCACCCTTCACACCAAAATAGCACTTATAATTTTGAAAAATAGATTTTAATTAATCTCCATTTGGCATTAAGATTGTATGAATAGCACAATATTTCACTCAAAGAGAACAGAATTCATATTTTTGGAAAAATTATAGAAAAAAGTTTTCAAAGGCTGCATGATTACCAACACCGAGGATTCTAATTATAATAAAGAAAATTCAGAAATCAGTGGTGATGGCTAATAGGAATTCATAATAAATGTTTATGAGCGAGTCATCTGCACACAACAGACGTTCATTCAGACATTTCAGGAAAATTTCCAGTACCCTTTTGGAATCGTAAGTTTTCAAATGTATAATGTCATAATCAGTAAATGCATTCCATGTGTCAGAGAATAGGTCACCATATCCGTAAGAACTCTGAAAGCAGAAACAAAACAAGGTTTTAGGGCAATAAAAGCCTACAACATGACTTTTCAAAGATGCCACAAAATACCTGAATTTGCCTGTTAGTGTTAAAAACTAACAATCCTACACAAGTTCATAAAATTCATATAGGCAAAATGGATCTTCATCTTGGGCCTGAGCAAATGCCTAATCTGATGAAATATCATCAGAAATAATTATCACAGTTATACTCTTAGCCATTAACAATGTTTCATTTTTCTACCTTCACTTTTTCTTCTCACATCTTTGAAGCTGTAGTTCAGGGTTTCTTCCTGTGAACATCTTACCTAAATTATTCATACAACACATACATATGTCACCGTTTGTACACATTCTATTATGCTCAGTGTGCAAAAGCCATCAGGGTGAATGAAATACACTTTGGATCAAAATTTCAGAACAAGAAAATGGGTTGAAGGTTTTAACATTGGCCAGGCATGGTGGCTCATGCCTATAATCCCAGCACTTTGAGAGGCCAAGGCAGGCAGATCACAAATATGATAAAACCCCATCTCTACTAAAAATACAAAAATTAACCGGGCATGGTGGCATGTGCCTGTAATCCCAGCTACTGGGGAGGCTGAGACAGGCGAACCAATCACTTGAACCAGGGAAGTGGAGGTTGCAGTGAACCGAGATTGTGCCATTACACTCCAGCCTGGCCAACAAAAGCAAAACTCCGTCTCAAAAAAAAAAAAGTTTTAACACTAAAAATATAAACCCGTCAGTGGCTCATGCCTGTAATCCCCTTAGGGAGGCAAAGGTGGGAAGATTACTTGAGCCTTGAAATTTAAGGCTGCAGTGAGCTATGATCATGCATATACTCCAGCCTGGATAACAGAGCAAGACCTTGTCTCAAATAAAATAAAACTTGATAATGTATGTAATTCTATGAAATGTCCCCCCACCCACTGACTAGTGAATAAAAAGTGACAATTTCCCACTAATATTAACGGTGTCAATAACACCTTTATATAATAATAATAGCATCCTGTACACTTCCTGTGTTCCAGGCACTGTTCTTGGGCACTTGACATTACTAGTGTACATTAAGCCACCCACAAGCCTAATGAGTAGATAATATCATTTTCCCTATCTTGCAGATGAGGAAACTGAGGTACAATTTTAAGTCATTTGCCTACATTGCAGAGTAGCTGAGTTACAGAGCTGGGATTCAACCTAGCCTGTGCTGCCAGCTCGATCTGACAGCTGCTTCTCAGTGGGAACTAGTTCTTTCTAGTATATTTACCACATGCATTATTTTATTTTATTTTTTGGAGATGGAGTCTTGCCCTGTCACCCAGGCTACAGTGTGCACTGGCATGACCCAGGCTCACTGCAACCTCCGCCTCCCAAGTTCAAGCAATTCTCCTGCCCCAGCTGCCCAAGTAGTGGGGATTACAGGTGCACACCACCACACCCAGCTAATTTTTATATTTTTTGGTAGAGACAGGGTTTCACCATATTGGCCAGGCTAGTCTCAAACTCCTGAGCTCAAGTGATGGGCCCACCTCGGCCTCCCAAAGTGCTGGGATTATAGGTGTGAGCCACCATGCCCAGCCTCATTTCTTTTTTGAAAAGTAGTTAATTATGAGCTCCATCAGCTAAGAGGAGGAAGATCAATTAATTTTTAAGTGGTTTCACTTAGATTAAAAAATTCAGCCAATAGAATTCAGAAATATGCATTGTAGCATTACATTCAAGGTCTATAGTTAGTTATACATTACGTTCATTATGTTCACGTCTTTTTACCTTTATGGCATTCTTTTCTCAGATTTTAAAAATTTTATGTTGCACATATTACAATTATTTCAAAGTTACTGAGATCTGTTAGATGTGATGATTAAAAAAAAAAACAGAAAACCTTCCTTCAATGTTCCTCCAATGCCATTCTAATAAAGGCCCTTCTCAACACCATCTAAAATGAAATGTCCCTGTTCTGGCTTAATAATAAATAAAGGGCAATTAAAAGAAGTGATTCTAGATGGGTTCCTGAGATAAAATACTTCAGATAAAATAAGATATGTTTGAAAGAAAATTTTAATAATAAAATACAGTAATCCTGACTGATCCTTCCTCAGGGAAGTCATACATTATTTAGTAAGAACCACCACCAGAAGCTTCTTTTCCATGTTCCCCAAATCCAAATTATCTACCATGAGGGAAGGAGGGGCTTCTTCCTACACTCATGTTGAAGAATATTTGGATAGTCTTCCAGATGACAAAAAATCCCCTTTAGTATGTCTCAAATTTAAACATGCACATAATCTATGACTTAGAAATTCACTTACAGGAATCTGTCCTACCGAAATGCTAGGATGAGCATGTGAAAATACAGGTATATTGAAAGGACATATGTATTTGCAGTCGCATTTCAGTAAATAGTAAAGAACTGGAAACAAAACTAAATGTGATGTGGGGGCGGGAAATGAATAATGAATACATGCACTGAAGCACGGATCCAACTTCCAAAACATCTATTGAATAGAACACCACGTAACACCTACAGCAAGGATAGCCCTAAATGTACTGACTTAGAAAGATGTTCTGGAGATAATATTAAGGTGGCAGATGAGACAGAGAGTATATTTTCCATAAGAATATAAACATATTGGCCAGGCATAGTGGCTTATGGCTGTAATCCCAGTGCTCTGGGAGGCTGAGGTGGGAAGATCACTTGAGGCCAGGAGTTCAAGACTGTATCTGTCCACTTTCACACTGCTGATAAAGACATACCCTAGGCTGGGAAGAAAAAGAAGTTTAATTGGACTTACAGTTCCACGTGGCTTGGGAGGCCTCAGAATCATGGTGGGAGGTGAAAGGCACTTAAATGGCAACAGCAAGAGAAAATGAGGATGAAGCAAAAGCGGAAATCCCTGATAAGCCCATCAGATCTCCTGAGACTACTCACTAACATGAGAATAGCATGGGAAAGACCAGCCCCATGATTCAATTATCTCCCCCTGGGTCTTTCCCACAAAACACAGGAATTCTGGGAGATAAAATTCAAGTTGAGATTTGGTGGAAACACAGCCAAACCATATCATTCTGCTCCTGGCCCCTCTAAATCTCATGTCCTCACATTTCAAAACCAATGATGCCTTCCCAACAGTCCCCCAAAGTCTTAACTCATTTCAGCAGTAACCCAAAAGTCCACAGTCCAAAGTCTCATCTGAGAAAAGGCAAGTCCTTCTGCCTATGAGTCTGTAAAACCAAAAGCAAGCTAGTTACTTCCTAGATACAGTGCGGGTACCAGTACTGGGTAAATACAGCCATTCCAAATAGGAGAAATTGGCCACAACAAAGGGGATACAGGGCCCACGCAAGTCCGAAATCTAGTGGGGCAGTCAAATTTTTTTTTTTTTTTTTTTTTTTTTTGACGGAGTTTCGCTCTTGTTACCCAGGCTGGAGTGCAATGGCGCAATCTCGGCTCACCGCAACCTCCGCCTCCTGGGCTCAGGCAATTCTCCTGCCTCAGCCTCCCGAGTAGCTGGGATTACAGGCCGTCAAATTTTAAAGCTCCAAAATGATCTCCTTTGACTCCCGGTCTCACATCGAGGTTACGCTGATGCATGAGGTAGGTTCCCATGGTCTTGGGCAGCTCTGCTCCTGTGGCTTTGCAGGGTACTGTCTCCCTCCTGGCTGGTTTGACAGGTGGGTGTTGAGTGCCTGCAGCTTTTCCAGGCGCACAGTTCAAGCTGTCAGTGGATCTACCATTCTGGGGTCTGGAGGATGGTGACCCTCTTCTCACATCTCCACTATGGCAACACCCCTGTGTGGGGACTCCAACCCCACATTTCCCTTCCACACTGACCTAGCAGAGGTTCTCCATGAGGGCCCAGGCCCTGCAGCAAATGTTTGCCCCAGCATCTAGGCATTTCCATACATCTGAAATCTAGGCAGAGGTTCCCAAACCTCAATTCTTGACTTTGTGCACTGCATAGAAGTTGCCAAGGCTTGGGGCTTCCACCCTCTGAAACCACAGCCTGAGCTGTACATTGGCCCTTTGCAGCCACAGCAGAAGTAGCTGGGGCACAAGGCACCAAATTCCTAGGTTGCACACAGCTCGGGGACCCTGGACACAGCTCACAAAATCACTTTTTCCTCCTGGGCCTCCGCCGGGAAGCTGACGCGAAGGTTTCTGACGTGGCTTGGAGACATCTTCCCCATAGTCTTGGGGATGAACATTAGGTTCCTTGCTATTGATGAAAATTTCTGCAGCTGGCTTGAATTTCTCCCCAGAAAATGGGCTTTTATTTTCTATCACATAGTAAGGCTGCAAATTTTGAATGCTTTGCTGCTTAGAAATTTCTTCTGCCACCAGGCGTGGTGGCTCACGCCTGTAATCCCAGCACTTTGGGAGGCCAAGGCGGGAGGATCACGAGGTCAGGAGATCAAGACTATCCTGGCCAACATGGTGAAACCCCGTCTCTACTAAAAATACAAAAATTAGCTGGGTGTGGTGGCACGTGCCTGTAATCCCAGCTACTTGGGAGGCTGAGGCAGGAGAATTGCTTGAACCTGGGAGGCGGAGGGTGCAATGAACCAAGATCATGCCACTGTACTCCAGCCTGGTGCCTGGCGACAGAGAGAGACTCTGTCTCAAAAAAAAAAAAAAAAGAAATTTCTTCTGCCAAATGCCCTAAATCATCTCTCTCAAGTTCAAAGTTCCACAAATCTCTAGGGCAGGGGCAAATGCCACCAGTCTTTTTGCTAAAACAAGAGTCACCTTTGCTCCAGTTCCCAAAAGGTTCCTCATCTCCATCTGAGACCACCTCAGCCTGGATTTTATTGTCCGTATCACTATCAGCATTTTAGGCAAAGTTATTCAACGAGTCTCTAGGAAGTTCCAAACTTTCCCAGAGTTTCCTGTTTTCTTCAGAGCCCTTCAAACTGTTCCAATCTCTGCCTGTTCACCAGTTCCAAAGTCGCTTCCACATTTTCAGGTATCTTTTCAGCAATGCCCCACTCTAGTGATTCCAATTTAATGTATTAGACCGTTTTTAGGCTGCTGATAAAGATATACCCAAGACTGGGAAGAAAAAGAGGTTTCATCGAGCTTACAGTTCCACATGGCTGGAGAGGCTTCAGAATCATGGTGGGAGGTGATAGGCACTTCTTACATGGTGGTGGTAAGGGAAAATGAGGAAGAAGCAAAAGTGGAAACCCCTGATAAACCGATCAGATCTCATGAGACTTATTCACTATCACAAGAATAGCACAGGAATGACCAGCTTCCATGATTCAATTACCTCCCCATGGGTCCCTCCCACACATGTGGGAATTCTGGGAGATACAAATCAAGTTGAGGTTTGGTGAGGACACAGCCAAACCATATCAAAGACCAATCTGGGTACCATAGTGAGATCTTGTCTCTACAGAAAATAAATTTAAATATTAGCCAGATGTCCAATCAGAAGACAGTAACATATATTATATACATATACACACACATATATATATAGTATATATATAGTACAACTACACACACACACACACACACACACTATTATAACATATACATGGAAAAAAATAGCCAGGTATGGTGGCATGCACCTGTAGTCTTAGCTACTTGGGAGGCTGAGGAAGGATGATCACCTAAGTCCAGGAGAGCAAGGCTGCAGTGAGCTAGGATCATCTTCCTGGACTTAAGCCTGGGTGACATACTTACACTTATTAAAAAGAGTCTTGCAAGGGACTCACACATGTTCATTGCAGTTATCCTTGGGGGAACATGGAATTGGAGAAGAGGAAGGAGACTTTTTAAAAAACTTTGCGGCTGGGCGCAGTGGCTCACACCTATAATCCCAGCACTTTGGGAGGCTGAGGTGGGTGGATCACAAGGTCAAGAGATCAAGACCATCCTGGTCAACAAGGTGAAACCCCATCTCTACTAAAAATACAAAAAAAATTAGCTGGGCATGGTGGCACGTGCCTGTAATCCCAGCTACTCGGGAGGCTGAGGCAGTAGAATTGCTTGAACCCAGGAGGCGAAGGTTGCAGTGAGCCGAGATCGCGTCATTACATTCCAGCCTGGGTAACAAGAGCGAAACTCCGTCTCGGAAAACAAACAAACAAAAAAAAAAACTTTGCATACTTCTGTGTTGTTTGAACTCATTACAAGAGGTATTACTTTTATAGTTTAAAAAGTAATCATGGCTGAATACAGTGGCTCATGCCTGTAATCTCAGCACTTTGGGAAGCCAAGGCAGCGGATCACCTACGGTCAGGAATTTGAAACCAGCCTGGTCAGCATGATGAAACCCTGTCTCTACTAAAAATACAAAAATCAGCCAGGCATGGTAGCACACACCGTAATCACAGCTACTGGGGAGGCTGAGGCAGGAGAATCGCTTGAACCTGGGAGGTGGAGCTTATAGTGAGCAAAGATGGTGACACTGTACTTGAGCCTGGGCAACAGAGCAAGATTCCGTCTCAAAAACAAACAAAATAATCATAAAGCTATACTGCTTCTCAGCATAAGCAAAGGTGGAAAGGCTGCAGTAATTTCCCCTTTTATTTATTCTGTTTGATAACAGTGGTCCTGCTGTGCCCAGAGAGGCATCTGAAGATGGGCCCTTCTATGCATGTTTGCAGGTTGATGGCCTTGCCCATCCCACTGAGGATGCCATGTGCTGAAGGGAGTAAATTGCAGTTTTTCAAGGGGAAAGGGAAGGCCCCATAGGCTTCCTTGTGGGAACCGTTGGGAAAAATGTCACCAAGATATGATCTGCAGTCATGGCTACCTCCCTGTTCTTCCCTGGGCAAATTGCTCATCCCAGACCATCAGGACTCTGGCAACACCATCCACTGAGGGGGATTCATGTCATGGGCACCCTGTAGGTTACAGTGTTGCTTAATTTAAGTCCTTACCAACAAAAGAGAAATGGTGGCCACACAAACCCTTGCTTAGTGCCATCCCCATCCAACCTACCATCTTCTGTGGGCCTGAATTCTGGAGCAATCTGGCAGAGCCACCTGTCCTGAGAAACTGGCTAAGTAAATGGCAACAGCCTCTTTGACCAAGAGTGCAGGTTTAAAATGTATGCACAGGGAGTGGCCAAGGAGAGGGGTAACACCGAGCAGCCACCCTGCTGGGCAACACCCATCCTGCTTATCTGTGCCAGAATCAAAGTCAGACTGTCCTCATGTCTTGTGCTCAGCTGACTGAGTAACCTGGGGTCTTCATGGTGGCTGTGTATCCTACTCCAGTAGGCACAGAAAAGGGGAGGGTTGTAGAAGCTGGCTCACTATAGCTTAGTCCATTTGAGGAAGACATGGAAAAGTATGCAACAGGTACAAGGAAGCTTCTGGAAGGCGTCTGATAAACTTTATGTCAACTTAGTCTGGCAACTTAGGTAGAGTCCTCTTCACAGGATTTTAGGAAGATAATAGAGCACTGTGATGTCTGAGCACAGGTCTGGGGTCAGGCCGCCTGGATGGAATCCTTGGTTCCACCCTCACTGACTACATCATCTCAGAACACTCACCTGCTACTCAGGCCTCAGCCTCTTGTCTATAAAATAAGCTAATGAAAACTAAAGTACATGAGGGGTCCATGAGCATGAAATGAAATAACATGACTATGTTAATTACGAAATTTAAAAATAGCTTTGTTTAGAAAGGGCAAAACAGCCCTGAGTTAATCGTTTAGGGCTTGTAATGGCTGGTGATTTGTGGCCTGACTGCAATGATACAAAAAGAAGGAAAGAAAGGAACTGTTGTTCCCTTTGCTCACAAAACATTTCCAAGAAATGAAACTGTGGTGGCAGCAAAACTGAAATGCAAGCAGGAAATGTAAATGCATACAGATGGAAAATGAAAGAAAGCATTACCATGCCAAAAATTACAGTTTCATCAGACTTCAAATCTAACTCAAAGTCTAGGGAGCAGTGATCCTGAAAACTTTTCTACACAGCTCTACTACAAGCCTCTTGTCAGTGAAAAAGGGGTCAGCAAAAACTCTCCTTCTGCATGAGAATTTGACCTTCTGTTAACTGGCTAACTCAGCTCTCTGAAAATGAAAACAGCTTGTGTCAACCATGCGCCTAGGCAACATTGCTTCTGACCTAAAAAGATGCTTGATAGGTAAATTGCTTCTGGACTGGGAAAGTCATGTTTCAGATTCTCTGAGTCCACTGACTCCTGGAACCTGGCATGTCTCTTTCAGGGATCCTGGGGCTTTGCCAATGCAGTTGTGTCAGGAGATGTTGGCCCCTGCAGGATATCAGGCTCGTAAGCTAAGGCATTGCCTGTACCTCTCCCAGATGAATGTTGTCTCCTTGCAGCTGAGCTGTGCTGTATGAACTGCTAGCATGCCCTCTGGAAGAAACACCTGAGGCTGCCCTGCCAGCAAGCTGTGATTTCCTTGAAATGTAATCCTGAATAGTCTCACACCAAGAGCCGAGCATATGAGTGTCTTGTGAGTCCAAATGTTGAGTAGAACATTAGATGACCCCCAGGTGGGTGTTCCAACTTCCCAGTTGAGGCAACCTCTCTCATGTACACTACAAACCATTTATTCTTCTTATTGCGATTGTCACAGTTAACATTCAGAGCACAAGTACTGTGTACCAGGCACTGTGACTGTTCACACACTATATGGTTCATTCTCAAAATGACACCTAGGTAAATGTCATTATCTCATTTCACAGCTGAAGATACTGGGGCACATCTTGGGGTTTAATCAGCAGGTAGAGGGGCCAGATATGGGAAGAAGCAGGGAAAAGGCAGGCAAAGAGAGAAAAGGAAAAAAAGACTGCACTAAAAACAAATAAACAGCAGGTGTCACTCAACGGATGTATTTATGTGCATGCCTAAGACCTGCCCTAGAGAGTGAGCTGAAACACACAGCGTAATTCAGCACAAAGGACATAGTAACGAGGAAGCTGCTATTGAGTAGTAGACAGTAAACGCAGGAGGCCAAAAAGCAAACAGAGGAAAGCACTTCCAACACAAGTTATAGAGGTTGAGCGAATGACAGCCCTTTTTTTTTTTTTAAGACAGAGTCTTGCTACTACCCAGGTTGCAGTGCAGTGCCATGATCTTGGATCAATACAACTTCCACCTCCCAGGTTCAAGTGATTCTCTGACCTCAGCCTCCTGAGTAGCTGGGACTACATGTGTGTGCCACCACATCCACTTAATTTTTGTATTTTTAGTAGAAACAAGGTTTCACCATGTTGGCCAGGCTGGTCTCAAAAATCCTGGCCTCAAGTGATCCACCCACCGTGGCCTCCCAAAGTGCTGGGATTATAGGCATGAGCCACCGTGCCCAGATGAATGGCAGTCTTTCATATATCTGTCCCAGAAGAACACTGAGCCAGAGTCACTGAATCTTTGGCCTTTGGAGATCCACTCACCTAGAAAGGGAAAGAAACCTTCCCCACTGCCTCACTCTAAAATTCAAAGAACAAAGGTACACACATACCTACGTAGCTGCCTATATGTATATACACATGTCAATGCATGTATATACAGATAAATTCGCACCCATCCACATATGTGCAGGTGTGTATGTTTAAATGCATGTGTCTTCGAAAATTCTGTTTCACAACATGAGAGTCACACACTGATACGAAGGAAAGACAGTGCTGAAGCAGAGAGCACATTCTTACTTACGGTATCCCACATCACGATGTACACATCAGTACTGAATGAGTTATTAACGTGCTGGGTAATATAAAGATTGATGAAATCACAGAAGTGGTGATACATATTAACACCTAGTGTTGGAAAACAAAACTACGTTAATGCCAAAGAGCACAGGATTAAGCAAGTTTTATTCAATCCTATCTATTTACAGTTTAAGAGAATTTTAGTTTAAATAAATGGGGAAAAAATAACAGGTTTTTTTTCTTTCAAACATGAAATTATCTACATACATAGGTAGTCCTCAATTTATGGACTGACTGGGTTTCAAAAGTCACTCTAAAATTGGTTATTTAAAATCAGGAATGCATTTTCCCATATATCCCAAGTAACAAGTGATCATTAAGTTCCCAGAAAATAACAAGGTAAGTCTATTTAACTCAAACTAAGTAGAACTACAGAGTCATAAAGACAATTCATTATTTCTTCTGATTTTATATATTTTTATCAGAGGTGGGGTCTTGCTAAGGTGGCATGCACCACCATGCCTAGCTTGATCATTTACTTTTTAAAATCAACTAAGAGGCCAGGCACAGTGGCTCACATCTGTAATCACAGCACTTTAGGAGGCCAAGGCAGGTAGATCACTTGAGGTCAACAGCAGGTAGATCAGAGCATGGCCAACATGGTAAAACCCCATCCCTACTAAAAATACAAAAATTAGCCAGGCCTGGTGGTGCCTGCCTGTAATCCCAGACACTCAGAGGACTGAGGCAGGAGAATTTGCTTGAACCTGGGAGGAGGAGGTTGCAATGTGCCAAGATCACACCACTGCACTCCAGCCTGGGTGACAGAGTGAGTCTCTGTCTCAAAAAAAAAAAAAAAATCAATTAAGCAACATCTGTTCATCATGGAAGTACTGGCAATGATGGCAACTAACATTTTGGTAATTTTCATTCCTGTCTTTTTTATCCCTATTTAATCATTACTTTTATCATTCCTGGAAAAACATTAATCAACTACCATATAAAAGAGGTGATTATTTTGTGTTCTGATTGAAAGAGAAGGAATTCTGGAGCGCAGCATTTCTCAGATGAGTTCATAAAGTCCCTAAGTTTTAGCTTCTCTATAGAAATGGGAAACAGTTACCTAAGTGCCAGCTTTATTATGAGAAACCCAAAGATAATACATCTTAAAGTACCCATCCCAGTGCCAGGCACATAAGAAGCCCTGAATGGCGACTAGCTAGATCCCCACTAGGTCAGATAGAGTGGAGAGGGCAGTGGGTGCCACAATTTGTAAGTTCACATGCCATTCATTAAAAAGAAACAGAACATGCACCCTCTCCAGTTAAGCATGCAGGACCCAGTATTCATCCTGGAAATGTACAAATCTAAAATGGGATGAAATTCCAAGAACGGACACTTAGAGCATGCATTTTAAAGGTGGGAAAATGTTGAGTAAAAGAAAAACAGGGACTCTCAAAAGCAGACATCATAAAATATTCTGACTTCATTCCCACAGTGAAAAATAACACTGTGTACCAGAAATAATAGTATAAAAATACTCTGTTTTTTTTTCAGCCTGGAATCTTAGATGATTGTTTGGAAGGGCTAATTTTCTCACCCAGGAAAATCTGGGTGAAGAATGTATTTTCAAATTAACAAGAAAAATAAAGTTCTATCAGAATCCATCCTCTTTCTCCAGGTTAACCATACAGCACTCACAAGCTCTTTCACATAACATTTAGTGAATTCCTAACAGTTACTGGGGAATGCAACAGGCACAAAACAGTGCTTGGGGCTGCAAGAATTTATACACAGAGAAGAAAACGTAAGCTCCATCCTTGAGAAATGTGTGCCCTAATGAGTCTTGATCTGTAGAATACTCACTTTCCTAAGGTATGAGTTAACGAAAAGGAAAACTGAGCCAGGCATAGTAGTTCACACCTATCAATCCAGAACTTTGGGAGGCCAAGGTAGAAGGATCACTTGAGCCCAGGAGTTCAAGACCAGCCTGAGCAACACAGTGAGACCCTGTCTCTACAAAACTTTTTTAAAAATTAGCCTGGCATACTGGTGCATGCCTGTGGTCCCAGCTACTTGAGGGGCCAAGGTGGGAGAGTCACTTGAGCCCAGGAGGTTTAGGCTACAGTAAGCTATGATCACGCCACTGTACTCCAGCCTGGGCAATAGAGCAAGACCCTATCTCTAAAGAAAGGAAAGGAAAATTGGAAGACAGTATAATTTAGAAGAAAAAAGTAGAGTTATGAATATAAGAAGGAAATGGCACATGTTTACCCTAGCCTATTATTCTCACTTTATATATTTTATTGTATAAGTACCTGCATAAATATAATAGCTCACACATATTTGCCACTTTTACAGGCAGATCAGTGTTTTCTTTGCCCCTTTTTAATTTGCATATTTTAAAAAAGAGCCAAAATGTGGAACATAGCATTTTTACTTGTTCTTATTTCAAAAACCTAAACTTGTCTGATTTCTGAATTAAATACTTTGTAATATAAGAATTATGACTTCAGAAGACAGAGCACATTAAAACTATGCTCAATAAATTATAGTAATTCTGAAATATTTGTGACAGAGGCTCTCTATATTTCACTGTAAGCCCACCTCTCATGAATTTTGATATGATCCAGCATAGTAATCCCTGTCTCTCATAATGAGAGAGATAATATAGTACAATCTGTGTTTCTCCTCTCTAGTGTAACTAGTTCACAAAGTTAAAGCTCTGCTTGCAAGCTGAGAGACAGGCTATAAGTATAAATGAGAAGATAATTTTAATTTTATTTCAATAATAAATTACAGTGGTAACTTCCAGAAGACTTTTAAGTTCACGGGCCAGATGTGGTGGTGCACGCCTGTAATCCCAGCACTTTGGGAGGCCGAGGTGGGCGGATCATAAGGTCAAGAGATCAAGACCATCCTGGCCAACATGGTGAAACCCCGTCTCTACTAAAAATACAAAAATTAGCTGGGCGTGGTTGCGTGCACCTATAATCCCAGGTACTGGGGAGGCTAAGCCAGGGGAATTGCTTGAACCCAGGAGGCGGAGGTTGCAGTGAGCTGAGATTGTGCCACTGCACTTTAGCTTGGTGACACAGCAAGACTCTGTCTCAAAAAAAAAAAAGTAATTTTAAGTTCACTTTAGTCATGGAAATGCTATAGAAAGTTTGCCAGGGCAGGTCATGGACGTTTCTTTCCCACCCATACTATACACATGGCTTTTGATCTTTCTCTTCCACCCCTCACAGTCATGCTGTCTGTTGCCAGACTGCAGTACAGTGGCGCAATCTTGACTCACTGCAACCTCTGCCTCCCTGGTTCAAGCAATTCCCCTGCCGCAGCCTCCCAAGTAGCTGGGACTACAGGCATGCGCCACCACACTCAGCATAATTTTTTGTATTTTTTTTAGTAGAGACAGGGTTTCACCAAGTTGGCCACGATGGCCTCAATCTCCTGATCTCATGATCCACCCGCCTCAGCCTCCCAAAGTGCTATGATTAGAGGTGTGAGCCACTGCACTGATTTTAAACATCTTTTGATGAAAGACAATCTAAATCAAATGATTAGACAAACCAGATGGAGTAAATTTAGTTACAAAAGATATAAATATGCCTTCTCTCGTCCTTTGATTTTGAAATATCAAATTTTGAAATAAGTCCTTTGATATAAATATGAAAGTTTCTTCTCAAATGCCAAAGGTACAAAATAATGGAAAGTTCAAACTAGTTCAACTCCTTCTTCAGAGAAGAAAGCAAAAAACAAACCTACTGTTTTGTCATGCTGCTTCCAAAACATTCATAGAGAATTACTGCATCCAAAAAAAGGAAGAAAATCTCATTAACAAATACATAAATAACAGACAAAATAACTCCTCACCTGCATCTAATTTCATGAAATACGTTGGTTTTTCAATGACAATGTCACATTTAGCATCTTGTATAGGTCTGAAGTTGAGCTGAGTATAGCTCTGTAGCTCAGCAAACCTGCAATTATGAAATGGGAGATGACTTCATTTTTTTTTCTTTTGTCTCTTTGCAGTTCTTATATGACTGACAGGGAGATGCCTTCAAACTGATTCTCCCAAACTTCCTATTGCAACATTGTAACTTAGAATCTGTTCATTAGGCAGATTTTACTTCTGGTTGGTAGAGACACTCCTACCCACACTTGTAACTTCTAAACCTTACTGACATTTATATGGGTTGATATCAATTTTAATGTTAAGTCAAGGAACAGGCCTGGGGCAGTGGCTCATGCCTGTAATCCCAGCAGTGTGGGAGGCCGAGGCAGATGGATCACAAAGTCAGGAGATTGAGACCATCCTGGCCAACATGGTGAAACCCCATCTCTACTAAAAATACAAAAATTAGCTGGGCATGGTGGTGCATGCCTATAGTCCCAGTTACTCAGGAGGCTGAGGCAGGAGAATACTTGAACCTGGGAGGCAGAGGTTGCAGGGAGCCGAGATTGCACCACTGCACTCCAGCCTAAGGACAGAGTGAGACTCCATCTAAAAAAAAAAAACAAGGAACAAAAATGATTTGAAAATTCAGTCTTAGCCAGGTGCAGTGGCTCACACCTGTAATCCTGGCACTTTGGAGGCTGAGGTGGGCGGATCACCTGAGGTCAGGAGTTTGAGACCAGCCTGACCAACATGGAGAAACCCAGTCTTTACTAAAAATACAAGATTAGCCAGGCTTCATGGCGCATGCCTGTAGTCCCGGCTAATCGGGAGGCTGAGGCAGGGGAATCACTTGAACCTGGGAGGCAAAGGTTGCAGTGAGCTGAGATCACACCATTGCACTCCAGTCTGGGCAACAAGAGTGAAATTCCATCTCAAAAAAGAATAATTCAGTCTTATGTGCCAAATAGATTGGGAACTGACCAAAGACGACATTTATATATTGGGTCGGCTAAATAACCTACCAGAAAAAGACAGCATTCCAAGAATCATCCAACACCGCAGAAAGACAGCAGAGACAGCTAAGTGTCCCAGAACAAAGGAAATTTATCTCTTGGAAAACATCTTTGGAAGCCATATAGCACAATTTTCTTCCAAACAAAAGAAGACAATCCCAAGCATGTAACAACTGTGAGATATTTAGAGTTAACATAAAGATCATCTCTAACTCTTCCTTAAGATCATACTTCATGTAAAACAAATATCAAAGAGATCCTTTTAAAAACCAAGGCCAAAAGAGTGTAGTGGTTTCAAACATGGGTCTACAAACTCTAATACTCTCCCTTCAAAAGGAGGAAGTTAATTCCCTCCCTTCAAGAGTGGGCTGGACCTACTGACTCACTCTTAATGGGCAGAGTACAGCAGAACTGATGGCAGGTCACTTCTGGAATTAAGCTATACAAGTACTGTGGCTTCCATCTCAGAGCACGTACTCCCTCAGATGATGTGTTCCTGGGAAAGCTAGCAGCCATGCCGTGAGCAGCAGTACGGAGGCCCATATGGTTAACACTGAAGTCCCTGGCCAAGAGGAGCTGAAGCTTACAACAAACAACCGGAGTAAATTTAGCAGCAGATTCCCCAGGCCCAGGTTTGATCTAAAGATGGCTATAGCCCTGGGCAACTCAGCTGAGCTGCCCCCAAGCCCTGACCCTGAGAAGTAGTGTGAGATAATACATGTTTGTATTTTAAGCTGCCAAATTTTAGAGTGATTTGTTATACAACAATAGGTAATAAATACAAGTATACACTAGGGTACACTTTGGAATAACCTGTCATACAGCAATAAGTAACTAATAGAATTATGCCCTAGGATAATTCTAGGAAACTACCAGGTGGAATCAAATATCAAAATGTACCAGGAATCAAAAAGCCCACTTGAATGTAGAAACTACCTCCTGTAAAAGTGTGCTAAGTCACATGAGAGACTGCATTGCAGACTGCAAAATGCCAGACAAAAGTGTGGTAGATTATTATTCCAATGATCCACAGCCAGGCAGTGAGACTTCTTTAAAAATAAATAAATAAGTTTGCTCAGGAAGTTTTTTTTTTTTTGAGGCAGGTCTTGTTTTGTCACTCAGGCTGCAGTACAGTGGCGCAATCATAGTTCACTGTAGCCTTGACCTCCTGAGCTTAAGCAATTCTCCTGCCTCAGCCTCCCAAGTAGCTAGGATTTCAGAGGCATGCCACCTCACTCAGCTAATTTTTTTTTATTTTTTATTTTTAGAGATGAGGTCTTGTCATGAAGCCCGAGCAGGTCTTGAACTCCTAGGCTCAAGTAACACTTCTGCCTTGGCCTGCCAAAGTGCTGAGATTTTAGGCATGAGCTGCCATTCCTAGCCTTGGCATGGATGTTTGACCTTAAAAATTAACATTATGTAAGAAACCTGTGTGATTACACAGAAGCAGCATGAGCGTTTCTTTGGGATGATGGAACAATTCTGCATCCTGATTGTGGTGTGCTATATGCACCTACACACGTGATGAAATTTTAATGAGTGCAGGTAATCACAGGTGAAACCTGCACAAGTTTAGTTAATAGTACTGTACCAATGTCAATGTCATGACTGTGATCATTGTGCCATGGTTATAAGAGATATTATCATTACAGGAAGCTCAGGGAATTAGACAATTTACAAGTTCTCCTTGTACTTTGATATGGTTTAGCTATGTCCCCACCCAAATTTCATCTTGAATTGTAGCTCCCATAATCCCCATGTGTCATGGGAGGGACCCAATGGGAGGTAAGTGAATCATGGGGGTGAGTTTTTCCTGTGCTGTTCTCTAGAGCTGATGGTTTCATAAAGGGCAGTTCCCACTGCATGCGCTCTCTTGCCTGCCGCCATGTAAGACATGCCTTTGTTCCTCTTTTGCCTTCTACCAAGATTGTGAGGCCTCCCCAGCCATGTGAAACTGTGAGTCCATTAAAATTCTTTCCTTTATAAATGACTAACTCTTGGGTATATCCTTATAGCAGAGTGAGAACTGACTAACACATACTATTTTTAAGCTTCTATGAGTTTAAAATTATTTTAAAATAAATATTTTTTTAATTCAAAAAGCTAGCCAATGATGTTAAAAGAGTAGCATTTACCTTTGGAGAGGAGGATGGGGGTATGGCCTGGGAGGGAGCCTGATGTGGTGCTGATGTTCTATTTTTGGACCTGGGTAAAAGTTACATGGGTGGGTTCACTTTTTTACAATCCAAACCATACCTTTTTACATATTTTATATATGTGATGCTTGTTACATATTTTAATATATGTGTAGCATTTTTTAAATGTGTTTCCCAAAACATATGCAATAATTGTGAGTTCATAAACATGGATTTTTGAGCTATTTTTCTTTCACTAGCAAACAGTATTATATTTGCCATCATAAACACATATTTAATTTAGATGCAACTGTCACTTCCCAGAAGCTCATGCCAAATTATATACAAATGAAGTAACATTTTCCATTTGAGACTCCCATTAATATCTGCAAGTGCCAAAAATAAAGGCAAATATTTCTGAAACAGATATGTTAAAAATATCTTACCATGACTGCAAAGGGCTTTTGCGTTGACCTTCAGACATCAATGTACGAATGTCAAGTTTACAGTGCCCTCCAATTTCACCACTCTGGAAAAAGTCCTCCTTAAATCTGGTGTATAACAAAACATTAAGTCGAGTTTAGAAAACTTCTTCATGACCCAAGCACGTAGGTTGTAACTAAAGTGGATTACTGGTTTCCACACTCATTTTTTTAAAAGAATTTAACTATTGATAATAGAAAATTTCAAATGTATATGAAAGTAACAGAATCATATCAGGAACCTAATATACCCACAACCCAACTTTGCAATGCAATCAACTGGTGACCTGAGTCATCTATCCCCCACCCATTCCCCAACCCCTCTGCTATACCGTCAAAAGCAAATTCAAGATATATCTCTTCTGCCAGGCTTGGTGGCTCACACCTATAATCCCAGCACTTTGGAAGGCTGAGGTGGAAGGATCACTTGAGCTCAAGAGTTTGAGACCAGCCTGAACAACATTAAGAGACCCCATCTCTTCAAAAATTAAAAAATTAGCCAAGCCTGGTGGTATACTTCGGTAGTCCCAGCTACTTGAGAAGCTCAAGTGGAAGGATCACTTAGGTTTGGGAGGCCACAGCTGCAGTGAGCCAGGATTATACCACTGCACTCCAGCCTGGGCAACAGAGCAAAACCCTGTCTCAAAAAAAAAAAAAAACCCTGGATATGAAAATATTTCAGAATTTCTATTAGATGTTAACATTAACCACTTAAATACCTGTCATGATTTCTCTTGATGTTTCTTAAATCAAGGTAAAGATTGGTTGCTCTGCAGTACTGAAGATAACGGGAACATACCAGACTTGAGTCACTCTGAAGTAAGGTTGAGCAAAAGAAAAAAATAACTCTGATTATTAACACAGCAAGAACTCACCCAGACTTGCTAGACATGTTGACAGCATGGACACCCTCATGTTCAAACCACATGATGTGATAAGGAAAGCTCTCCAAAGACTGCATCTGCTGAAGGATATTTTCTCCTTCCCAGCAGACCCTGGCCAAGCATACTTTTGCCAGTTTCCCACTTTTAAGTTACTACGGAAAACTCCCAAATGCTCTGTCACCTCAAATTTTAAAGCCAAGAGCTGTATGTGTGGCTCAGTTCAGTCCCCTTTAAAAAAAAAAGGCACCCAGAACCAGTATTACTACCCCCACAGCTATGTCAAAAAGCAGTTTCCAAAAGCAAGCCAAAAGAAACAAGGAAGAATGCACACGTAAGAGACATTAAAGGCAGGGAGGGAAGTTTGCCAGTTTTAATAAGGGTACTTTCTGCAAACTGTAAAGCTTGTGGGAGCCTCTGTCTCAACAGCAACATGAGGGCAATATGTCCAAAGTAACTAAAGAAAGGAGTTTAGAAGTCAGCTACCAGAGCCTGATTCTACTTCAACCAATCTGGGTTGTGCTGAGAGCTTCAAAAACTTTTATCTGCTCTGGGTTTTATTTATAGACTTAAAGACCATTTTAATCATTTTTCCCAAAACTCCCAATGAACACGAAACTTAATCTCGACCTGCAGGGCGTTTTGGAGTCTGTAGTTGGTAAAAGGTTGCAATGAACTAAATGTTTGTGTCTCTGCCAAATTCTTACATTGAAATCCTAATACCCAGGGTGATCATATTAGGAGGCAGGGGGTAGCCTGGAATTTGAGACATTAGGAGGCAGAGCTTTGATGTAATTAGATTATAAGGGTAGAGCTTGCATGAATGAGATTAATGCCCTTATAAAAGGGACTCCAGGGAACTTTCTTGCCCTCTTCTTTCCATGTGAGGAGATAACAAGAAGGCAGCAGTCTGCAACCTAGAAGAGGTTCCTCACTGGAACCCAACACACTGGCACCCTATTCTCAGATTTTCAACATCCAGAACAGTGAGAAATCAATTTCTATTGTTTATAAGCCATCCACTCTATGGTATTTTGTTATAACAGCCCAAATAACTAAGACAGGGATCATACTCTGCTTGCACAAAACAAATCAAGGTAAATCTTAGCCAAAAAAAACGTTCTACAAGCCACCTTGAAAGAGCCATGCAAAATGGGTTGTAATTCTTCTCTTGCCCTTTCCATGTAAACAGCTAAACCCTAGCCAAGTGTGCAAGATAGAACAGAACTTTGCTAAAGACACCTGCAGACGTGCAGCTTAATGGAATGCCTCACATCCTCAGGCTTCATTCACCTGGCTAGAATGCTCAAAGCTCTAGTACGTGACATCCTCCTAGCACTATAAAGCATATACTGTTTTTGAATATGAGTAAATTTTAAAAAAAATTTTAGTTTCCCAGTGTGGTTGGAGATTGGAGACCCCTGAGATGTCAGAGACTCAGGGTTCAGGATCATTGAGTTAAATAATATTGTACCTTAATCCTAAGTGCTTACAATGCCATCAACCTTCAAAAATAACACTGAGCCCTTTGCTGGGAACCAGGCCCTGCTGCACTGAGCATTTTTATCTGTAGGACCTCATTTCTTCCTTACCATACGCTACATAACAGGCATGGCTTTAAGGCAAAGGAAATAGAAACAAGGAAAGCCTAAGAACCTTGTCCAGGATCCAGGATCTGAACCCTATAGTTGAGAGCCTGCTCTTGTATTTACTACCTAAAACTGCCTCCTGACAACGTGGTTATCTGATCCACTGAGGTACAATATGGTATGGCTGAAAGTAAACTGAAAAAAAATCTGCATTTTAATCCTAGATGCATAATTAATTCTATAGGGTAGCTGTTCAGTCTTGGAGAAGTAGCTTAACTCCTCTGAGGACCCTGTTTTCCACACTGATAAAGTGGCATCAGTAGTATCTGCTCTATCTGCTATAATGGTTATGAGCATCAAACTAGATAACACACAGAAAAGCTTTCTGCAAACTGTAAAGCTCTGGGAAAATATAGAACAGTATGGTGGTGCTTTATCATCTGTCCCAAAGTATCTGAGAATGAATTTGTAAAGATGCAATTTATCAATTTCTCTTCTTTAGCATATGTTTCGGGGGAAGATTCGAAACCTAAAATTATTCTGACTGTCTTAAAATATGACTATTTGATACATGTGGGATAAGGAGGACAGGGTTTCCAAAGGAAAGAGAACAACCTATTTGGGGAAGTTACATAAAATTCTAAGCCATAACTAAGTGAGAGTGAGGAATTCCTTTCATAGTGACATCTATCTTGTTTTTACATTAAATCTACATGATAAATATTAAAAATCAATAATAATAATAAAAAGCTTGGTCAGGCGCGGTGGCTCATGCCTATAATCCCAGCACTTTGGAAGGCTGAGGTGGGCAGATCAAGATGTCAGGAGTTCAAGACCAGCCTGGCAACATGGCAAAACCCTGTCTCTACTAAAAATACAAAAATTAGCCGGGAGGGGTAGCACACCCCTGTAATCCCAGCTACTTGGGAGGCTGAAGCAGGAGAATCTTTTCAACTAGGGAGGCAGAGGTGGCAGTGAGCTGGGATTGTGCCACTGCACTCCAGTGTGGGCAACAGAGAGAGACTTTATCTCAAAAATAAATAAAATTAAAATTAAAAAAATAAATTAATAAAAAATAAACAAGCTTATTTAGTAAGGAGTGAAACACCCACCATTTCCTTAGGCTGACAGAGCACATGCATCTCCTCCAGCCTCTCTCTGGCATATCCAAAGTCAGCTTGTTTCCAGAAAATATCCTCAGCTGACTCAAGAGTGTCTGTCCTAGTTGCAAAGAAAAATATTCTGTGTTTTTTTTCTTTTTACTTTTTTTGGACCTCGAATTTTCATTCTAAAGGTTAAATTGTTAGAAGTTCCTTATTACTTTAATTTTTTTTACAGTATACTATCATAGCTTTTCCAAAACTATGCCTCACTACATGAAGTTATCAAACTGTTATTCACAGAATAATTTCTATTATATATAATTTTTATTATATATAATAAAAATATATTTTTATAATATAATTATAATAAAAATAATTTATTTTTTAATATAAAAATATATTATATAATATATAATAAAATTATATATATAATATGTATATTATAGATATAATAAAGATAATATATTTTTATTATATAAAATAAAAATAATATATTTTTATTTTATATAATAAAAATATATAACAGACGTAGGAAGTTACCATCTGAAACTGAAGACAATGATGCATTCTTAATTACTGTATTTTCTTTACCAAATTAATATTGCATGTATTGGAAGTACTAATTATACTTAATTCTCCCAGGAAGAATCAAAAGGAAACCATTCATTTATTTTCTTAGTATACACTGTGGGAAAAAATGTTCTAACTACAGATATTCCCATCGCAGTGTGAGACAGTAAAGTTGAATTCATGACTGTGTAAACAAATTAATACCCAGATGAATCAGGAAGAGGGTATTCCATATGGAAACTCACCATCCCATGTCGACATAGCTGCAAACTGGGTAACCAAACCTGAACTCTGGTTTGCAGAATTTCTCATAACCCCAGCAGTACTTTAGATTTTCTAGGTGTTTCTACAACATAAAACTTACATTGATTTCCCTTCTTCTGACATTGAGAGAAGACTCTTAGATTTTTCCATTAGGAAAACAAATCATTATAGAACATTCACATTTACAATTTACAATATGTATTCGTATAATAATAAATTTAAAACTTACAGTTAATTCTAAAAAGTACAGTCTCAAATTTCTTAACAATCCTCCTTACTCAACACCCCCACCATATCTGTCCCCTAACCAAAAGTCTGGGCTTTACCTAAACTCTCAAAGACTACTTGAATTAGAATTTCTTGAAGTAGCTTAAGAAACTGCCTTTCTCAGTGAGCAGGCGGATTCTAAAATCAGTCCCTAAAAGACATATATATTGGAATTTCTGTTACCAAAGGACTCACATCTAAATTGAATGAATCAGCAACTTCAATCAGCAATCAAGATCAGCAGCGACCCAGAAGACCTGGACAACTCTGCCACCCTTGGGAACCACCCAGCTGCTGCTGGCCAAGGAGCTCAGCATGCTCTTCTGCAAGGCCCCAGGAGCAATGCTGGTCTGATTCCCAAGTTTGCTTTTCCATATGCTTCCTGTGCCAGCACCATGGGAAAGGAAGTGTCTCACAATGCCCAGCTTTGATCTCTGAGGCCCCGTGAGATGTCTTAATGGGCTCCTATTTGAGGCCTTTCCAACTCCTCTAAAACAGAAAGACAGCCACAGTAACAGGCTTAATTATGTGGAGACAGAGGCTGAGGTGTTATTACTGAAATTAAGTGCTAAGCGATCCTCTTACATGCTGGTTAAAAAAGAAGAGGTGTGAAATTCTTTAGTTACTTTTAACAAGAAGTTCTTCCTGCATAAAATCTAATTGCTTCATTTACAGAGTTTACAAACAGTATTGGCTACTTATTTATTTTAGAAGTGATTTAGATTTTAAATTTCACTCTTATGAATGGGACATAATTTTAACCAGTTTATTCACTTAGAAGTATTAAATGGAATTGAAACAATTATTAACTTACACAGTGACAACCAGAAATCAGAATTCTACCTTCAGTTTCAGGTTATAAAGCAGAATGAGTAAGCCAGTCCATATTGCATCCACATAAAAATAAGGAGAGAAGAAATCATACCTACCGTATATGGACAGAGAGAGTCTTTCTTACAGACAGTGGCAATATGCTTATTGTTATGCAAAAAGAAGGGAATGTGCTCCTCTGGCAAGCGGATGCTGGCATAGTTATACAGAGGTGTGCCTGGAATGCTGTGATTATTAGGAGGAGCTTCATTTTGGCCACTCAGTGGGACTTCATGAAGTAAGACTCCAAAGACAAGCAGCATTAACATAGCCACCTGAAAACCTAGAGATCAATGAAAACATATATGTTAACAAATTTTCTTTAAAAGTCAAAAAAAAAAAAGGTCAAGGGCTAAGTATAATTACAAAGCACTTTGCTATCCCACCGAGTAATGTTCCTTTATTAAATTTTTTCTGAGCTCTTTCCTGGTGCCAGGTACTGTGTTAGCAAATGGGTATACATAGGTGAACAAAACAAGAAGGAGCCTTGCTGTCATGGCACCTTTAACCTAGTACAACAGTCAAAAATAAACAATCAAATACATAAACAACTTCAGCTGATGACTGGGCCTGTGACTCAAACCAACTAGGGGCCAGCAAACTTTTTCTATAAAGGAGAGGCAGTAAGCGTTTTTGTCTTTCCCAGACGTAAGATCTCTGTGGCAACTACAAAACAGTGCCTCTGTCCAGAAAGTAGCCATGGTCTATTGTAAAAGAATGGATGAGACTGTGTTCCAATGAAACTTTTTATTTACAAAAATCATGGAAGAGCTTGATAGGATTCAGTTTAGTGATACCTGAAATAAAGTAAGGTAATATGATAGACAACATAGCATGGTGGTAAGAACCTGAACTTTTAAAGCTCAACCACCTGGATTTGAATCACTGTCTACAGCTTCCCAGCTCGAAGACCTTGAACAAGTTACTTAACCTTTCTGCATCTAACCTTTCCCATCTGTAAAATGGAAATAATAATAAACCTTCATCATAGAGCTTTCATGAGTTAAATGAGTTACCTATTGGTAAAGTGTTCAGAAAAGTATCTGGCACATACTAAATGCTATGAAAGTATTTATTAAATAAATGTTTAGGCCGGGCACAATGGCTCACGCCTATAATCCCAGCAATTTGGGAGGCTGAGGCAGGCAGACACAAGAGATCAAGATCATCCTGGCCAACATGGTGAAACTCTGTCTTTACTAAAAATACAAAAATTAGCTGGGTGTGGTGGTGCACACCAGTAGTCCCAGCTATTTGGGAGGCTGAGGCAGGAGAATCGCTTGAATCTGGGAGGCGGAGTGTGCAGTGAGCCCACCACTTCACTCCAGCCTGGTGGCAGAGTGAGATTCCGTCTCAAAATAAATAAATAGATAAATGTTTAAAGCCATGTGGGGCGAGAAAGGGCCTAAATAACATTTGAGCTCAAATCTGAATGATGAGGAGGGGGACAAGCATTGGTAAGAGAGCAAAGGGAGTAGGATGGCTCTGAGCAAGTGTGTGTCTGCTGAATAAAAAATGATAATCACAATCAAGGTGTGGGCACAAACGATGTTCCAGGAGCTCTTCTAAATACCTGGAATACAGCAATGAAGGTGCAGTCATGAACTAAACTAATTGCCCTTGTGAAGCTTATATGCTAGCACGTCTAATAATCAGCTGTGATAATAGCTAAGTCTTAGAAACTCCAGGAGTGACATTAAGTAGTCTGCCTCAAAAACTCTGCCCTTAAACTCTCCCCTGTCATGCCTTTACCTTGTGAACAGTGACAATGGTCACGAAACTCACTGCACTTCTAACTCACCCAGTAAGTGTTAAATCTCTTGGACCAGATTTCTCCTATATATCCCAGACAATGATCCTGCCATTCTCAGGTTATTTTAGTGGGATCTTTGTTCTGTAAGTGCTCTTTCCTCTGGATGACAGAGCCATAATATACATTGAACATTTATCAGCCAGGACTGCTGTTTCCTGAGTCATACCGGAAAACCCATCTTTCGAAATTAGTCTTCATTGACCATGGGCTATGAAGATGGACCCTTGGAAATAGACTGCAGGCCCAATGTGGTGGCTCATGCCTGTAATAGTAGCAGTTTGGGAGGCTGAGGCTGGCAGATTGCTTGAGTCCCTGAGTTTGAGACCAGCCTGGGCAACATGATGAAACCCATATCTGCTAAGAAGGCAAAAAATCAGCTGTAGTCCCAGCGGAAGTGGGAGGATCACTTTAGCCTGAGTCAAGGCTGCAGTGAGTCATGATCTCATCACTGCACTCAAGCCTGGGTAACTCCAGGGAGACCCTGTCTCAAGAAAAGAAAAAAGAAACTGCTATATTCCATCAAACCTCAAGTTCCAAGGCCATGGAATTCTAAGTGAACAGTGGGGACACCAAGAAGACATCCCTTTTACCCCCTTCCTCCCACCCCCAGAGTAGTTACATATTGTGGTTTTTCACTTCGGTGGCTGAAGAGTATGGCGTTATCTGCTGTAAATCTGATAGAATTATAATAATATTTTTACTTGGAGCTTTTATCTGAGAATGAGTTGACAGCAGTTTCATAAAAATTTAAAAATATATATTAATAGTAATAATGACTCTACTTATAATCAAAATATTTACCTCTTGAATCCTCAGAACCACTCAGAAGCTTCTGTGATGTTTCAGTTCTCTAAATCCTGTCAGAAATGAAACATATTGCCTTAAAGAGATGCTAAAGTAGACCTGATCATTCAGGTGATGTTGTGAATTAAAGGAAATATTAAGAAAGAAGGTAATGTAACGGGATAACCCTCAGCCAGAAGGCCTGGCCCGTGGTGCTTCCTTTTCCTTAACGAATACCACATTGCTAAACAAGAATTCACAGGCACCACTCCCAACACAGCAACTTGGAAAAGATTCCAATGGGGAGCAGGAGGTGGCTCACTTTCTACAGGCATCCACTGGAACTGGCCAACAGGATAATAAGAGATCAAACATTCCCAGGAGCAAACTTTCCCATTCTGACAGCAGTAATCCCACTGGCTAAATCACAGGGCTACCCACCTAGAGTGGCGAACCTGGGGGTTCCCAGACCTTTCTATTTTTTGACTCGTCCTTTCCGGTAATAAGTCATTGCTATGACCAAGCCCTGACCTTTGGTTATCCAAGTCCATTGTCCTCCAGTGAGCTCTGGCCATCACTAAACTCACCGATCCGTAGAGAAGAAGTAACGCTTAGGCGATGAAAAAAGTCTAAAGACACAGATCAGAGAGCTAGCTTCTGCCGAGGGCATGTACCCACTTGCATAAGACGGCTGAGGGTGGCTGCTGGACCTGGCACAAAGCCTTCCTGGTGTCGGTCCTCCTGCAAGGCCTGCCGGGATGGGTGGCTGCACTCCTCCAGCACCGGCCGCTGTGGTGGCCAGTCTACTTTTCCTTCAGCTCAAAGCAACTGGGTTCACTCCACTCCGGAAACCCTTGATTAGATTTCCACAGGCCTAATGAGGGAGGAAAAAAGGGAAACATCTGAAAGATCATGGATAAAAGGCACAACCTGGGGTTGAGAGGGACACGGGGGGGGGGGGGGGGCGAAATAGGGCAATGTCGCAGAGCGACAGAGGTTGGAAAAGTTTAAAGAAGGCATTGGCCAATGGAAAGTTCAACACATGTGAGACTCCGAATGATTCCTCAACTGCTGTCCCCCACTTGTGACAAAAAGTCTCTCGGCTGCAGCCAGGCAGGGCACAGGAAGGGTTCGGCTGCCCGAGAGTCCAGCTGTCTGCTTGAACGTCAGTCCCGGCCCAGGGCTGAGGGGTCAGCGGAGAGCGCCCCGCCGCGGCTGAGACGCCGAGCTGGGGTTCTGGACCCCGGGGCGCCGCCTGGGACTGCTTCGGGGCTGGAGATTCCCTGGGGCCGCCCGCCACCCCGCACGGCGGCGCCCCGGGTCCCCATCGCGCCTGGGAAGGGCCCGGGGGAGCGGCTCCGCCCGGGCCTGGAAACCGGGTCAACGCGGCTAGGGCCCAGGGCCGCCTGCGGTCCCCTGCAGGCGCCGGGAAGGGGCCAAGCGCCCGGGGCCGGGGAGGGTCAGGATCGGCTTCCGACGGCCGCCTCCCGGCCCGCAGGGGATAAGAAGGCGCGGGAGGAGAGCGTGCGCAGGCTACAGCCCTCCGGGAAGCCGCGCCGGGCGCCGGCACTACCCAGGGCGAGAGCGGCGCAGAGCGTGGCCACGGCTTGGAGGCGAGCGGCGGAAGGAAGGCTCCGCGGATTGCGGGCGAGTCGCACCTGGAGCCGGCGCAGCCGTGACTACCGAGGAGTAGGCGGAGGAGACGGCGGCTGTTCCAGAGGAGGGAGTCGTCATAACCGGCTACTGCCGCTCACCGGAAACCTTCGGCGCTGGAGCTGGGCCAGGGGGCGCCAAGGAGCAGCTGGGACACCTTGGCCAGCCGGCGCCAGGGGAGGGATCGGGTCCCGCAGAGGCAGGACCGGGGCGACACCTCGGAGGGTCAGGGCGCGGGGAGTGGCCTCCACCCGGCAAGCGCGGCTGGGAGGGGTTCAGAGTGGGGGAACCTTCTGCTCTTCCTGGCGCTCTCCAGCGAAGGTTCGCGCGAGTCCGCCAGCTCCCTCACTAGGGCCGGAAAGACCCGCGGCGCCGGCCGAAGCCGGACCCCCAGCTCCAGCGCCGCAGCTCGCGCCTCCTGAAGCGAGAGGTTAAAGCGCTCAGAGGACGTTAGGACCGGGTGGGTAGAAAACCTGACCCTGTTCGTTTTTTCTGCGTTGCACTGAGGCGGATTTTTACTGTTGTCTTTCAGGCAGAAGTTGCTGCCCTAACTTCCAAATTTGAGAACTGAACATAGTTCGCCGAATACACTTTGTGGTGCTGAGGATACTTTGGAGTCTACACACATTTTAAAAGCGGTATAGTTTACACATCTGTAAACTCATCAAGTTCAAATGCTACTCTGTGGAGTTTAATTTTTGGGTTTTGTTAATTTAGAACATTTTAATTATTACTGCTTTGTAATTATTTGAACTCCCATCCCCCATTGTCTTCTCCTCTAAGCACCCTCAGTCCTAGTATTCCATCTAGAGCACAGTAGAGTTGATCATTAAATAGTGACTAAAGTTGAACTGATTATATGAAGGCGATACCTTCAAAACAAACATGCTGACCTGATGCTCAAATGCATCAGGTCGGCAGAAGTAAATAATATGATCATAAGGAAACAAGTTTGTTTCCAAAGGCTTACATGCTTTTTAAGTAATTTTTTAAAAGTAATGTTGTTTAAGAATTGTTACAGGTTCCATTAGTGACCTGCTAGATTAGGAACATTATCTGAAATTTTCGTCAAATAATAACAGCAAAAACATATATGGTATTTGACCTGTGCCAAACATTGTTCTAAAGCACTTTACGGTATTTTTTTTTTTTAATAAAAAAGAATTTGCCTCTAAGGGAACTGTCAGAGGCATGTGAACCAGAGCAACCCCATCTTAAATAGGAGCTGGGTAAAATGAGGCTGAAACCTACTGGGCTGCATTCCCAGACGGTTAAGGCATTCTAAGTCACTGGATGAGACAGGAGATTGGCACAAGATACAGGTCATAAAGACCTTGCTGATAAAACAGGTCGCAGTAAAGCAGCCAGCCAAAACCCGCCAAAACCAAGATGGCCATGAAAGTGACCTCTGGAAGTCCTTACTATTACACTCCCATCAGCCCCATGACAGTTTACGAATGCCATGGCGACATCAGAAAGTTACTTTATATGGTCTAAAAAGGGAAGGCATAAATAATCCATCCCTTGTTTAGCATATCATCAAGAAAGAATCCTAAAAATGGGCAGCCAGCAGCCCTTGGGGCTGCTTTGTCTATGGAGTAGCCATTCTTTTATTCCTTTACTTTCTTAATAAACTTGCTTTCACTTTGCACTGCAGACTTGCCGTGAATTCTTTCTTGCTTGGGGTCCGGATGGGGATCCCTTTCCTGTAACAGAATTGTTGCTCTATTATTACTTTGCATACTTCACCCATCCCACACTAATAAGGACAGTAAGGACAGTAATTTTTTTAAATGCTTCCTCCAGCCAGGCACTGTGGCCCATGCCAGTAGTCCCAGCTACTCTGGAGAATCGCTTGAGCCCAGGGAGGTCAAGGCTGCAGTGAGCCATGATTGAGACACTGCACTTTAATCTGGGCCACAGTGAGACCCTGTCTCAAAAAAAAAAGCTTCCTCAGCCTACTTGCTACCATCCTATTTTTGTCACATACAAAAAGGTTCAAATTAGTATGACATCTACATGGTACTATTATTTTTTTGTAGACAGGTTCTTGTTATGTTGCTAGCACTGTTTTCCAACTCCTGGCATCAAGTGATCTTCCAGCCTCGACCTCCCAAAGTGCTGGGATTACAGGTGTGAGCCACCACACCTGGCTACATGGTGCTATTTTAAACAGCTACATATTGGTCATTCAGACTTACAGGGAACAGATATGATAAACTTGAACAAGAGATTGAGTCTAACTGCAACAGCCATTCTGAAATACAATTTCTCTCCAAAATATCAATGTTATTTTCTTCAAGTTGACATAAAACTTGAATGTCTACCAATAGAAGGCTGGTTGAATAAACTATGGTTTATCCATACACTGTAAAACTATGCAGGCATAAAAAGGAATCAGGAAATATCTCTATACATCAAAAGATATTTACTGAGTAGGGAAATGATATGTAATATATAAAATACCATTTTTCTAAGAGGAATATGTATCATACATGTATACACACATACATTTACTAATTGTTATTTTACAAGAAGAATAACATTTAAAATGACTATGGGGAAGGAGGGAAGAGAAGGGGCATAAGGAACAAAGAAGACATGACTTTATTTTTTGTTTTTTGGATTTGTGTGTGTGTGTGAGAGAGAGAGTCTCACTATTGCCCAGGCTGGAGTACAATGGTACAATCTCAGATGGCTGCAACCTCAGCCTCTTGGGTTCAAGCAATTCTCCTGCCTCAATGTCCCGAGTAACTGCAATTACAGGCATGAGCCACCACACCTGGCTAATATTTGTATTTTTAGTAGAGATGGAGTTTCACCATATTGATCAGGCTAGTCTCAAACTCCTGACCTCAAGTGATCCGCCCACCTCGGCCTTCCAAACTGCTGGGATTGCAGGCGTGAGCCACCAGACCCAGCCTAAAGACATGACTTTGGAGTCATGTAAATATATGACATTATAAAGCAAAATTAAATTTTTAAAAAGCAATCTTTGATAGTAAAATGAAACTAAATGAACCTAAATGTATTCCAATTTGGCATATGACCCAGAGGAGCTATCCCAAGTGACTTTAAAACTTAACTTATATATACTTAGTGGGATGTATTCTCAGGACTAAAATAATTATAGAAAACTCTGTAGACTGCATTCCATAACAAAGTTGTTGATGGCACTGTTGGTATTATGGGATACACCAAGTTGAAGTAAGTATGATGGTAACTTTGAAGCTGAAATTTTTGATATGAGTTAGAGATGAAAGCTTTATCAAACTATATAGATGTCCTGTAGTTCTGATTTTCAGCTGGAGGCCTCAGTATGATTAATAATATGATTAATCTTTAAAAACAAGTCTCTCCTACATGCTCCATTGAAAAGGCCTAGAGACAAGCTACCCAGTAGGAAGAAGCACCCCTTTGTGCTCAAACTGTGATCTCTAAAAACCATTTCCCATTAAAAGAAACACTGACTCCACAGAACAATTGATGATCTTGGGTCTGAAACAGTAGCCTGCAACATCTTACATCAGGACGCCAGCAAAGCAATCAAAAGGCTATTAGGGTCATATCAAAAGGACTCAGGAACCACCTTGAAAACCTTCCTACTGGCCAAAGATAGGATAATTTAAAACATCAGTAAAGGTAACTGTAATGGGATGAAGCACAGATATATTTAAATAATTTTATCAGATACAACCAATCAACCAAACAAGCAATCCAGAAATGTATCACTCTTCATTTTTAATGATAGAAGGAAACGAACTCTTTTTTTTTTTTTGAGACAGAGTTTCGCTCGTTACCCAGGCTGGTGTGCAATGGCACGATCTCGGCTCACCACAACCTCTGCCTCCTGGGTTCAGGCAATTCTCTTGCCTTAGCCTCCAGAGTAGCTGGAACTACAGGCAGGTGCCACCACGCCCAGCTAATTTTTTGTATTTTTAGTAGAGACAGGGTCTCGATCTCTTGACCTCATGACCCACCCGCCTTGGCCTCCCAAAGTGCTGGGATTACAGGCTTGAGTCACCGTGCCCAGCCAGGAAACCAACTCTTATTCTGAAAACTGGCAAACAAAGGGAATCAGGCACACTGTCTTTCCTATATGATATGTGATGCAAGTAATGAAAAACTGAAGTAAATTTTTTACAGAAACATTCCAGCTACTAAGTGAAAATGACAAATAATATCACTCCACAAGCGCTATGAACTAATAGATTCAATAAGTGTTCATCAATGATTTCTGTATCACTATTGAGAAACCTTCAGACATTATCTGTCTCCTGCTGGAAGAATACACTTCCACCTAATGAAATATATTTGTTGAAAAATTATTGCCTTTAGATCTAAACACAGGAGGCAGAACCCCTGTCTGTCCTAAAAATACAAAAATTAGCCAGGTGTGATGGCACGAGCCTGTGTTCCCAGGTACTTAGGAGGCTGAGGCAGGAAAATCGCTTGAACCTGGAAGGTGGAAGCTGCAGTGAGCTGAGATCACGCCATTGCACTCCAGCTGGGTGACAGAGCGAGACTCAGTCTCAAAAAAAAAAGAATACATATGCCCATAGTTTAAGTTAATACACTAACTGAGCCTTGGGTCAGTACCCCATAATCTCACACAGTATTTCTGCAGCAAAATGTGAGTATTCACACCAAGTTATACATAACCCTATGTCAGTGCAGTGCAGACTTTATCACCAACATGGATTTAACAACAAATGTATTATATATGATTTTTTAGAGCTTTGTGGATTTCAGAACAATGATTATGGGATTATAATCCTACAGAAGTGAATTCCTTACACAGTGCTTGGAACAAAATAAGACTATGTTTCCCAAAAAAATAAAAAAGAAAAAGACTATGCTTCCTATTTCCCACCTGACCACAAATTTTGGAACAGTATGTAATTTTTAAAAATAAGATTGTAATTTTGAAAGAGATAAATTGGCATGGCACTTTATAAAAATGAAAGGAACACCTCCATCTAGCATGCTGTGCCCATACCTATAAGTGCAAGAATGTTTAAAAATAAACAAACAGAAAAACATGCCATTACTCTCTTGTTTAATATTTGCGATTCTAATTATTAAATTTAGCCTACTTAGGAGTAGGGCAGTGTGGAGAATTCCAGAAAGTTCTAAAAGTAAATTCTCTTTACCGTATTTTTGAATTACTGAAGCATTCTGATTTTTTTGCTTTTGTTTTGAGAAAAGGGTTTAAGTATTCATAAGAAAGGCATTTAATTTCCAGTCAATCTTGTAAAAAGATCTTAAAAGGTAAAATGCATATGTATAAAGGCAATAGATTAAAAGTACTTGAAAGGACCAAAGTTAGAGCTTAATCAAAGCAATATGAACTCAAAAATAAAGGATAACTTACTTTAACTGTTATTACTTGAATACACAAATGTAAGAAGACTTTTAGAAGAATGCTTGATATTAAGATTAAAAACTGACACCAATAATTCTTTACAGTAGCTTTTTAAAAAAAAATTAAATTTTTTTTTTTTTTTTGAGACAGAGTCTCATTTTGTCGCCAGGTGCCAGGCTGGAGTGCAGTGGCTCCATCTCAGCTCACTGCAACCTCCGCCTCCCAGGTTCAAGCAATTCTCCTGCCTCAGCCTCCCATGTAGCTGGGACTATAGGTGCACGCCACCATGCCCAACAAATATTTGTATTTGAGTAGAGATGGGGTTTCACTACGTTGGCCAGGATGGTCTCAATCTCTTGACCTCATGATCCGCCCACCTCAGCCTCCCAAAGTGCTGGGATTACAGGCGTGAGCCACCACACCCAGCCTCCAGTAGCTTCTTTTCTTTCAAGGTTGTAAACGTCTAATTGCAAATCATTTTCCTACCCATTAAAATATAAATACTATTTTGCTAAAATATGGTTAGAGATCACCTACTCATAAGTAAATTCTTAGAACTGTGTTTCCCAAAAATACATCTTCATTAGAGAAACTACACTTCAGGCCAGGCACGGTGGCTCACGCCTATAATCCCAGCACAGTGGGAAGCCAAGGTGGGTGGGTCACTTGAGGTCAGGAGTTCAAGACCAGCCTGGCCAACATTGTGAAACCTGTCTCTACTAAAAATATAAACATTAGCTGGGCATGCTGGTGTGCACCTGTAATCCCAGCTACTTGGGAGGTTGAGGCAGGAGGATCACTTAAACCTGGGAGGCAGAGGTTGCAGTGAGCCGAGATCGTGCCACTGCACTCCAGCCTGGACAACAGAGTGAGACTGTCAAAAAAAAAAAAGAAAAACTACAGTTAAAACTAATGATATTAATACTAATAACTTATAGAAAACTAAGGCTTATCTTCATTTTCTTAAAATATTAATCTCAAATGTAAACAAGTTATATTTTCATAAAATATTCATTCCTCATTCATTGCTATTGACCACTATAAATTTTGTTAAAAATGAAATACACTATTACTATTTTAAAATCTTTATTCAATCAGATCCATGCTTATTTACAGTATCTTTCATTTAGAATTAAAATAGTATATCAATCTGTAGTTTAAGTCATACTTTTAGCCCTTTACAAAATATGTGATTAAAGATTTTATAGTTTAAAATGGACCTTGAATAGGGAAAACTGGATTCACTTTTTTAATGAAAATGAAAAACTATGATACACTAGAACATAAATGTATACGTACTAAACATACAGTATTAAAACAAGATAAAACATCTACAATTATTTTTTTTCTTCTATTTTCTAAATACTATAAATCATATACTTTTAATAAACAATGAAAAAAAACTCTCAATAAATGCCAACTGAAGAGAGATGGAGAAAAAAATTTTCCTTAACATTCTTTTCACTTACTTCACTGCAAACTTCATGTTTCCTAGGTCACAAGTTATCCACTTTAGAATATCTTAAGTCACAATATAGATATATTTGGTACATTCCACATGCTAAACTGTACAACTGGCAATTCTCAAAAAAGAAGTAAAAGAAATGTAGGAAATGGTAGACTCAATTTAGCCTCCCAAGAATTGGAAGGACACCTACAGTCTGTGCTTAATTGTCTATAAATCACCAAACAACCTTCCCTTCATTTACTCATTTTTTATATTCTTGAAAATGTCATTATTTGCAGATTTTTTCTTTCAAGAATAGAAACATCTAATTGCAAATCATTTTCTTATCCATTAAAATATTATTATTTTGCTAGAATATGGGTAGAGATGTTTTAATGACAAAACAGCAAAGTATAGCAACGAATATTCAATAGGTATTCTGCCACCTACTGGAGTTTTTCAAGAAACTGTTTAAGTTCACTTTAACTTATAGAAGTATTGAGAGATCTGAGTGTATAACAATCAAAATATGATCAGTGTATGAGCTATTTATTTTTAGATAAGAGTAATATATGGTAATATATAGCCAGAAACTTAAATCGTTGTTTGTCATTTTTAAATAAATTCAAAAACACTTTAAAATTTTCAGTGAATTGATCTTATTTATATTCATAAGGATTCAGAAAAAAGAATGTTTAATATAAAATTGAAAGGTTTAGGAAACAGTTTTATTGCAATCTTTTCTCTGCAACTGCAGTTTTTTTTCTACTAATGGATATCTTAAAGGGACTATTTCATAATTCCAAAACGTCCAGTTTCAAATGCTTCACAGAATTTTGTAACTTACGTTTCGCATACAGTAGTCTCCCCTTATCCACGATTTAGCTTTCTATGGTTTCAGTTACGCATGGACAACCACATTCTGATTACTGGTAAGTACAGTACAATAAGATATTTTGAGAGAAAGAGACAGATCATATTTACATAATCTTTATTACAGTGCATTGTTCTACTTTCAGTTATTATCTCTTGCTGTGCCTAATTTATAAATAAAACCTTATCAAAGGTATATATATACACAGGACAAAACAATATATAGAGGGTTCTATATTATCCATGGTTTCAGACTTTCACTGGGGGTCTTGGAACATATGTCCCATGGATAAGAGGGAACTACTGTATTTTCTAATCCTATACATTTCTTATTGCTTAACTGTCCTGTCATTCTGCCCTTGAATATTACCAAGAAAAAAAAAAAAGTCAAGCTGACAAAAAGCTATTAGACTGCTTTTTACCACTAAAATGAAGAAAATTAATTGTATGAATTTGCCTCACACTGCAAGAATATTTATTAATGCTACAAATCAGACCCAATGACAGAAACATTGTCTGGAATACAAAAAGGACAAAAATGAGGTCATTTAAATTGCCCTGAAAAACTCTCCAAATTATTCGAGACAGCTTACTTGTAGCTATATTCTGAAGTACTAGTGTTTAAAATTGAACTACAAATTAAATGAGAGTTTTATGTTTTGTTTTTTGTTTGTTTTGAGATGGAGTCTTGCTCTGTCACCCAGGCTGGAGTACAGTAGTACAATCTTGGCTCACTGCAACCTCTGCCTCCCAGGTTCAAGCAATTTTCCTGCCTCAGCCTCCCGAGAAGCTGGAATTACAGGCACTTACCACCATGCCAGGCTAATTTTTGTATTTTTAGTAGAGACGGGGTTTCACCAAACTGTTGGTCATGCTGGTCTTGAACTCCTGACCTTAGGTGATCCGCCCGCTTCGGCCTCCCAAAGTGCTGGGATTCCAGGCGTGAGCCATGGCACCCAGCTGTAAATGAGAGTTTTAATGTGCAAGTAAAGGCAGTTAAATAACTTTCAGTAATAAAATGCATCAAAATATTTCACAGATTGAAAACACAGCCTGGTTACCTTTTTGAATAAAATAACATTTGGAAGCAGACATAGCTATTTTTAAATGCTATTCCATGCTTTCCTTGTGTTTAAAGTTTCGAGAAAAAATGATAAATCACACAGAATTACAAAATGCCAAATTCAAGTTAACTCCTATAATTTTTCTATTTTGTTATGAATATTCGGTTATATCAAACATTCATTTTTAAATGTGCTAAAAATATGGGTTTACAAAATATGAACAGGTAACTTTTAAAGAGTAAATTATGTTAAGAACTTTATTATTTTTGATTATTTTAATAGGGTAATAAAATAATGCCTCTTCAAAGTCATTTAAATGTTACTGATGCCATCGTAAAATCATTATAAATAAATTTTCTCTACTATCCAATTACATCTAGATAACATTGAATATGTACAGGTTTCTCTGGATAAGTACCAAAAGGTACCACATTTTATACAGACTTAATTGTGAAAGCTGGGTGAAATAAATTTTCAGACCAAAATTTATTTTAAGTTTAAATCGCTCACTCTTTAAATTTCAGACAGTGTCAGTATGACTTACTTTTAAAGAAAAAAAAGTTAGTTTAAAATTTAATAACCACAGATTTAATAATTTTTTACTTAAACATTTAATGTACATTTTCATGAGTAATAATTAAGATATGTTGAAAACTTAAATGTGAAAGATTTCGAAGTTTCAGTATGTTAACATTACTCTTTAAGTGTTCTTAATATATATATATAAACACAAATTGTAGAAACAACTAGTTGTGTATCTGCAATACATATATGAACACCATTCTTCTTCTCTAGCCTTACTGATATAAGGTTAAAGTAATAAATCTCTGTGATGTTCAAGAACAAAAAAACGAATGCTTTAAAAAATAAATCTTTAAAGAATAGTTTCAAAAATAAAGTTCAAATATTGCACAAAATAATTTAACTGTAAATATTACTACATAGCGTAAAATAATTTTTAAAAAAATTTTTACACTCTACAGTAAATCTCATTTTCTAATTCTATAAAAGAATTTATTGGAAGTCCACATTAAATGTTTAGATATTAAATGTTTACATTCAGTTTGATGGGAATTAAATTTTCACAAGTTAACTGAGCCTTTGTCTTAAAAGTTCATCTATTTGAGTTTTATACATATTTTTTACATCTTCAAGATCTAATCGAAGTTCTTCTGCCTCTTCTGCTTTTTCTCCATACATCTGCAGAATAGTGTTGTACCTTTGGTCCAAATCCTGCAAAATGTATGTTTACAATTTTTAATATAACTACACAGAACATCTTTAATATTTATATTGCCATAGAAGTCAACAATCAAAATACTACAATTTAAATAAAAGCATATACTCATCTCTTTTAAAAATTAAACTCACAGTCCAGTCTATGTTGAAATAATTAGCAAAAAAAAAAAAAGAAAAAAGTAAAGAAAAAAACCAAGCTAGATAGCTATCTATTTTACCCTCTCTCTCCACTAAATCTACAATTCTCCCATATATGGCTTCTCTCCCATTAATGTAAGCATACTTAATAAAAATTTAGTTTCTTTGTTCCATGGTGGTATAAGTATTACCTGGCATTTAGCTCACAGGAAAGATCAAAAGAAAATACATTCTCATTTATGGCTTAACAGTGTCTTCTAACATCCAGATATGATAATTGTGATGATACATGTAACATCAAAAGTTCAATGTTATAAATGAAGCTTAGCCAAATGAAATCTAGTTCTTTTCCTATACTGGAACTAAACATGATTGTGAAAATTATTTTGAATATGTAATGACATAAGCAACATAAAAGATTCATTTTGAAAGTTCTTTGCTCAAATATTAATACTCTTTAATTTTCAAAGAAATCACTAACACATACATATATGCATTTTATATAAACTAAAAACATAAGATTAAATGTAAATGAACTAAAATATCTTAAACTCATCCTTAAGTGAAGAATACTTACTCTTAGCTGAGTTCTAAGTTTGGGTATCTCCTTCACCTTCTCTTCAAGTTCGTCAGTTTGATTTGTTAATTTAACTAGTTCTTCAGCCATTATTGATCGAGTTTTTTCTAGATTGCCAATTTCTAGCTGAAAAGCATCACCACAAAATAGTTTAAGTCAAAATATATCTTAATACTCCCACTAATATAAAAATATTTAATGTGTGTGTGTTTTTTTTAAACAGACATGTCAACATATAACCTTGAGCTAGCTCTTTAAGCAAAGGAAACAGTGGAAGAAAATGGGTCCCAACTTTCCTAAGAGGTATACCATTTATAAGGTTTCCTATGCAACAGAGATAAAGAAGAAAATCCAATTATTTGTTTGAAAACATGCAACCATATATTTTTTCTAATCTAAGGAAATGACATATATTTCAGTTATTCTAAATTACTAAAAGAACCCAAAGAAATAAAAACATACTTTAACATAGCCCCACCTGTGTAGGTTGTATTGATAGAGGCTTTCATCACTAACAAAGAAATTAATTAGGTCCCTGTATAGCATACCGGCTATACAAACATCTGAGATTAAGATTATTCTGATCTACTTTTTGCCAATTCAAGTTTTTTAATAGAGTAATATTTTCATATAACTAAAAGTACATAATGGGAGAATTTTTACCTACTTCTGAGTGTACTGTGTTTAACATTGAAAAGAGGTATCCTTATTCAAAATGTGTTGGACCAGGAATGTTTCAAATTTCTTTTTTTTTTTTTTTTTTTCAGATTTTGGAATATATGCATTATGTACTTACTGGTTGAGCATCCCAAATCTGGAAATCCAAAATGCTCAATTCAGCATTTCCTTTGAGCATCATGTCAGCACTCAAAGTTTTGGATTTTGGGGCATTTCGGATTTTAGATTTGGGATGCTCAACCTGTAAAACATTTTAACATTTCTGACTGTACAAAGTTTTTTAAAAGCCAAAAAGGTTAAGATGGGAGGATGCTCCCTCAACAACTCATGTTGTTTCCTCCCATGTACAGGGTGTTACAGTTCTAACATTTCTCATACCCTTTATTCCTTCATTCCCCGGGGGAGTTGGAATAATTTATCCAGGAGGTAAATCTGAATAGAACAGGCATTCTCAGCTCAGCAACTTCCCTTTATCCTGTCAGGAAAGAGCTGCTTGAAAGGAGGAAGCATTCTCTGCTCCTAGATGCTTATGTCTTATGTAGGCAGGTTGTAACACATGGGATGCCTGCCCCAGCCCAGCATTTCCTGTGACAAATCAGCCAAATCTGCCTAACTCTGGCAATTAGCCAGGTTCAGTTGGCTGTTTTCCTTAGCTAATTTCCCTTTTTAACCTTTATCATTGATATATGTAAAACATTTTGGGCTTCACATGCCACTTACGTAATCTTGTTTCTCAATTTGCTCAGAATTCAGATGGAAATGAAGGGTGCTATTTATTGGGCCCCAAAACTTCATTTACTTCTATAGCAAATTTAATTTTTCCAATACCTGTAAATGGGTAATTTCCCCTTCCCTTAGCTTTAGCTGAGACTGTAGGTTTTCAATAATGCTAGATCCTGCTCCCATCCTTATAGCATCATAAAGGTTGCTTCCATTTGCTGATACAGACATTGGTCCAAATGAGTGATCATGAGATTCATCCTATGTTAATTAAGAAAGCACACACAGTCATTTGGTTATCATAGCTTGTGTTCCATTACCAGGTTTGAACAAAAATGGTTCTGTCAATTTTTGCTTTAAATGATTATGACTTTCTCAAAGGCAGAAAATCATCCATGTATTTCCTCTCACTACAATTAGTACTCCTCCACAAGTATTTGGATGAATTGTCTATAGAATGGCAAAGTTGTGGTGACAGACAATCTTGACATTTGCATATTTCCTTTATTATTATTCTAAGAACTGAGCACATATAAAAATAAAACATCACCTGAGACAGAAAAGATGTCTGTAGTCCTGCCGTATCAACACCACTTATTGAACTTGAGCGTGACATGGTGGGAGTGCTAGAAACAGAAAATGGCTTGCGTTCCTTAGGGAGTAAACAAAAAAAAAATTCTGTTCAGATTAAAGAGCAAAGAGATAAGCAGAGAAAGAAAGAACATTTTCTAGGGTTAATGAGAACAAAGATTCAATCTTTTAAAAAAAAGCCAAATTACAAAGGAATTCAATACAATCAAATAAAAAAATTTTTTTAAAGATTCATTCTAATTTTCCCATAAAATGACTTCTGAAGTCTTATTAAAAATACAATATTGGACGGGGTGCGGTGACTCATGCCTGTAATCGCAGCACTTTGGGAGGCTGAGGAAGGCAGATCACAAGGTCAGGAGTTCAAGACCAGCCCAGCCAATATGGTGAAACCCCCGTCTCTACTAAAAAATAATTAAAAATTATCTGGGTGTGGTGGCGCATGCCTGCAGTCCCAGCTACTCGGGAGGCTGAGGCAGGAGAATAGCTGGAATCCAAGAGGCAGAGGTTGCAGTGAGCTGAGATCACACCACTGCACTCCAGTCTGGGCGACAGAGCAAGACTCCATCTCAAAAAAAAAAAGTACAGTATTTGGATGGGCACGGTGGCTCATGCCTGTAAATCCCAGCACTTTGGAAGGCTGAGGCAGGCAGATCATCAGAGGTAGGAACTTCAAGACCATCCTGACCAACATGGAGAAACCCCGTCTCTACGAAAAACACAAAATTAGGCAGCCATGGTGGCACATGCATGTAATCCCAGCTACTCGGAAGGCTGAGGTAGGAGAATCGCTGGCACCTGGGGGTGGAGGTTGCAGTGAGCCGAGACTGCACCATTGCACTCCAGCCTGGGCAACAAGAGTAAAACTCTATCTCAAAAAAAATAAAAAAGAAAAAAGTACAAAATGTACTAATTAAAACTGTAGATAGATTTGGTTAGATCATCACAGGACCCATTTATTACAATAATGTACTTTGTTGGGTTTTTATAATGTAATGAGACTGTTAAACTTCATATTATACAAAATACTATCAGTTAAACCTATTTCTGTAACATAAAATTACTGATGAGTGTTAAAAACCATAAAATTTCTAGCTTATCTGTTTTATTTTCAATGTAGTTTTAAAATTTCAAATAAGTTCAATAGGTAATTTAAATTTACATATAAGTAGTTTAAATATATTATGCTAACTCCAAGTACGCTATAATTCTTTCAATAGAGAAAACTCATTGTATTTTTATTTTTCTTATTTTTGAGAAAAAGTCTCGCTCTGTTACCCAGGCTGCAGTGCAGTGATGCAATCTTGGCTCACGGCAGCCTCTGCCTCTTGGGTACAAGCAATTCTCTCACCTCTGCCTCCCAAGTAGCTGGGATTACAGGCTCATGCCACCATGCCCAGCTAATTTTTATATTTTTAGTAGAGATGGGGATTTGCCATGTTGGCCAGGCTTGTGTCAACTCCTGGGCTCAAGTGATCCTCCCACCTCAGTCTCTCAAAGTGCTGGGATTACAGGTGTGAGCCACCAAGCCCAGCCTCAGAAAATTCATTTTTAGAAAAATTACCCTCATTAACCAGAAAGCAAGCAAGCCAGATTTACTCCTTTACTGCCTATAGGCCAAATGAAGTACACTAGTTTCAGTGAGAGATGAGTAAATTCATTTTAAAAGGGGCAATTTCAAGTCCTGGAAATCATAGATCTCTTTGGATAAGCTTAAATTACTTTGGGTCCACTCCGAGCAGGATACTGATTATAATAATAGAATTCATCACTATGTTGATTTCAGACATTGAAAAAAATGATACTTATAAAGCAGGAATGTCCAATCTTTTCATTCCCTGGGCCACATTTGAAGAACAAAAACTGTCTTGGGCCACACATAAAATACACTAACAATAGCTGATGAGCTAAAAAAAAACAACATGAATCTCATGATGATTTAAGAAAGTTTAAGAATGTTTGTTGGGCTTCATTTAAAGTCATCCTGGGCCACATGCCAACCAGGGCCACAGGTTGGACAAGTTTATTATACAGCAGAGCTAAAACTAAAAACATGTCTGGGTGCGGTGGCTCATGCCTGTAATACAGCACTTCGGGAGGCCGAGGCGGGTGATCTCCTGAGGTCAGGAGTTTGAGACCAGAGTAACCAATGTGGTGAAACCCTGTCCCTACCAAAAATACAAAAATTAGCTGGTCATGGTGGCATGTGCCTATAACCTCAGCTACTCGGGAGCCTAAGGCAGGAGAATCGCTTGGACCTGGGAGGTGGAGATTGCAGTGAGCCACTGCATTCCAGCCTGGGTGACAAGAGCAAACTTCGTCTCAAAAAAAGAGATTAATCACAGCATCTACTAAATGGTTACACCAAAACCAAACAAAAATGAAATTAAATACCTTTTCTTTTATTGCTTCTTGAGTAAAAATGGCTTTCTTCTTTTCTTGTTCAACTTTCATTCTTTCCATTTCTAACTGACTATTCAACAGTGTCTAATGGAGAGAGATAAAGTTAGACAATTTCTGTGATACTGATTCATGCCATGATAATAAGTCAATCCCAAAGTTAGAAGCATGAAGTAGAAACTCATATTTGTTTCACTACTAAAGACCAAGTTCCAAAAGCAGTGGCATCACCCATTGCATCTTGTTATCTCATTAGTTTGCTGCCATCCCCAACCATTCACTAATGTAAGCCCTAAGAGGTGAGTGATCACGAAGGGAAATACCTTTTCTTTTCTTGTTTCTTCAAGTGTCCTTACATATTCATCTTTTAGGTTTTCTAATTCAACCTGGTACCTGTTAAACCAAAGAGAATTAAAAAACAAAAAACAGAAAATGAAAAAGATGACAGTATACACTACTAAAAACTCAGTACTTTAACTCCAGCTACTTATTGAGAAGTCATTTTTATTACCGGATTGACATCAGTGACTTTTCGACAGTGTTTTCCAGATCCCATTTGAGTTTCACTCAAAAACCAAACCACAAGTGAAAAATCTCCACTTTTGTGCATTTTATTTATTGGTGCTCTGGGTTAAGATTTCATTTAAAAAGAGACTTTATAAAAATAACTCTGGCCGGGCATGGTGGCTCAAGCCTGTAATCCCAGCACTTTGGGAGGCCAAGGCGGGTGGATCATGAGGTCAAGTGATCGAGACCATCCTGGTCAACATGGTGAAACCCCGTCTCTACTAAAAATACAAAAAATTGAGAACGATCCAAGATGGCCGATCGCTAACATCCCGGGATTGCAGCTCTCAGGGAAGGCACGGAGAACTAGAGGACGCCACACTTTCAGACAAAGTCTGGTCGCTCATGGAGCAGAAGATCCCCCAGTGGTGGAAACACACGAGTCACCAGCGCAACTCTCGTGGTTGGCGCAGCGGTTCCGCCGGCACCTCGACGCGGCAGCGCTCGGCGCAGAGTAAACGGGACCAGTTCCCCTTCTGACCGAGGTTTGGAGCCCCGGGAAGGCAGAGTCGCCTACTACGGACACAAGAAGGAAGCCCGACAGGAGAATCCTGGGCAGAAAAGCACCATCAGTTTTAACGCCGCTGCTCTGGCCCTGGGAACTAACAACCTGGACGTCCACTCAAGAGACCTAATCTGAAAGTTGGTAATTTCAAAGAAGACAGGAGGATAAATTTACGATGACGGGAAGAAACCAGCGTAAAAAAGCTGAGAATACTCAAAGTCAGAACGCCTCTCCCTCTAAAGATGATCACAGTTCCACATCAACAATGGAACAAGGCTTGATGGAGAACGAGCGCCTCCTGATGACAGAATCACTCTTCAAGTAACGGATAATAGCAAACTTCGGTGAGTTAAAAGAACATGTTGTAGCCCAATGTAAAGAAACTAGGAACTTTGAAAAAAGGTTTGATGAAATCCTATTGAGAATAGACAACTTAGAGAGGAGTATGAGTGAATTAATGGAACTGAAGAATACAATACAGGAACTCCGAGAAGTATGCACAGGTTTAAACACTCGAATTGTTCAAGCAGAAGAAGGGATATCAGAGGTCAAAGTCCAACTTAATGAAATAAAATGTGAAGAAAAGATTAGAGAAAAAAGGATAAAAAGGAATGAGCAAAGTCTCCAAGAAATGTGGGACTATGTGAAAAGACCAAATTTACGTTTGATAGGTGTACCTGAATGCGACGGAGAGAATGAATCCAAGCTGGAAAATACCCTTCAGGATATTATTCAGGAAAATTTTCCTAAACTAGCAAAGCAGGTCAATATTCAACCCCAGGTAATACAGAGAATACCACAAAGATATTCCTCAAGAAGAGCAACCCCAAGGCACATAGTCGTTAGATTCACCAGGGTTGAAACGAAGGAGAGGATACTAAGGGCAGCCAGAGAGAAAGGTCAGATTACCCACAAAGGCAAGCCTATCAGACTTACAGCAGATCTCTCGGCAGAAACTCTACAGGCCAGAAGAGAGTGGGGGCCAATATTCAACATCCTCAAAGAACAGAACCTTCAGCCCAGAATTTCATATCCAGCCAAATTAAGCTTCACAACTGAAGGAAAAATAAAATCTTTTATGAACAAGCAAGAACTCAAGAGATTTTATTACCACCAGGCCTGCTTTACAAGAGCTTCTGAAAGAAGCATTACACACAGAAAGAAACAACCAGTATTAGCCTTTCTAAAAATACACCAAAAAGTAAAGAGCACCAACATAAAGAAGAATTTACACCAACAAATGGATAAAACAGCCAGTCAACATCAAATGGCAGTAAGCCTAAATTTAAATTGACTAAATCCCCCAATCAAAAGACATAGCCAAAACCCAACGGCATGTTACATCCAGACCTGTTTCACATGCAAGGATACACAAAGACTCAAAACAAAGGGATGGAGAAAGATTTACCAACCAAATGGAGAGCAAAAATAAATAATAAATAAATAAAAAGCAGGAGTTGCAATTCTTATATCGGATAAAATAGATTTTAAAGCAACAAAGATATAGTGGTAAAAGGATCAATGCAACAACAAGAGCTAACGATCCTAACACCCAGATAGGAGACTTAGATTCAATGAGACAGAAAATTAATAAGGATATCAAGGACTCGAACTCAGATCCAGAACAAGTAAACTTAATAAATATTTATAGAGCTCTCCACTTCAAATACACAAAATATACATTCTTGTCAATACCACATCACACCTACCCATAAGTTTAAATGAAACATTGATTGGCCATTATTAATACCCAATTTTTTCAAAATAAAGCAATATTTCCATTTACTCTCCCTCTTTCTCTTCCTCTTTCTTCCTCTCCTTTACTTATTTTTTTTTTTTTCTTTCCTTCTCTCAAAAAAAAAAAGAAATCAACTTGTAAACCTCTAGATCCAGGTCGGCAATGTCTCTTTCATTGCTTGATTTCCTTTCTTCCCTTCCCTCCCTCCCTCCCTCCCTCCCCGCTTCCTCCCTTCCTTCCTTCCTTCCTTCCTTCATCCCTTCCTTCCTGCCTTCCTCCCCCCACAAAAAAAAAAAAAAAAAAAATACAAAAAATTAGCTGGGCATGGTGGTGCGTGCCTGTAATCCCAGCTACTCAGGAGGTTGAGGCAGGAGAATTGCCTGAACCCAGGAGGTGGAGGTTGCGGTGAGCCAAGATCACGCCATTGCACTCCAGCCTGGGTAACAAGAGCGAAACTCCATCTCAAAAAAAAATAATAATAACTTTGAGTATCATCATCCTATAATATGCTCAGATTCCACAAAGCTTATTAGGAAGTTCTATGAAAATGTTTATAAAAGTTCAGGTATTTTACTTTAGAAATCATTTTTACTTGACGACTTTTTTAAAAAGGAAGAACACAGAGGGTAAAAAATACTAACCATTGCCTATTAATATATTCTCAGATAGTTAGATTTTACACCCCGTGATTTCTAAGAACTCAGACATTTATTTAGAAAAGGCTTAAATTATGCTACTAAAACCCTTGTTATATAAAACTCCAAAGAGTAGTCTGAAAACTATTTTGTGGTGTTACAGCCCCCTTTTAAAAATCTGATTGAAGGTATAAATCCTTTCCCTGGAAAAATCTAAATATATACAAAACATGTCACACAATCTCAACAACCTATGTAACAGTCAATGAATCCCAGTACTATCCTGTTATAATATCTTATTACTTACTTTTCGGAAACGGGTGCCATGGTACCATCTCTGCTCACTGAACCTCCCAGGTTCAAGCGATTCTCCTGCCTCAGCTTCCCAAGTAGCTGGGATTACAGGTGTCTGCCACAATGCCCAGCTAATTTTTGTATTTTTAGTAGAGACAGGGTTTCATCATGTTGGCCAGGCTGGTCTTTAACTCCTGAACCTCAGGTGATCCACCTGCCTCAGCCTCCCAAAGTGCTGGGATTACAGGCGTGAGCCTCCGTACCTGGGCATAATATCCTATTACTAATCATCCTAACTTTAAACACTAAAAGTGTTTACTTTTAGTTCTTGGTACTATGAAGCTAAAAGCCAGCAACACACTTTGTTTGTTTGTTTGTGATGGAGTCTCACTCTGTCACCCAGGCTGGAGTGCAGTGGCACAATCTCAGTTCACTGCAACTTTCACCTCCCAGGTTCAAGTGATTCTTGTGCCTCATCTTCCGAGTCACTGGGATTACAGGTGCACGCCACCAAGCCCAGCTAATTTTTGTATTTTTAGGAGACTAGGTTTCACCACGTTGGCCAGGCTGGTCTCAACCTCCTGCCCTCAAGTGATCTGCCTGCCTTGGCCTCCCACAGTACTAGGATTACAGACGTGAGCCACCACACATGGCCCAACAACATACTTTTAAAAAGTGCTTTATGATGTCATGGAACTACCAAAAATATCACTCAAAAACCATGCTCACCTATTATTCTCATCCTCCAGTTTTCGTAGCCTATTTTTCTCTGATTCTAGCTGGGCTTGAAATCTACTGTTTTCTTGTCTTAAGAGAGAATTCTGTGACTCCATGGAAGACATCTGAATTTTGTTAGCAAGGAGTTCTTCTGTAGCTGCACGTTCTCTCTCAACTGCTGCTGCCAGCAGGGTCTGGGATTCACCTGATTATAGGACAGAAAGAAAAATCACATATACATATAGCCCACAGACCAAAATAACAAGTCAATTCTGATTTCAAACATTTAACGATGCATTTATTGCCTAAGGCAGGACTATCTACTGGGACAAATGAACCAATCTTAACTTATACCTGTTTTTTCATTCTTTTCCAAAAGTATTTTAATTTGAAAACAGAGTCATGCATTAAAAGAGTAGTGGATCAACAAATGGTCCTGGAGCAATTGGACATCTATATACAAAAAACGAAACAAAACAAAAAAACCCTATACATCACATCATACAAGAAAATTAACTCAAAATGGATCACAGACTTAAATGTAAAACATAAAACTATAAAACTTTTAGGAAAAAATAGAGGAGAAAGTCTTCAGGACCTAGAGCAAGGCAAAGAGTACTTGGATTTGACACCAAAAACGAGTCATAGAAAGAAAAACTGACAAACTTCTTCAAAATTTTGAATTTTTAAATCCACATGAAGAGGATGAAAAGGCAAGCTATAGCGTGAGAGCAAATAAATGCAAACCATATATCAACGACTAGTATCAGGAATATATAACAATCTAGTAAGAAAATGGGTAAAAGACATAGACATTTCACCACAAAGGATGTACAAATGGAAAACAGGACATAAAATGATGTTCAATATCATTAGCCATTAGGGAAATACAAATTAAAATCATAATGAGGTATGATTACATGCCTGTCTGAGTAACTAAAAGAAAAAACAGGGACAACACAAAATGTTGGTAAGGATGTTAATAAACTAGATTACTCTTATACAGCCACTTTGGAAATAGTTTGGCATTTTCTTAAAAACACTAAACATGACTTGGGCATTTATCCAGAGAAATGAAAACTTAGGTCCACACTAAAACCTGTATGTGAATATTCACAGTACCTCTATCTGTAATAGCCAGAAAATGGAATCAGCCTGGACATCCTTTGTCCACTGAATGGCTAAACAAACTGTGGTACATACATACCATGGAATAACACTCTGCAGTAAAAACACTGAACTGCTGATACAAACAACTACTGTGTGAACCTCTTCCTGGGCATTATGCTGAGTGAAAAAAGCCAATCCCAAAATGTCATACACTGTATAATTTTATTTATGTAACATTTTTGAAATGACAGAATTTTAGAAATGGAGGACAGATTAGTGACTGACAGAGATTTGGGACAAGGGAGGGAGGGTTTAGAGAGTGGTAGGTGTGTTTCCAAAAGGGTAACAGCTAAGAAAAAAAGAAGAAAAAGGCAATAGGAAGGACTCACAGTGTTGGAACTGTTCAATATTTTTGACTATGGTAATGGACACGTGGTAAAATTGTATAGAACTTAATACATAGATGCGTGCACACACACACGCACAGACACACAAACGAGTACCAATAAAACTTTGGAAATCTGAATAAAATCAGTAGATGGTATCCATGTCAATACTACGATTGTGATATTATACATTAATACTGTAAAATTTTAATACTTGAAGATATTAAGCAATGTGTGCAAAGGATCTTTCTATATTATTTCTTATAACTGCATGTGAATCTACAGTATATCATTAAAAATTTCAATTGAAAAAAGAGCAATGGATAAGATTCTGAGATTTAACCTAGGTAAGAATTCTCATATTTTTTTCTCCACCAGAGTAGAGCTAGTAATACCTCTATTTTACATTTTACACTCTGCTCCACAGAATATCTAGGGTCTTTTTAATAGCACTGCTTGTTATGTTGGTTCTGTGGCTTTCCCTATATGCTAGCATGATACCACACATCGCTGAGGGTATAGAGACTTCAGTCTAAAAACCACAGAAGTACCAGTTTTTAGCATTCATTTACTGCAAATATTTATTTCAAAAGGTATCATTTTCAGGTGTCTCATATTTCATTTCACATTGGTCTCAAAAAAGTTGTCATAAATGACAGACCTAACATTTATACCTATAAATTTAAATATACATTAAGGTTCATCTAGTTCAGTAAATTTTTTTAAGCAGATGAATCTTTTTGTAGACCAAATCTTACATGGAACTCCAATAAAATAAGATAGACAAAAGAGGCCCTGTTTTCATTATAGCAGCCTTAGAAGCCCTGCCTATTATTTATAAAGCTTCCCTCTCACTGTGACAGCAGACACAAAGGTATCCAAGAGTCCACTCAATACTATTTGACAGTCACTCATCTGCCTAGATATTGTATTCTTTTTGTGGCAAAAAAAAAGAAAGTCACTAATCTAGTTCACCCCTCCTAATTCACAAGGGATAGCACAGAGAGAGCTGGAACAATATAAGTGACTTGTTCCAGACTGTTTCGTTGGATGATTCAAAACAAAACACCCTGAGTCCATGTCTTCTTACTCATTCAGGTCTGATTTTATCACCACACCATGATTTCTCAAATTACAGTTAGTGTCAAGCGCAAAAGTCATACTTGAATTTTTCATGAATCTGCTAGCTGCTGGGATATGTATAATATACATACACTACCTGTCTGTGCTTGAAGGGAAACATTTTAGAAAATACTTTTCTTTTTATTAACATCACAGAAGGGCAACTGGGGGCAAGACTGTAAAAAAGCAGAATATGGGAGATGGAGTCTCACTCTGTCATCCAGGCTGAAGTGCAGTAGCGTGATCTCAGTTCACTGCTGCCTCTGCTTCCCAGGTTCAAATGATTCTCTGCCTCATCCTCCCAAGTAACTAGGATTACAGGCATGTACCACAACACCCAGTTAATTTTCGTATTTTTAATAGGGACAGGGTTTCATCACATTGGCCAGGCTGGTCTTGAACTCCTGGCCTCAAGTGATACGCCCGTCTTGGTCCCCCAAAGTGCTGGGATTACAGATGTAAGTCACCATGCCCTGCCAGAATATGGAATCTTAAGACTCCATAGTATCTCTCTTCTAAAGTTGATCTTGACTCTCCTTAGACCTATTTTCGTTCTTGGAATTCTACCACTGATGAGAATCATATCTGATCTCGACCTCCTACACTATTGCAGACAAGCTACAAAGGGGTCAGATTTAGCAATGGGCAAGAAAAAAACTCAAGTACAACAGTCTGTAGAAATGAATGAAAGAATGACATGAAAGTACTTTAGCCAGTATCTGATAACACTGTGTAACAGGAAAAAATGGTTTGAAAGAGACATATTAAAGTTATTAAAAATACACATAGAAAAAGAGAAAAAGTAAAAATCGAAATATTAGACAAAATATAACTACCAGAGCAAATGAATTTCAATTTCATACCATTACTCTAATTCTATAAACAAGATGGAAGGGCTTCTGCATTGAGCATAAAAACTAAAGCAGTTACCAAGCCTATCAGAAAGATTCTTCTCTAATTTCTCCCACGATGATGTCTGGGACCCTAGGGTTGCTTGCAAATTTTCTATCTGTCGAAGCAGTGGTCTTGTTGTTGATGAAACACTCTGACTCAGTTCCTGGTTTCGATTCTCTGCTTCCTGGAGTCTCTGAATCATGAAATTATTATGTCACTACCAATGACAGTAATAAAAACATTAAAAGCACTAGCAAACCTAAACTTTAGGAGAGACTCCCAGAGAATTATTTTTCCAAGAGAAAATTACTTGCTTTTTAATTAAATTATTTTTATTATTATTTTTAGAGATGGGGTCTCGCTTTATCATCCAGGCTGGTGTTCAGTGACACAATCTTGGCTCACTGTAGCCTTGACTTCCCAGGCTCAAGTGATCCGCCCACCCTCAGCTTCCCAGGTAGCTGGGACTACAGGTACATGGCATCACACCTGGCTAATTTTTGTATTTCTTTTGTAGAGATGAGGTTTTATCATGTTGCTCAGGCTGGCCTCAAACTCCTGAGTCAGGCAATCTGCCTGCCTCAGCCTCCCAAAGTGTTGGGATTACAAGCATGAGCCACCATGCCTGGCCCTTAATTATTTTTCTAACTGTTTGATCCTCCCAATAGAATTAGACTGTGTAATAGAGTATCTAAATAAGTGCTCCTTTGGGTGGGCACGGTGGCTTACACCTCTAATCCCAGGACTTTGGGAGTCCAAGGCAGGTGAATCACCTAAGGTCAGGAGTTCAAGACCAGCCTGGCCAACACGGTGAAATCTCGTCTCTACTAAAAAGACAAAAATTAGCTGGGCATGGTGGTGCACGCCTGTAATCTCAGCTACTCAGAAGGCTGAGGCAGGAGAATCTCTTGAACCCAGGAGGCAGAGGGTACAGTGGGCCAAGATCATGCCACTGCACTCCAGCCTGGACGACAGAGCAAGATTCCGTCTCAAAATAAATAAATAAATCCTTCTTTAAAATGCATTTCTAAGATAGTCTTCAATTACCTGAAGGTTAAAAAAGAATTCATCCAAACCTCTTAGTAGTTGCCTCTTCATCCAAATATTTTTAAGTATTTATAAAAACAGAAAAATCAATCTAAGTTCTATTTCCTCTCCCTTTTCCTGTGCATGTTAACTGACGGAAAATTAACAGAGACATAGAAACTGGGAACTGTTACCTGTCCCACAGTAATCAAAGACTGATAATCATTAATAAGTCTTTACAAATGGAAAAGCAATACTGAATATATATATATAACAAATCTATCATAACATTATTTTCTATAAAAACAAAATATTTTCTTGTATACATTTTTAAGGTGCTCACTCTGATTTATTCACACAAGCCACAAAAATACAGCAAATGCTAAGTGTGACAGCAGTCCTCTCAGTTCCATCAACATTATCCCACTGAGTCATTCTTTAATTTCTAGAAAGACACATACTTCTTGGACTTGGGTTTCAGAAAACTGTGACACTACCTGCTGAAGTTCACCAATCTCATGGCGTAAATAATCCTCCTTTCTGGCAGCTGCTTGTTCTGAACGTTGCAATGCAAGCCTAAGGTCCCCCACCTGTAAAAGGAGAAACAGTACATTCACAAACAATGGCACACTATTATCTACAACTTCCTGCTAACTACACATTTTGTGTTGTGTTGATATTGTTCAGTATAATACTTGAGACTCTCCATCAAACTTTTAAATATGATTATCACATATTGCATTCATCAAGCAATTCCAAAACTGAGTGTATATTCAATGCTTACTTAGAAAAGCACTCTGTCAAGGCAAAGAAATGCATACAAATATGTTTAAGGCACAGCCATTACCATACAATATTGGGGAAAAGACAATGCATCCATAAATATTTGCCACTTCAGACAGAAAGTGATAGGTACTATATGGGTTATAAAAGCTAGGTACTCCACTCATATACAGGAGCATACATTATAAACTACTATAGCATTTTGGAAAACATTACAATATGTTTAAAGAATTATCAAACTTCTCACATCCTTTTACCTGGCTATCCTATTCTTGGAAATTTACTCTAAGAAAGCAGACTTGTAAATACAAAGGGATAATACTGTAGGGACAGGGATAGTCCCTACCGTATTAAACAGGCTAGCAAAAACAAAACTAGCAATATTCTAAATCTCCATCACTAGTAATCTATATTTGCAAATGTTAATACAACATACATATAACCATTAAAAATTAGAATAAATATATAAAGCATGTAAGAACATTTCTAATTTACTATTAATGGAAAAACTATAACATGTATGACATCAATTATAAAAAATACATACATGGAAATAGAATAAAACGCTAATACATAAAACTGACAGTACTTGTAAAAAGCGATGAATTTATGGATGGTAGGCCATATTTGCTCTATCTCCCATTCCCCCAATTTTCCTGTATTATTATTCTAATGTATTTTAAATTTAAATTACTGATATTTTATCTATCCCAGTAAAAGAGTAGCAGAAACACAAAGGACATATGAACCATGGCATGACTTATAACAGCAAAATACAGAAAACAACTCAAATATCCATCAATAAGAAATAGCTAAAAATACATTACCTAATGAAGTATTATAAAACAGTAAAAAGATATTTTTTAAAAACCCCTATGTTTTACCAAAGTGATCATCAAGATATTTTACTAAGTAAATAAAACAAATATAAAAAGTATGAATAATAAACTATTATTTATGTAAAAAGGATGTAGGAGATAGAAATTGGGATATATAACCAGGTGCAGTGGCTCACACCTGTAATCCCAGCATTCAGGGAGGCCAAAGTGGGCAGATCACAAGGTCAAAAGATTGAGACCATCTGGTCAACATGGTAAAACCCTGTCTCTACTAAAAATACAAAAATTAGCTGGGCATGGTGGCAGGCACCTGTAATCCCAGCTACTCAGGAGGATGAGGCAGGAGAATCTTTTGAACCTGGGAGATGGAAGTTGCAGTGAGCTGAGATCACGCCACTGCACTCCAGCTTGGCAACAGAGCGAGACTCTGTCTCAAAAAAAAAGAAAAAAAAATCAGGGTATAAGTGAATGTGTATGTATACAGAACATGTAAATATATAGATACATATATTTTCCTGCATTTGCCAATAGAAACACTGAAAAGGTAAGCCAAACTCTAATAAAATGGTTACCTATAGGCAAAGAAAGGAAATGGGAGCAACTAACCTGGAAGTAAATGTCTGAATAGATTTTTCTCTCACTTTAGAATCGTAAATATTTTACATATTCAAAATTTAAAATGAAATCAAAAGGGCATAGAAGTCAATAACAATAGTTTTTTTGACAACTGGTCCTGCAATAACTGGATATCCACATGCAAAAGACCTAAATATAAGTGTTAAGATTACAAAACTCTTGGAAACTGGTGAAAATCTGCAGAATCGTGGATTAAGCAATGGTTTCTTAAATATGATGCCAAAAGCACAAATAAAAAAGAAAACAGAGATAAGCTAAACTTCCTTAAAATTAAAAACTTTTGGCATCCAAGGGCACTATCAAGAAGAAACATAAGCTACAGAAAGGCAGAAAATATTTACAAATCCTGTATCTGATAAAGGTCTAGTATGCAGAAGAACTCATAATAACATATAAAAGACAAATAGCCCAATTTTAAAATGTAAAAAGGATTTGAATATTTTAATAAATTTCTCCCAAGAAGATATATAAATGGCCAATAAGCAAATGAAAAGGCATTCAACATCATTAGTCTATAAGAAAACGCAAATCAACACCATACTCAATTACTACTTCACACACACTAAAAAGGCAATAATTTTGAAACAGACAATTAATAAAAGTTGGCAGGATGTGGAGAAACTGAAACCCTCATCTATTGCTAGTAGGAATGTAAAGTAATCTAGCCACTATGGAAAAGTTTGCCAGTTCCTCAAAAAGTTAAATATATAGAGTTACCATATGATCCAAGGAGATATCTAGGAGAATTTAAAATACATGTTCACACAAAAATTTGTGCATGGATATTTATTATAGCAGCATTATTGATAATGACCACAAAGTATAAATAACCCATATGCCCATCAACTGATGATTTTATAAGAGAAAGCCTCACAAATTTTGCTTTTCCTATTTCATGAGGTCCTTGGAATCCCACAGATGTTATAAATGAGCCAGGAGTTAATCTCTCAAAATAATATGCAATATGTATATGCATTTTTGCTCTTCTCACATAAGAGGGTTCTTAGCTTTCATAATACTCTCAAATGGGTCTAAAACTCACAAAAAAATAAACAATACTGGTATTACACAAGCATTACTTTAATAGTTTTAAAAAACACAACTGGTTAAATTTAGCAGAATCCAGTACTCTGAAATCTAACACATGTATCATGACATAAAGTTTGATTCAAACCAGCTAATAAATTGTTTAATTTGTAGAAGCATAAACAACTATTTTTAAAACTACTCTAATTCATCATCCATTGCTTACTTGAATGGCTAATGTTTCTTGCTGCTGACGGGCTTCTTCTTGGGCCTTCTCTAATGCTGCAGAAAGTTCTTCTTTAGCTTTCATTTCACGGCTCAGAGCAGCTTCCTGTGCCTCACTATCCTTTGCAGCATTGGCTTTGTGAAGATCAGTAAGTTCTCTTAAAAAATTAGATTGAGTTTATAAATGTTGCCAGTGATCACATAATAAAAAAAGTATTTCTTCAACATCCTATTTCTGATAATTCATAACGGGTTGCATATTTGCTCATTTCCTTACTTGTATGCACTATCCAGGGCAGCCTGAATACTTCGGTTCTTTTCTTCCAGTTCATCCATGTCTACTTGAAGTCGACCAAGATCTTTCTCCTGGCGTTCTACCACAGAATTTAGTTTTTTAATATTTTCTCTATGTTGTTTCTCAACCTCTTCTTTGCCATCAAGGACCTATATGTTATAAAAACAGACAAAAGTATTTTTCAGGAAACGACACCATGGCAAATAATTGTATTCCAGGAATCTATAATAATGGAGAAAAAACAATTTTTTTTTTGAGACAGACTCATTCTGTTGCCCAGGGTGGAGTGTTCTGGCTCACTGAAACCTGTCTCCCAGGTTCAGGCAGTTTTCATGCCTCAGCCTCCCAAGTAGCTGGGACTACAGGTGTGCACCACCATGCCAAGCTAATTTTTGTATTAGGTTGGTTCAATATTTTTAGTAGAGATAGGGTTTCACCTTGTTGGCCAGGCTGGTCTCAAACTCCTGGCCTCAAGTTATCTGCCTGTCTCAGTCTCCCAAAGTGTTGGCATTACAGGCATGCATCACCCCACCCAGCTGAAAAATCTTAACATTTATCTATTGGTTGAAAAATTCTTCTTACATGTTACTACCCCATTAAATCTTTTCAAATGCTCCATAAACCATAGCCAACTGTTTGACAGGAAGTAAGAAGAACAGATATGTTGAGAATTATGACTGCTATTCACCTGTTTCAAATGCTGCAACTCCTCTTCTAGCTCTTTAACTTTTTTGTTTAGCTTTGCAATCATATTTTCATTTTCCTTGTCTTTAGCTCTTAATTTCTTGATGATGTTAGAATTATGCAGCTGCTGTTTTGAAAGTTTTTCCCCTGGTGATGGTAGAAAAGTATAAACTCAAAAGATAACTATTCCCTAAAAATCTCAATAGAATGTTTTATCTAACCAGTAACATAAAATAATAGCATTTTTTAAAATCACAATTTTGTAACTCACAATGTTATAACTAATTTGGACAAGAATCATCAATGAACGTTAAAATTATTGGGTAAAAGGATGTTGGGAAACTGGATATTGACACAGTCTTAAAGAGTCACTTTCACATATCACCTACCAATTATAAAGAGAAAAATATGGCAGTCAACTCATTAACTAAACATTCAGTTTTGGCATCACCAATTGTAGTACAGCCTGACAGTATGTGCCTGCTGATGTGATGTAGTAATGTAGGTGTACAATGTCACTAGATATTTCCTACTAGAAATATGATATAAATCTAATCATGAAGAAATAATAAATTCCTGAACATGGGACATCCTGTGGGAAAACTGCCCTGGACTCCACATGGTCCTCAATGATATTCTGAAGAAGAGAGAACTGTCCTAGATCGATGGAAGACTAAAAGGACCTAACAACCAAATGCAATCAGCAAACTTTGGATCCTGGGGCAGAACAAATGATCAAATATAAGAGACATTTTTAAGACAACTAAGATAAATATTAAAATACATGCTGGATTACACTTCTGAATTAATGCTGATTTCTTAGGTTTGACTACGGTGTACCTGTCAAGGAAAATGTACTTCCCCTTGGGAGATGTAGACTGAAGAATTTAGGAGCAGAATGTTATAGTATTTCTAACCTCCTTTCAAATGGGTTGACAAAAAGGTAGCGTATGTGTGTGCAGAAAGATATGGAAGAGGTGTGGTAAGATGTTAACACTTGATGAATCTAGGTGATGAAGTAATCAGGTACTCATTGTAGTGTGGTTTCAAGCTTTGAGTTTTACAGCTCTTCAGTTTTAAGTTTTAAAAATATTTCTGGGGCATGTGGAAACAATATGTAGTACACCTGTGTGAAATGTAAATACTCTGTGAATACAAAATACTCCCATGTGAAATTGCTCTATTTTCTCTGTAAAAAGTTTCATTAAACAAAAGAAGAAGACATCAGTCCTTCCTCTGACAAAATTGCTAAATTACAAAATAGTAACATTTGATATTAATATTTTAAATGACTTTTTTAATATAAGAAAACCATGCAGTTAGCCTTCCCCTCAGTTTCTAATATTGTAAGACAAGGTAGTTAACAACTTCAAGACACCTTGAGAAAATAATTGTAACAACTCTTCCTTCATTTTTCTATTTTAGTGCTTAGAATTGTACAGGGTTTTTGCTGTTGTTGAGATGGAGTCTCACTCTGTCACCAGGCTGGAGTGCAGTGGCACAATCTTGGTTCACTACAACCTCTGCCTTCCGAGTTCAAGCGATTCTTCTGCCTTAGCCTCCGGAGTAGCTGGGACTACTGGCACGTGCCACCACACCCAGCTAATTTTTTGTATTTTTAGTAGAGACAGGGTTTCACCATGTTGGCCAGGATAGTCTCAATCTCTTGACCTCATGATTCACCTGCCTCGGCCTACCAAAGTGCTGAGATTACAGGTGTGAGTCACCATGCCCAGCCAGAACTGTGTTTTATAATTATCTGTATTCCTGTATTTCCCTCTCACTAAACTAAGCTCCTAAAGAATACAGGGTGTCATATTTATTATTGTATCAAATATAATATCTGACATACTAACTGTTCAATAAATATCAGATGAATAAATGAAAAACAAAAAGTTGGGTAAAGCTAACTTTTTCAAATGAAATGACTGCTTCCAACTGTTCTCAAACTCTATAGTTTCTCTGAAAATTTACTTAAGTTCAATGATTTAGGACAAAAATATTCATCTTACCACTACCTATAATATTCACATTATAGAAATAAATGTACAACATTAGAAACAGTAAAACACACGGTATACCCATATAATGGATTTTATTATAGCCATTAATAATGATAAAAGACATTTAATGGGGCTTCGCCACCCCGCGTCTAGCTAGCCCAGCTTCTGCCACGCCTTGGCCAAGACATCAACAGACCACACCAAAATGCCATCTCAAATGGAACATGCCATGGAAACCATGATGTTTACATTTCACAAATTTGCTGGGGATAAAGGCTACTTAACAAAGGAGGATCTGAGAGTACTCATGGAAAAGGTGTTCCCTGGATTTTTGGAAAATCAAAAAGACCCTCTGGCCGTGGACAAAATAATGAAGGACCTGGACCAGTGAAGAGACGGCAAAGTGGGGCTTCCAGAGCTTCTTTTCCCTAATTGTGGGCCTCGCTATTGCATGCAATGACTATTTTGTAGTACATATGAAGCAGAAGGAAAAGAAGCAGGCAGAAACGAGCAACTCCCCTGGCCCTGATAACAGTTGTCCCCAAGGGTCACTTAAGGAATCTGCCCCACAGCTTCCCCCATATAAGGATTTCATGAGCAGATCAGGACCCTTAGCAAGTGTACAAATAAAATCTAACTCCCATTTGACAAGCACAGAAAGAAAAGTTAAATGCCAGACAAGCTTTTGATTTTTGTATTGTTTGCATTCCCTTGCCCTCAATAAATAAGGTCTTTTTTAGTTCTGAAAAAAACAAAAACAAAAACATTTAATGGTATAGAGAGATATAAGAGAAGGAAGATTGCAAATTAAATATATGATCTTAACTATGTTCAAAAATACATTAAAAAATGCTTTAAGATGAAAAAATTAATAGTTCCTTACTATATTGGATTATAATCTACTTTTCCTCTTTATTTATATACTTTCCTATAACTTCAAAACTTTCTACAAGTAGCAAGTATTACTCTTATAACTAGAAAAATTTTAACTAATGAGAAAGAAAAAGAGAAATTCACTTGACCATCTTTTCCAAAACCTCCTCTCTCCCGGGATATTACATGAAGAAATTAATTCAGTGTCCATTTGCAATGATTTATTTCATTAATAGATCTTTAATTTCTATAATGCTGTTAATTTTATTTTTTATTTTATTTTTTGAGACAAGGTCTCACTCTGTCACCCAAGCTGGAATGCATGATCTTAGCTCACTGCAACCTCTACTTCCTGGGCTCAAGCCATCCTCCTGCCTTAGCCTCCCAAGTAGCTAGGATTACAGGCACACACCGCCACCACCCAGCTAATTTTTGTATTTTTAGTACAGATGGGTTTTCACTATGTTGGTCAGGCTGGTTTCGAACTCCTGACCTCAAATGATCCACCCGCCTTGGCCTCCCAAAGTGCTGGGATAACAGTCATGAGACACCACACCCAGCCAACACTGTTAATTTTAAATCTTCTCAGAGACAAAAATTCTTAATAATTTAAAAATTAAGAATACAATGAAAAATTCACTATCAAATGCCAGAACAATACAATATCATACAGAACCCAAGCTAGGTATTCAGATATTACCTAAATCCCAGAATTACACGCTTTGAATATCTTGGGTTAAATGACAGGCTCTTAAGACCTGTTGACAGTTTTTAGGGCAGCACAAATTTTTGTCTATTTTACTAGGGTCTTACTTTTTTTTTTTTTACTCCCTAAAAACAAAAGCTACAAACACATATCTCTGTCTCAACATATCTTCTTCCTCATTATTTCACAAACTGTTACCTACTATTTCTATAGTTTAAGTCCAAATCCTCCTTGCTTTCAGTATTTTTAATTAGGAAGCATCAGCTAGGTATGTAGCAAATACTTTTCCTATTTTTACAATATTTTCTATAGTCAACTAAATACTTTACGCACCTTCTTCCATTAACCCTCGGATCTGCTCATCTTTCTCTTTCAAAAGGTCTGCAGTTTCACTACTATTTAATCTAGTGGCAAGTTCTTCTTTTATGTTTTTGATTTCCTAATAAAAAAGAAATCTGTGAATACCATAAAGAATTACTTTCACTCTAAGAATAGTTCTCATTTTTTTCCCCCATCCAAAGAAGCTATCCATAATCACATTCTCAATAAGAATCTGTAAGTTTTGTTCAATTAATCTACTACCTTGGTTAACTAAGACTGAGAAAACAGCTTTGAAAATGATATACAAAACCTAAATCCAGATATATAAGCAAGTTTTAATATGAAAACATAAATGAGCATATATTAACTTTCCTTTTTTTTTTGAGACAGGGTCTTACTCTGTTACCTGGGCTGGAGTAGAGTGGGTACAATCACGACTCACTGCAGCCTCAACCTTCTGGGCTCAGGTAACCACAGGCACATGGCACCATGGTTAGCTAATATTTGTATTTTTTGTAGAGATGGGGTCTCACCATGTTGCCTAGGCTTGTCTTGAACTCCTGGGCTCAAGCAATCTGCCCTCCTCGGCCTCCTGAGTAGCTGACTACAGGCGCACACCAGCATAACCAGCTAACTTTCTGCATTTTTTAGTAGTGGCGGGTTCTCACCATGTTACCCAGGCTACTCTCTACCTTCTGGGTTCAAGTGACCCATCCACTTCATCCTCCCGATGTGCTGGGATTACAGGCATGAACTATCACACCTAGCCAAAAATCTACGATTTAAATGTTAATATATGATACCCTTTTTACCTTGCTTTTCTTTTTTTCCACTATCAAAACATGATGAATGTACTCCTCAAAAATCTCTTATAGAGTTTAATATTATTTTTAAATTTCTATTACCTTTTTAGCAGCATCCCTCTCTTTGCAGGCTAGCTGAACTTTCTTTTCTGCTTCTGCAATTCTTTGAGTAAACTCATCTTTCAAGGAAGAAATGCTACTGCTTTCTTCTTTCACTCTGAACATTTCACTAAATTTAAAACAATATTTGAGAATTGAGGATGGTGTTTATATATCCCAAAGGTACACTTGAGTTCAGTTCTCAAAAGGAAGATAACTTTTCTCTGACATATACCTTATTAAAATAGAACAGTTATGGGACTATTAGAACTTTTAAGAAAAAAATAAGGACATTTCCCTTAAGTTTGTTTTAAAATACCTCAAAGAAAACCTTTTAGAAACTGAAAATGTTACCAATATCTGACATGCAAAAATAACAGAAAGTAAATACAGTGTCTCAATTCTGAATCTTTTTGTGTCACATTTTCCCAATCAGCTCCTCATAGTAAACCAATACCCAGTATTTTCTTAAACTACAATAACACAGTTTTCTTTAAATACATGTTTTAAATCTGTAATACTGAAAGACTAAACATGAACGGAAAGAGATTTGCAGTTTTTGCAAAATGACTCTCTTCAATGCCAAAGGTAATATGGTAAAGACAAAGCAGAAAAGTAATCTTTAAGGTTATAACTGAAATCCTATACAACTTTCAATAATGATAAAATTACAAAACATTTTAATTTCAAAAAATTCTTAAATATGTACAAAGTATACAGACCTCCAGAAAATGTGTAACATTATTTACATTTGTAGAATACTTACTCTTTCAGGTTATCATAAGCTTCTTCTAGAAGTGCTTTTTCCTTACTAAGAGATAATAACTGAGCCTCCCTTTTTTCCAGTTTTTCATTCAGAAATTCAACTGTCTGGATAAGGAGAAAACCAAAAAGTCAGCGCACTTAGCTTTAAAAAAGACAATTTCTACATGTAGGTATATCACTATAATAAAGAAAACAGCTTTATCTCATAAAAACAATTAAGAACAATATTAGGAACACAGAGGATGCAGAAAAAGAAGTACTCTTAGGCAGGGGATAGGAGAGTACAAGTAAGTACAACCAAAGAGCTAGTGGGAGTGTAAGTTGAGAAACCACTTGGGAAAACAATTAGGTAATATCTAGTTGGAGATCTATATACTCTTTGATATAGAAAATTTCACTTTTAGGTAAACTTTAGAGGAGAAAATTCTTGCATAAATGCACTAGGTGACGGGGATAAGAATACTTATTGTAGCTTCCTGGTAATCGCAAAAATCTGGAATCGTCTGCATATACACCAAAAGGAGAAGGGAGATGGATCCAATCAAAAGAGGTCAAAGAGAGGATTTAAAGACTATCTTAGCTAGGTAGTGGATATACAAGTGTCTGCTTTCTTTATTATTCTTCACCTGAAACATGTACCCTTTTCTTAGTATGATATGTTGCATTTAAAAAACAGAAGTCCGGGTTCATGCCTGTAATCCCAGCACTTTGGGAGGCTGAGGTGGGTGGATAACCTGAGGTCAGGAGTTTGAGACAAGACTGGCCAACATGGTAAAGCTCTGTCTTTACTAAAAATAAAAAAACTAGCCAAGCATAGTGGTGGGCAGCTATAATCACAGCTACTCAGGAGGCTGAGGCTAGAGAATCACTTGAACCCAGGAGGCAGAGGTTGCAGTGAGCCAAGCTCGTGCCATTGCACTCCAGCCTGGGTGACAAGAGTCAAACTCTATCTAAAAATAAAATATAATCAAATAAATAAATAAAGTAGAGGCCAGGCATGGTGGCTTACACCTGTAATTCCAGCACTTTGGGAGGCCAAGGAGGGCAGATCACTTGAGCTCAGGAGTTTGTGACGAGCCTGACGAACATGGTAAAACTCATCTCTCTCTACAAAGAATACAAAAATTAGCTGCTCATGGTGGCACGTGCCTGTGGTCCCAACTACTTGGGAGGCTGAGGCAGAAGAATTACTTGAACCTGGGAGGCAGAGGTTGCAGTGAGCAGCACTCCAGCCTGGGAAACAGTGCAAGACTCTGTCTTAAAAAATAAATAAAATAAAATAAAATGAAAGTAGGGCTGGGCACAGGTTCATGATTATAATCCCAGCACTTTGGGAGGCCAAGATGGGAGGACTGTTTGAGCCAAGCAGTTCAAGACCAGCCTAGCAACATAGTAAGACCTCATCTCTAGTAAAAATTAAAAAAAAGAAAAAAAAAGCCAGGCATGGTACAAGCCTGTAGTCTCAGGTACTAGACAGGATAAGGGGGAAGGACTGCTTGAGCCCCAGAGGTCGAGGCTGCTCTGAGCCATGATCACACCACTGCATGGGCAACAGCCTGGGCAACAGAGAGAGACCCTGTGAGCCATGATCACACCACAGCATGCTAGCCTAGGCAACAGAGAGATCCTGTCTCATTCATACATACATATATCCATACTAAAAGTAATTTTAGAAAACCCATAAGAATTTTTAAATCTTCATAATGTATCAGTATAAAACTAAACAAAAAGTAATGCTTAGAATGTCTCATTCCTTAGTTCCTGCTCAAGCGGTGATAAACTTGAGTATAAAAAGGGTAGGAAGGGGTCCTTTTTGGACTCAAAAAAATGAAGTCTTACCTGAGTTTGTTTTAGATGAACCTAGAAATCACTTACCTTCTTAAATACACTGAAATTCAAAAATATCTGATAGTAATTAGTGCTGTTTTCTAAGAATTCAAACTCCTATTACATATCTTATAGTATATAGCTATTACTAATTGAAATATTATTGTGCAGCATTTTTGGATAAATATTAACCTAAGTAACAGAATCTGGCACTTTTTAATATAATTAAGTAATTCAGTACATGGCACTTACAGGACATTTCTTCAAGACATTCTATATCTCAGAAGTCTATTAAAGATGCCAGATCCAACTCAATTTCTATATCTAAAAATCACAGGAAAAACCAAAACTATGACTTAATGTTAGTTAAATAATTTACATCATTTTCCTTTCGTATGTATTAAGTAGAAGCAATTTGTCACTCCTAAGCAAGGCTTTTGTTCCTTAGACATTTCTCTTTCTTGTTCACGTGAAACCTAGCTGTCAATCGGAGATCTCAAAAATAACATAAACAGAAAGCAAACTGAAGCAATACAAGGATATCTACTCCTTATATACGAATGAAAATACTAATAACAGAAAAGCATCAATAATTAAAGTCTTAAATTATCATTTAAGATTTGCTACAAATAATGTAAACATGCAAAAAAAATTCTGATACAAGAAAAACTATAACATTTAGTTTTTTTTGGTACATCTATCTGCAAAAAAGATGAAGAAACATTTAATATAAGAAAACAATCCTTTCCAAATTGACATACTAATGTGTATAACAGAATTTTAAAGTGATAAGGACTCAGCAATAAAGATACAAGATGAAAAATTTTATGCTTAACTATATTGAAGTATCAACCTATTCTACCATAATTACCTTGGAGAAATTTCAAATTATATTAATAATTGTTCAACTTCAAGGTCCTTAATGCTACACTGAATAGCAAAATGCCTATCTTTCAAAATCTGTACAAATTATTATGCATCAATGAAAATATTTTTCAAAACAAATGATTTAATCTCCAAAAAGCACATCTAAAAATCCCTTCCACTTTCTAGAGTTACCTTGCAAACATCTTCCTTCTCAGAAAATGCTTCTGGCTGACTTTCAGCAGATTCACACTGCTCAGTCACCTTATCTAACACAGTCTGTCCTTCATTTACTGGTGAAGAAGAAACCAAGATATCAGGCTGTTCACAGTTAACAGGAGTTGCACTTCGTCCACTTTCTTCCATTTCTGCCTCCTCAGTGGGTATAACTAATGTTTCATTTACTTCTTCAGATTTTCCTTCAGCAGATTCAACTGTTTTAGACTTTGGAGTTGAAGAATTAACTATAATAGGCACTAAAGCATATCCCTTGCCTGACAATTCATCATCTGAATTGATTTCACTTACACTCCGGCTATCTAATGACTGTACACTAAATGAGTCTATTCTTTCAAAAGCATCAGATGAACAACAACTCTCAGTGAGTTTTTGGAAATCATCTAAACGATTATATTCAGGACAAGTAGATGTAGAGAGAAGCTGAAAGGATGTCTGCATCAGGTGAAGACTCGATTTTGAATCTGTAGTCTCTTGTCTTGAGCTCGCTGAGCTCTCACTTATTACACTTTCATGATCTAAAACTTCAATATCACTGGTGGTAGAAGTACCTGATGAAAAGGTACTAACAGGAGGAGAAGGTGTATTGCTCTGCCTATCTTCTTGTTTTTGTTCCTTAGGTTCCAAAGCCATGTCCTTTGTTTCTGCTGTGAGAGACTGTGTAGACATATTAGATATACTTTCCGTAGTTGTTTTCACATCAATTACACTTTCAGATACTTTCAAATGTACAGTTGGCACCTTCATATCCAATTCTTTATTAACAGTTTCTTCATGCTTGCCTTCAGTTTTAGGTGATGAAGTACCTGCTGCCAGAGTTTCCCCTGAAACACACAAAGAAGAGTCTTTTACTTGGGATTCAGTTGTTTCAGGAGTTCTTGACTGTCCAATGTGCAAGGATTCATGTAAGCTGCTTTTCACTTCTTCTTCTGGTCGTTGTGATTTTGCTGGAGGTTTTGATACCACTGGACTCTGCTGAATGGTCTGGACATCAGTTGGCGAGAGAAAGGCACTGAAGAAATTTTCAGATTCATCGACCACAGTCCTCCGAACTGGCTTTGTGATTGCTTTAGGAGATGCTATTGGTGGACTCTGAGGTTCAGTGTTTGATTTCAATCCCCAGGTTGAAGTATCCCATCCTCCACTGACAGGGGGACTTATTCCTTTGACAAAAAGTAAATATTAAAAAAAAGACATGCACATATATATTATATTAATATTTCAATCATTATAAATCAGTATAAATATAAATTTTAAAAAATACCCTACAAAATACAACCTGTAATTTGCACCTGCTAAACTTGCTTATTACATCATTAATTAGTTTCCAAGTTAATACTGAACTTAAAGAAGAAAATTGGTGTGGATTCTGCTTGAGAGAAAGGAGGAGAACAGACAAAAGATTGGACCTGGCCTGGACTATTAGATACAAGTAAGTTATTCCTCCCTACAAGAAATTAAGGAAGTAACAGTCTGTTTTATAACCCACAGTAAGCCCAAGATACCTATAATTCATGCCATAATAACAGGCTTTACTTATCAATATAAAATAAACTAATATGAAACTGACTGAATAGGCAGGGCCATGTGCAGTCACAGAAAAATGAACCAACCTATTCAGTCAGTTTCACATTAAGTTTTACTTGTAATATTAGTAATGAAATCGTTATGAGCTAGACAAAGGGCAACCCTCAAAAAATGAACTCAGTGAGCTGGAGATTCACAATTATAATCCCAACACTAGAAGGATCATTTGAGCCCAGGAGTTTGAGACAAGCCTGGGTAATGTAGTGAGACTCATCTCTACCAAAAAAAAAAAAAAAAAAAATTAAAAATTAGTTGGGCCTGGTGGTGCACTTATGTGGTCCCAGCTACTTAGGAGGCTGAGGTGGGAGGATTACCTAAGCCCAGGAGATGGAAGCTACATTGAGCCATAATTGAACATGTCTCAAAAAAAAAACAAAAGCCTGAAACCAAGTTACTGGTGACAAATGCTCTTTCCCAAAGATCAAATTAAACTGATGGGAACTGTATGTTCTAGAGAATAAACTCATTTTCATCCACTTAATCACAGGCTAATTCTCTAAATCCCACTTCCAAGCCTATTCTAAGAGGAAGCTTTGTTCCCAAATTTTAAATTATGTCAGAAATTACAAGGTCATTATGAATTTCGGAAATGTATGGGTTTTTTTTTTTTTTTTTTTTTTTAAGAACTATTGCTCTTTGACATAGAGGTAATTGACACTAGGGTTATCCAAGAAGATAACTATTTTCTTGGGGGAAAAGGTAATTATCATATCAGTCATAAAACAGCTACTACTAAAATCCTGATTTTTAAAAACAGCATAATCATGATTTAAAAAACAGTAAAATATTTAAAGCATTTCTTTAAAAAAGTTTTCTTTCTCAAATTAAAATGTGGCTGAACAAAATATTCAAATTAGAAGTTGGTGGAGAGAGTACAAGTAACTAAATGTTTCTAAAAACTATCAGGCCTCATAGTAGAATCTATCCTTTAATATGACTTCAGGCCGGACGCAGTGACTCATGATTATAATCTCAGCACTTTGGAAGGCTGAAGCAGGTGGATCACCTGAGATCAGGAGTTCAAGACCAGCCTGGCCAACATGGTAAAACCCTGTCTCTACTAAAAATGCAAAAATTAGCTGGGTGTGGTGGCACAAACCTGTAATCCCAGCTACTCGGGAGGCTGAGGCAGGAGAATCACTTGAACCCAGGAGATGGAGGCTGCAGAGAACAGAGATGGCGCCACTGCACTCTAGCCTGGATAACAGAGAGAGACTCCATCTCCAAAAAAAAAATATATATATATATATATTTTTTACATTTTATATATATATAAAACTTCAAATGCAGTTAGGATGAAAAGTATGTAGAAAATTTCAGTTTGGAGGCGTAGTTCTACATTCATTTGTGTAATATACACAAACCAGAGAAAATCAAAATTAAAGATGCAAATGAACAAGCAAGATTATGTCTACTGATTAATATAAATAATTTTAAGAATTAACTTTGCTTCTTGGAGAATACTTTATATAATTCCAGGGTTATCTGGCATCCATCTAAATTACACCATTCTGAAGAGTATGGTCATTTTCAGAAAACAAATATCCTTACATCTAAAACTTATATTTTATCAATTCTAAAGTTTAGTAATTCTAATTAACTGGGGCACATAGAAAAAAACAAAATTATTCCAGCAAGGTTATATGGCATCTTGTAAAAAGTAAATAGGACCATGACATACACGCGGACCAAAATATCTTAAAATGAGGTACCTCAAATTTAAGTCCTGACTTTTCACTAATGTAAAATTAAGAACAGAAACCAGGAAGGAGTAGTCAAGCATATCTCTTATCCTTTTCCACACAAAGGCTGACATCCTCTACACCTGCAAATCCTCACCTCACACGTCAAAATGCTAACTGTTCCTTAGACTTAAGAGTCAAAAGCAACTGAATGAAAATCCCTGAAAGATTAAGCTCAATGAAACTGCAAAGAGAGACTTGCTATTCAGAAATAAAATGTGATACAATCCAAAAATCTTGGGCCACAGACTCCCCGGGTAATACTTCCAGCACATTCTAACCCGCATCCACTGTGTGACCTAGAGCAAGTTACCTGGCCTTTCTGGGCCTCATTTTCCTCTATGTAAAACACAGATATAAACCAAGCTCACTTCAGGAGATGTCCCGAAGATGACACAGCCATTAAAAAGCACATTACAGACTGGGGGCGGTGGCTCACGCCTGTAATACCAGCACTTTGGGAGGCCGAGGCCGGCGGACCACCTGAAGTCAGGAGTTTGAGAGCAGCCTGGCCAACATGGCGAAACCCCGTCTCTAGTAAAAATTCAAAAATTAGCCGGGCGTGGTGGTGTGCGCTTGTAATCCCTGCTACTAGGGAGGCTGAGGCAGGAGAATCGCGGGAACGTGGGAGGCGGAGGATGCAGTGAGCCGAGATCGCGCCACTGCACTCCAGCCTGGGACACACAGTGAGATTCTGTCTCCACAAGAACAATATAAAAGCACATTACGCGCCACCAAGCGTGAAATGTTCACTAAATGTTTGCAATTGTTCTTCCCTTCCCTGATGATTTACGTACTACAGACCCTGGATCCCAATAGTGCCTGAGACGCGAAGCAACTCGAGGTTCAGGTTCAGGGAGGCTGTGCTTGGAAGCTGCGTTGAGGGAGGGCTTGACTAAACCAACCAAGTCCCCTGTCATCGAACTCCGCAAGCCTCGCACCCAGGACCGAAGACAAGGAGGAACCTAGGGCTAGGTTTTCCCTCAAGAAGACGGCAAATATCCACTTGAAGGCTTAAGCAGCATTAGGGAAGGCGCCGTGGAGAAATTACCTGAGAACTCTCTTAGCTAGGAAGGACCCCTTCTCTAGACCACTTAACCTGTCTACAGAGGGAGAACAGCAGCCTGCAGGAGCCGGGGACCCTGCTCCTCTCTCTCTTACCCGGCTCTCCATACGGAATGGTCTCGGCCCAGACGCTCGGCTCCTCTTCCTGGATGTCCAGGACCCTGTCGATGGACTTCTGGGCCTGGGACAAGGCCTGCTTAGCGAAGCTGGAGATCTGGGAGGCGTTGAACCAACTCATCGCCCCTCCTCAGCCGGCAGTGGCGGCGGCAGCGCCAAGCGGAAAGGCCTCAGGCCTGGGGGACGGAGCAGAGGAAAGGCTTCGCTCCCCTTTTCCACTCGGCTGGTTCCGTCAGCGTGTGGCCATGACCCCGACAGCCTCCCCCTGGCCCGGGATGTTACCTTCGGCCGTTTCCGCACAGCTGAGGCGAATGTGACAGTGTGCGCATGCGCCTACTTCTTCCACGTACACAGCAACCAAATCTGAGCCTAGAGTTCCGTCGACAGACAGGAAAAAAGGAGACAAAAACGTTGACGTCACATCCGGGAGCGCCGGGTTGCCCTTAGTTACCGAGGAACACGGAAGGGTTTCTGTTACTATTGATTCCGTACTTAGAGCAAAGAAGCTATGGTTACCAATGGAAGTCGATACTCCTATAAGGAATATTCCAGTTTTCATGTGTGTGCTTTCCAGAAAAATGCTTGCACCTTGCCAGCAGTAATTGCAAAGGGAAATTTGGGCCTCACATTTATCTTAGCCCTTTGTCTCAAATATTTAAAAAGCTCTGCATTAACTTAGTATTATAAGGAGAAACCCTTGTTTGGGCTTGCCTAAAAGAGAGGATCACATATGAACACTGTGCCCACCCGTGGAACACATGGTGCAAAAATCACAACCTCTCTCTCAAAATAGTAGCAAACTCATTGTTACAGTCAAAATATCCCTAATACTATGGTCTGTCGGTGTGCAGATTCCTGTTGAAACTTGATCTCCAATGGGACAGTATTAAAGGGAGACTTTAGGAGACGATTAGATGATGAGGATTCATGGGTCTCCTCATGAATGGGAGACCACTTTTATAAGTGCCCTTATAAAAGAGGCCCAAGGGAGTTCACAAGAAGGCACCAATTGTAAGCTAGAAGAGCAGCCCTCACCAGACACCAAACCAGCCAGCTCCTCATATCTTGGACTTCTCAGCTTCTAAAACTGCAAGAAATAAATTTCTGCTGTTTATAAGCCACTCAGTTTATGGCAATTCATTACAGCAGTCCAAACCGACAAAGACAGGTAAGGAAGCACTAAGGCTATTATCCTAACAATGTGCATTGGGCCTATTACTTAAAATATAGCCCTTTCTGGGCCAGGTGCGGTGGCTCACGCCTGTAATCCCAGCACTTTGGGAGGCTGAGGCAAGTGGATCACCTGAGGTCAGTAGTTGAGACCAGCCTGACCAACATGAAGAAACTTAATCACTAAAAAAAAAGAAAAGAAAATATAACCTTTTCTGTGTGGATTCCCTTCAAACATTTGGCCATAAAAACATATCTTAAATTGGTGGCCTTCCTAATCCAATCTGCGGCTATATTTGGTTTGGCCCCAATAATGTTAAAGACAAAATCCTATCAACATTTAACAGCCAGATTTCATTCAAAAATCTGGATTTTCAGCTGCTTTTGAAAAATATTAATACCAGACATGGAAATAGTCAGCTAGAGTGGTCACCAAATAATTTTCACTCACTCCAGTTTGCCACAGACTATACCACTCATCTTATTATACCCTCCCGATTATTTATCTTACATGCCTGCTCCCATATTTGAGTATTTTACCCCACTGCAAGGAATCCTGAAAAAAAGGAATTACTTTTCTTTCCAAAAGGCAGATTGAACCCCTTAAGTTATAACATCTTACAATAATTTTATCTAATTACAATAAAAATTTGCATGTTAAAACAAACAATTCAGTCATTTACACAAGTAGTACTATGTAACTCAAGTACTTTCAAACAGCTTAGCTAAGTAGTAAACAGAGGAGATTTGGGGCAGATTCAGGTTGAAATTAACTGTACAATTAGAGGTCCAAGACTTCTAATTATACAGCTTTGGCTAAATGACCTAAACCATCTAAAACTTACTCAGCTCTCAGATGAAGACAGTCACCTTCTCACAATGCTACTTTGAGAATTTTAGTTCCCTCACTTTCAAAATTGTAGGCTACATCTGTAACTTTTCAGGTAGAGCATATAAATTTATTCCATATGGTTTTATAATGAAACTTATTCAATATGTAGCTAGAAAGATTAATGAAAACTTAATTCAATGACACATAAGTAATCAAAAAACATTTGAACAGAAAACTGCCAAAGTTTTGTTTGGCAGTTTTTTTTTTATTTGGCATCAGTCAGAAAGAATGAGAACATATATATATTCTCACATTAAAATATTAGCACCAGGCCAGGCCTGGTGGCTCAACACCTGTAATCCTACCACTTTGGGAGGCCGAAGTGGGTGGATCACCTGACGTCAGGAGTTCAAGACCAGCCTGGCCAACATGATGAAACCCCGTCTCTACTAAAAATACAAAAAACTAGCTGGGCGTAGTGGCGCATGCCTGTTATCCCAGTTACTCAGGAGGCTGAGACAGAACTGCTTGAATCCAGGAGGTGGAAGTTACAGTGAGCCGAGATCACACCATTGCACTCCAGCCTGGGGCAGCAAGAGTAAAGAAAACTGTCTCAAAAATTGAAAAACAAAAAAACTAGCACCTACTTTTTTAGTGTTTGTGCTTAATTTTGTTTCAAGTCTTATTCACTTTAAAGAAACAAAAATGAGGCAACATGTTGGCTAGGTTTTTGGCAGGCTTCCCAGGGACAAAATGGCTATGGCTAACAATTTCTACCTGTGCTATTATGTAGGGCACAAGGACAAGCTCCAGTACCAGTTTCTGGAGTTTGAATTTCAGCCGGACGGAAAGCTTAGATATACTAACAACAATTACAAAAATGATGTCATGATCAGGAAAGAGGTTATGTGCACAAGAGTGTTATGGAAGAACTGAAGAAAATTACTGATGACAGTGAAATTACAAAAGAAGACCATGCTTTGGGGCCTCCCCCTGACAAGGCTGGCCGACAGGAGCTTGAAACTGTAATTGGAGATGAGCATCATATTTTACCACATCAAAAATGGGTTCTCTTATTGACATAAATCAGTCAAAGGATCCTGAAGGCCTTCGAGTATTTTACTGTTTGCTCCAAGACTTGAATTGTTTAGTTTTCAGTCTCGGATTATACTTCAAGATTAAACCAATTTAAATTGTATGTGAAGCAAAAAAAAAAAAAAAATTTGAATGCAGGCCAGGTGCAGTGGTTCACATCTGTAATCCCAGCACTTTGGGAGGCCAAGGTGGGAGGATCACAAGATCAGGAGTTCGAAACCAGCATGACCAACATGTGGAAACACCATCTCTACTAAAAATACAAAAATTAGCCAGGCATAGTGCCACATACCTGTAATCTCAGCTACTCAGGAGGCTAAGGCAGGAGAATCACTAGAACCAGGGGAGGCAGAGGTTGCAGTGAGCTGAGATCATGCCACTGCACTACAGCCTGGGCAACAGAGCAAGACTGTCTCAAAAAAAAAAATTGTATATAAACTGAAAATAAGAAAATACATTAGCAGGCTTAATGGTTATCCTAACTTGAGTCCACATAGGTTGGACAGTAAATTCTGTAAATAAAACCTGCCTTTTAAAAATTTGCTCTAGTAAAACATGCCAAATCTTGGGGGAGCGGGGCGGCGGGGAGACATGGCCTGGCACGGTGGCTCACACCTGTAATCCCAGCACTTTGAGAGGATGAGGCAGGTGGATCACCTGAGTTCCTAAGTTTAAGACCATCCTGCCCAATCTCTACTAAAAATACAGGCCAGGTGCGGTGGCTCACGCCTATAATCCCAGCACTTTGGGAGGCCGAGGCTGGTGGATCACGAGGTCAAGAGATCGTGACCATTCTGGTCAACAAGGTGAAACCCCATCTCTACTAAAAATACAAAAATTAGCTGGGCAAGGTGGTGCATGCCTGTAGTCCAAGCTACTTGGGAGGCTGAGGCAGAAGAATTGCTTGAACCCAGGAGGCAGAGGTTTGTGGTGAGCCGAGATTGTGCCATTGTACTCCAGTATGGGTAACAACAGCGAAACTCCGTCTCAAATATATATATATATATATATATATATATATATATATATATATATATTTTGTGTGTGTGTATATATATATATATATATATATATACACACAAAAATTAGACCAGGCACAGTTGCGGGCACCTGTAATCCCAGTTATTTGGGAGGCTGAGGCAGGAGAATCACTTGAACCCTGCAGAGGTTGCTGTAAGCTGAGATCGCACCACTGCACTCCAGCCTGGGCAACAAGAGAAAAACTCCATCTCAAAAAATAAGAAAAAAGAAAAGAAAAGAAAGAAGCAAAATCATTATATCATTGATACAGCAAGTTAAATTAAACCAGTAAATTTTTACTATAGAAATCATTATAGCAAAAGTATTAGTTCAAGTGCAATGAAAATTTGATGTAATTCTGCTACACATTTAAAAATATTCCTATACTACCATGGAACTACTTATTACCTTAATATGCTTTTAAAAATTTCAGTGAAAGAAGTGCACAATATATGATTTTATTAATAAATAGTGCAAAAGCATCAGTGACAACTGTTTGAACATGAAATTTTTTAAACAGCCATGTCTTGGTGTTAATTTTGTGCATATTGGCCTCTATGGCACTACAAGTAAACAGATTAAAATATTGCCCATTTTCATGCACAAGTATTCAGCTATAACACCGTTTACAAATTATTATGGACAAGATAAATTCTGCAATAATTAATATTCATTTGGATGGCCACAATTAAATGAATATTAAATAAAGGAATAACCTATGTTCAATATACTCCTGATGACGGACTGTAATATTTAATATTATTTAAAACTTAATCCTTTATTTTATTTAAAGAGACATCTTTTGTGTATCTGGGTGCTCAAATGAAAACTAGGAATGCATTCTTTGACCATAATAACAAAATTCACACAGAAGAGGGTGTGTGCTTCCACCTCTAAAAGAAGCAATACATTTCCTCATAATCTCTCTCTCCAGGTATCATTTCCCATATTATTAATGAAAATGCTTACAAGCACCAACACCAAAATCCCATCTTCAAGGGAAAGTTACAAAGTTAAAAAAGAGTGACTTTTTTTATATAATAAAAAAAGTCAAATCGAAGCAACACTATTGCTAAAAATGACATCAATTAAACTTCTTAGCATCCACAAAGTATATTATTTCCATGAGTTTTCTATTATGTGCAGATTTTCCTTAAGAAGTAAAATGCAGTTTGAATAGTACAGTCTGCGGTGTGGTGACATCAGCAACCGCCAGTTCCTGTCCATCAACGAGCCCCAATTCTAAAACAGAAAAAATATAATTAATACAAGCAAAAAAACTCAACAGAAAGGATAGTACACACATACACAAACTATAGAGTCTTATGATCTAGATAAACATCAAAATCCAATCCTCTCTAATCAAAATAACATTTGATTTCTTAGTGATTTTAAAATATTCTATTAAAAAAGCATTTTTTAAATTCTATTAATATTTCTAAAGTTGTAAGTAATTATTACCTACCCATATACAAAGGCATTAAGAGGAAATCTAGAACAAACACTGATTACTTTTACCAAAAAAAAAGAAAAGAAAGAAAACAATTAGTAAATACCCTTATTTAAAAATACCTTTCAATGTTTTGGAGAGATTTGGCCTCGTTCGTTCTTCAATAGAGGTTACCGACTAGAAAACAAAATTATTTTAATGCAAGGCAAATTAAAGTGAAATAAAACTTGATATGATTTTCTGAAAAAAATTAAAAATACACATTGATAACCTGCAAGTAAAGTGTTCTATTTTTTCCCTCTAGGGTGGCTGTGATGGCTGGAGATTTCATTTGCCTAAAGATAATCATGAGAGAGAAGTATCAAACATCATTTTTATCCAAAGACTTTTTTTTTAAGGTTTCAAAATCACAAAAATGATTTTTAAAACATAACAAAAATCTACAATACTTACAGAGAAGCACTATTGGTTAGATAATCCAAAACCTCCTGTAGTTTAGCTGATGGAGAAAACTGAATATTTTGAGGAAGCTGGCTACAGGCTGGGCAGTTTTCCTACACACGTAAAACACAACAAATTACAGCAGCACATGCACAAACACTAGTCTCTTTATGAAAAATAAAATAAAAATCAGGTTGTTTTATAATCGTGCATATTTCCTATGAAAAACTTTTTATGCTTTAAAGCCTGATTTTCATAATGGACCATCTCTTTTAAATTACTTTGCTATAGAGTTATTTATTTCAGGCTATAAAGCAGAAGATATATAATAAGTATAGAGTTCTGGAAGTTAGAAAATGTATGGGCGACTTTTGTTCAAATCTCTAACCAATAATATTAAAAAAAAAACAAAATATGCATGATCAAAAATGTGTTCTTAACACTACTAACCTTTCTCTCTGCTTCAAATGTGTATGTATACAGCCCATCTACATCATTGAAAACCAGGTAATTATTCAAGGGAATGTATGCACTGTAATGAAAAAATGTTCACCTTTATATAACTGAACCAGGTCAAAACATGGATTTACATACATATAAAAAATAAAACCCCTTACCTTGTGGCTATTTTAAAAACCTCAGTGGCACACACAGCTGAAAAAGGGAGAAAATAAAGGTGCTTTAACTCAATGGAAATTAGGGATGTTGAAAAGTCAGTTATAAATCAGAACAGATAAATTTACATTGGCTCTTCATTAAAAAATATATACTCCAATTTTTAAAAACTGAGAAAGTAATAAATTTTATATTTGTTTTGTGTGATTCAAATAATAGAGTAACATTACATGTTTTTCTTATCAGATTAATGAATAGCCTGCTACAAATGGAACAAAAATGTCCCTTTATTGCAGAGAACTTAACACATAACGTAAGATAAAAAATATACAAAGTTTAACAGCTGGTTCTTTTTCGACAGCTTAGTTGCAAAACTCACCCAAGAAGATACCAAATTCTTACAACATAAAAAGCTGCAGCAATGTCAAAAACCAAAGGAAGCAAAGTAAAGTAAGTGATGGTCTTTTTTCCTCACCTGCAATGACTGCATTTGTGGAAGCTACTGCAGGAATGATTCTTTTTACTACCCCTGAAAAAATAATAAATTAAAATATGGTCATTTCTTCTTTTTTCTTTTTACCAGCCATGTTAGCAT